CCAAAACCTCCTTCTCCTCTTCAAGTGCTTCGCCATGCAAGCCAACCACTCCAACGAAACGACAGTCAAGCCTCACAGCAATAGCGACCACGTTGTGTCGCAGCAACCCGAGACATATATGGATGTAGAGAGAAAACAAGACTAGCCAAAGCCAGGAACTTCGAGCTGGCATCCCTCCAGCTTTCCGGACGGCGGAGTGGACGCCTGGCTAGTTGTCCTGGGTGGGTGTTTTCCTGGAGTACTACCTCGAGCAGCCGCTGTCCAACTACGACTCCGCTACTGTGAGCTGGATTACGAGCGTGCAGATCTTCGTATTGACCGGCGGGAACGCCATCTGGGGACGCATCTACGACAACCACGGCCCCTGCTCCTTGGGGGCACTCTCGTTTACGTCTTCGCCATGATGATGTTATCGCTGCCATCGCAATACTACCAAATCTTTCTGACCCAGTCCATTCTCTCCGCAGCGGCCGCTGGTGCTATCTTCAATGCCTCGCTCCAATGCTGCATGGGCTGGTTTCTGAAGCGCAGGGCTTTGGCTCTCGGCATTGTCGCCTCCGGATCGTCCATCGGCGGTGTCGTCTTGCCCATCCTAATGGAACAACTGATTCCCAAGATCGGATTCCCCTGGACTATGCGAATTGTGGGTTTCGTCATTCATGCTCTTTGTGGAGTCGCCTGCGTGACTATCAAGGCAAGGCTGCCACCACACCCGAATAGAGTCTCCATCAGAGAATACTTCATACCGCTAAAGGAGCCCGTCTTCCTCTTCAGTATCACTGCCGGGTTTCTATTCTTTTGGGGCATGCTTTTGCCATTCAACTACATTATTCTTCAAGCCGAGTCGGTTGGTCTGGACCCGTCACTTTCACAGTAACTCCTTCCAATCCTGAACGCCGTCAGGTGAGTACGAAATTGCCCAAACATGCGACTCACAATGATGATACTTGAATATAGTCTTTCTGGTCGCATACTTCCTGGATACGCAGCTGAAAAACTGGGTCGCTTCAACACCATGATCTGCATCACTCTGGTCTCTGGCGTCATAAGTCTCGTGCTATGGATCCCCGGCAAGAGCACCGCAGGAATCATTGTTTACGGCAGCATCTTTGGGTTCTCCTCAGGTGCGTTCGTATCCCTGGCCCCAGCATGCATCGCCCAGATCACCCCGGATATGAGGAAGATAGGCACCTGGACCGGAACAGCGTTTGCTGCGCAGTCCATTGGTGCTCTCACAAGCTCTCCTATTGGCGGTGCTCTAGTCCAGCGATTGGATGGAGACTACCTTGGCATGCAACTGTTCTGCGGCCTGACTATGACTTTGAGTGTTGTTTTCTATGTTGCTGCCAGGACTGTACGAGTAGGTCTCAAGTTCACAAAGATTTAGACACATTCGAAGCACTGGTTATAGTCTCATAGCTACGGTATTTCAGTTGAGTCGAACTTAGAGGTCAGTTTGGGGCATGAGGGGTTATAGGTAAAACGAATAAGCTACCAGGAACAAAATTTATATAGTGCTATGAAGTTTGTAGTCAGTCACGTCTCTTCATAGCGGGCTCCGTTGAACTTCATCGAAACATTGGCAAGCAAACGATGTCCAAATAAGACGAAAACTTTGAGTACTTCTATTACATCTACAATAAAATGCACGGTTCCAACTCGATCAATTACACCTATCTAAAGTAGCCTTGCCATGGGTCTCTCACAGGCCAATTATTAACTCTTGCAAGGTCAAATTCTCTGTTAGGCCCTTGCATCGCCGTGCCAAAGACATCCATCTGCGACCCATCGGGTCTATGAGCATGTCTCGGAGCTCCTCGATCTACACAAGGGGCGTTCAATGGACTAGACATTCTAGTTGTCGTGGATCGCGTACCTCATTGCCCAGACTTGCCCATAAAGCATTACTGACATAGTAGCTCCTCGTCTCGTCGATGACCAGTCTGCCCATGTGTTTATCAAGAGAATCAGATTGAGAACTCGCGGTTCCAGAAGTACTGGGAGCTGCAGAGACACTCGCCGCTGGGGACGAGCTAGGGGGGTCCGGGTGCTTGAGGCGTTGGATGATGGATTCCAGCCGCGACAACCGGTCCACGAGCTCCGGGTCGGGGTGTTGGCGAGTGCGTTTGGCAGCTCGGCCGTTGCCTGGTGGGTATGTGCAGCTGGCTTCATTGTCCCCTTTGACGCAGTTGGAGCACGGGCGTTGTCTGTCGCACTTAATCTTGCGATGACTGCACGAAACACAGCTCCGCGGAAGAGGCTGTGCTCGAGCCAGCAGTCCTTCTGGCGTTGGCCTGCTTGCCGCTGGCGTCGTCGTCCTCTGCGGGCAAGCAACTCGACTCCGTGCGTGACATTTATTCTACTAGATTTCGTGTTGCGCATTGAAATACAAGATACAGATTCGAGCCGGGAGGACGCAAACAGGGGATGAAGGGGCATGCAGAACATTGGGTCATCGCTTTGGTCTGGACGGACAAGTCGTTTGGTTGGTTCCGTCGAAGGATGGCATGGAGTGCGCGGAGTCACGGAGAACGGAGAGCTTAACCGAGGCCGACACTCCTAATCGGCTGTGTACCTGCGGTAGGGACGTAAAATGTATATTATTCACGAAATAAAGATCGAATAACTCGCTCATTTGGCTTCTAATAAGAATAGTATTATATAAGATTAGGGTCAATGCTACGAGTTCGGAATGATTGCCTTCTACGGTGGTCTTGGATAAACCTGGAGAAGGGAAATTCTGACCATAGTCTATCGCTTGATTCTACATTTCACCGTCAGATCTTGTACCAGAGGGCTGTGTATGCTGAACATGTAATCATGATATGACTCCTCATTGAGACTAGGCTTTTATAGTATTATATGATGAGACACACGAGTTGTAGTTGGGACATGTGTATTATCTTGTGGGACAAGTGTGTGTCGAGTTTATTCGTTAATATTTGTGAGTAGTATCGATTATAGAAAATCGAGCGGCATTTGCAGACACAACGACGCAATTTGGAATATGTGGCGTTTCAAAGGAAGCACCATACGAAGTCCGAATAGCCCGTCCAGATGCGACCATCAGCCTGACCTTCGCCGTTGATGCATTTAATTACCGTTCCTATAAACAGGCTTGTCTCGGCTTACTGTCATTGGTCGACATGATGGGTTTGGAACTCTGGAGCCATACTCAAGGCGCACATATATATGACACATCCCGTACGCTAAAGACATAAGCTGCCCAAATACATCTTCCATGAGCCATGATGAAATCGTCTACGGACGTCTACATCCTTGGAGACCAGGCCCTCCGTGCCGAGAAAAACCTGTAGTACATTCCTCCTAGTTCAGGATAAACCTGCTTTGACTGCGTTTTTAAACAGCTCCCTCAGTATAATTTCCAGCCATGCCCACTTGAACCCACACGGACTGAAGTTGAGAGGGTACTTATGCCCCGGCCGGATAGGACTCCCAGCCGTTTCCCGTTGCTTAGGCGATGCGTTTGTTAACCAGTATATTATCTTGCTTGTCAGCTTTGTTAACTGAGAAGCAATGAGAAGTCATTCCGTCACTTCTTTTTGTGGATCATGCGTGTTGAGTTATGAGCCGAAATCAGGATCTCATTGATTCGTAAAAGGCGATCCTAGGATAAATGTACACGGATTACAGCTTCGCTTCCCTCGCCGTCCTTCCCCCGGTCTTTTTTTCTAGGCTGATCCAGCTTGCCATGCAAAACAATGCACCGCCATACCGCCATGGCCGCAGCGAAGCGCTCGAGACAACTCTGCCTGATCTCCTTTCTCTATCTCCGCTCACCTCGCCTCACCCCCATATATTCTTGTTGGACGGTATATAAAAAACGAGGAATGCCCCAGTTTAGTGGTGCGCGGGCTCCTCCTCGTCCTCCTCGACCAACCAGTCCTCGACGGCAGCGGGGGCGGAGCCGGGAGCGACGGTCTCCTGACCCTCGACCTCGACGGCCATGCTCTCGTACTCCTTCAGGCTGTTGGCAAGGTCGGCCTCCTCGGGCGACTTGGGGGTCTTGGGGGTGGTGAAGGTCTGGACCTGGCCGACGGCGTCCGAGTCCTTGACGGGGGTGGGCTTGTAGGCCTTCAGCTCCTTGAGGTAGAGCTCCTGGACGAAATCGGCTGTGGCAGAGTCATGAGTTAGTCACGTTGTTCAATCAAGACGCATGGGGTGGTCCCGCTGTCTCTTGCCCTCTTGGTTCGGAGCAAGACTGTCTGATCTCCATCATTGGGGAGCTGGATGGGGCGAGAGGCGTGGCGTGGCGAGGCGAGGGCAAGGTAAACCGAGTGGTGAGGATGATCAATGGCGTGGCTCTTTGGTAGTATCTGCGTCGTGATACTCCATGCTCTTCTGCAGGAGCTCTCGATGCCTTCAGCCAATCCACCCATCAATCGAGCCGATTGCCTCGTGTATTCCCCCACCCCAATTCGCGAACGACGTTCCCCGGGAGCAGAATAAACCAGAAACAGGGAGAGCGGATCGAACGTACCTCGTCGCGAAACGGTCGGGGCGATGAATCCTCGGACGGCGTTCACCCTGGCGACGCGGGTGATGGCCGAGGCGGCCGAGCGAGCAGTCTGCAGCAACGGTCGGGGGTCAGCGGACACGTCCACGAGCGACGGCGAGGTCAATCAATCAGGGGCGCAAAAAGACGTACCGAAGCCCTGAGTTGCACGAGCATGATGTCCGGATGTGTGTGAGGGAGATGGGGCCCAACAATTGACGGGGGGGTGGGAAGAGCTGGGTGGTGAGATGTCGTCGGGTGAGGAGCTTTTTTATGAGGTCTTTCGATAACCGAAACGCTCCCCTTCTCGTTCTCGTTGGTTTGGCTGGGGCCCGCCGCTTCTTCTTCTCTAGCCTGGCTGGATTTTCCGCTGCGTCACGTGATGGACCGACTTGGGATCGTTCTCCACTCTACTCTCGCAGATGGGCAGAGGTCGTCGGGGGAGGGATGCAAGTGGAGATGGATCGAGTGGTGTACGGCCTGTCGTTTCTGACAAACGCTTCTGTCGGTCTTTTGCTCTTTTTGCAATGCCAGAAAAAGACCTACAAGTCTTTCGGTAGTAAACACAATCTCTGGTGTGTTTTGGGATTGTTTTCCTTTCTCCTCACCCTGCACGCATGTCGTCGCCCCGTCGCCATCCCTACCTGGACAGGCCGGGATGACGCTGTTGAACTCTCATCAAACAGTAGGTGACGGCATGAAGAGTGCTAGTCGGGCTAGCTACAGTAGCTCCGACTTGACTTCAGATCACCACAGCTCCCATGTCCCGTGTTCCGCGCGAGTGCATGCGGTACCTACCCCAGATCGAGCACTCGTCATGCCCAGTTCCCAGCATAACTCCCCTATCCCACGAACCTCTGCCCGAGCTTGCATGACTGTCTCCATGTCTGAGCTCCTCCCACACCCCCGGCTGAGGGCCGTAGTGGCTGCCCATGCATAGACACTAACACCCTTGGTCATGGCCCCATTACGGGAAATACCCTGAAATTCGATGCCATCGTGCCATTGGATCGAATGAGCACTACGTCCCCCCCCCCGTCACCAGCGCATTGTGTGTTTGTTATTCTCCCCATGCAAAGTCTTATGATGACGGTCATGCCGGTAACAGTATCGAATGAGTCACGTACCTGGGCATTGGTCAACAAAGAGGTGGCCGAGAGGATAGGATCTGCCATATCCGTATCTGTTTTCCAGCAGTGGAGTGTTCCTTTTTTATATTATCTGCAGCGTTTATTTGCATCTACTATGTAGAGAATACCTTTCCTCGTAGACATTGCATAAAGAAGATATTCGTAGCTGGAAACAAGCTCTATTGTTCTCCAAGTCAACCCAAGAAATCGCTGTTCGAAACCGTCGGACCACATATGTATTGAGGTCTGATCTACGCAACGAAGTGCGTCGTACTATATTCCTTCTCAGGTACCCGTGACGGCTCTGTATCCTTGTCTACTGATACGCTCAACTTGGAATACCCTTCTGCGAAACGCCTCCAACGCCTGCCTCCACCCCACAAATTGTGACTGTAAAGTGTAAAAGTAGATACAAGAATCGAACACTCGTGCCTTGACCCGGTTTATCTCCCATCTCCTGGTCTAGTATAATTTTTTTTTGAGTCACGACGCACAAAAGACACAGTTTCCCTCAACCCCGGGGCCCCCTTTAGTAGCCGTGCCCGTTCTGGCCCGCGTTGCCGTTGCCGTACGGCCGGTGGGGCATCTCGACCTCCTGGCCGGCGGCGTACTTGTCGCCGCGGCGGCCGGGGATCTTGCTGCCGCCGTTGGCGCCGGCTCCCCTGCGCTTGCGGAAGCTGGTGGTCAGTTTGATGGCGGCGTAGAGGACGCCGATGACGGCGGAAACGACGGCATAGGCGACGACGAGGCGGCCGGGGGCGCCGGCCAGCTGCAGGCCCAGCCCGCCGTTGATGACGCCCAGCAGCATGAGCGAGCGGCCGTAGGCGATGTGCGCATACGAGACGACGCTGCGCTTCTGGTGCTTGACGAAGTGCGTGTGGTGCACCCAGCCGAGCGCCGGCTGCAGCACCATCAGGCACACGACCACGGTGCCCAGGAGCGTGTGCGTCACCGTGAAGTCCTGCGTGGCGGGTCAGCGCGTGTCTGCTTGGACATTTTTGGGTTCAGGAAGGGGGAAGGGAAAGACGGGGGAAATGCCCGTGTTGCAGACTTACATATTTGGTCCTGTGCGCGGAGATGACGCCCAGGGCGAATCCAGCCCACATCAGGAGGAAGGCGACGGTCTGGAACATGGCGTGGACGACCCAGTTGCTGAGCATCGGCATCAGGATGGAGCCGATCGGGTACAGGATCACAAACGTGATGGCCATGACCACGCCGTGGGCGGCAATCAACTTCGGCGTGTCCATGTTGCTGGTGTCCTCAATGACGCCCGAGGAGCTAGAGCCGGAGTTGTTGCCGCTGCCGCTGCTGCCGGAGCCGGAGCCGGAGCCGGAGCCGCTGTTGTCGTTGCTGCCGCCGGATGCGACGAAAGGGTTGGCGTCCGACGAGATGGTGGCCTGCTGGAGGTTGAACGCCCAGGCGGTGTGGGAGTCGTGCTCGGCGATGGCCGCGTCCTTGTCAGACGAGTCCAGGGCGGGGCCGCTCTTCCAGGCCGCAATGAAGTCGGAGCTGCCCGAGGCGCTCACCGAGCCCTTGGACAGGCTCTGGCAGTTGGAGCACACGAAGTTGGCGACCATCGTGTCCCCGTTGACGCCTGAGCCCGCCAGCAGTGTCACCTTCGCAGCCGACGAGCTGGTGTCCTCCGAAGGCATCTGGTGGTTCGTTCCCAGTCGCGGCGAGACCGTCACGTTCCCGGAGCCGTCCGTGTACATGACGAACATGTAGGAGCTAGCCATGCTGTCGCCGCTGCCCAGTGCCAGCCACGTGTACGAGGTGGGACCTGAGATCTGAAAGTAGAGGTTGCCGTTTCCTGAGCTGGAGGTCGTTGGGACGGCCGCAGAGAAGCAAATATCACCGGAGCATTTCGTCACACTTTCGGCGACTGCGATAGTGTTCAAGGTGAGAGCGGCTGCATGTTTTGTCAGTGCTGTTTTCAAACAATCATCCAGTTCAGCTGTCTTGGCATGCGCCAATCCATCGCCAGGGGCGAGTGTGGATTCTGGTGTTTTCGTGACTTACACAGAGCCGCTGTTGTAAATGTCGAGCGCATCTTTTGATATAGAACCCCAACCACGGAGGTGATGCTATACAATTGTCCTGATTCCCAGTTCGATCTGCCGAATGAAGGTGCAGGAAACGAGAAATCTCGAGGTGCGACCTTTGTGGAACGAAAGCTCGGTAAGCCACCAAGAACGGCGATTTGTTTTCTTCTCCCCAACAATGTAAGCCACACGCGCGGACTTCAGGGAGGGGAAACGGGAGAGCTAACAATTGGAGATGAGACACGAGACCGTGAGGCTGGACGCTAGTTTATTTCGATGGTCTTCCGTAGCCCATGCGCTTTATCGTTTAGCAGGAAGCTGGAGGGGGGCTGAGAATATCTGACCGAACCTTGGGTCGAGGATGTTGTCAGATCTGATGCCCAGGGGAGGTGCACGTTCTATATATGCGAGCCAGTTGAGTCGCTTTTTCGTCTATTCGCTACCCAAAAAAAGGTGGCGCTACTCTCTGACTTCTGGGCTGGCCAACGAGTTATCGCAAGGGAAACCTTGGGTGAAGGGATTGGTTGGTTGGACGTTCTTTGTCGTCTTGTATCTGGATCTGTGCCGAGAAAAGTCCAAGACTGGAGATGACGACGCTCAGAGCCTTATCGAAACAAGCCTCCTGCAAGTCCAACATTGGTGGCCCTTTCCTTCATACTCGCGGTTGGGGGCCCGCGGAACCCCTAGGCTGAGGATTATTCATGCTGACAACGGGCAGATCAACGCAGTGCCAAACGGGATATCGCGGTGGGGATTCACGCCGCACGCCCTGCAGGTGCCAAGCTGTCGGGGCCAGTCCAGCAATGGGCAGTCTGTATAACACACAGCCACGATGACCGCGGGTGATGCGGTATGCCAAGGGTTGTGGTACGTCGTCAAAGTTGACTTCCGTGGGTTGCTGATGACGGGGCTGCAGGTCACTGAAAGGACGGACGCTTTTAGCATCAGAGCGCGGATCCCTCCAGGCCATCTGGGTAATTGAGCGGTGCTGATTGGTGCGCCGGTACTGCCACACGCGGAGAATGTCCCCATGAGGTGTACCTAGCTAATTAAGTCAGGGTCTTACACACCACTAGGGCCTGATCGTTGGGACGAAACAGTTCCGAATCTGTAGCTGTGGCCGCCTGTTCGTCTCTCCCTCAAGCTGCATCCAGTTAGCACACAGAGGGAGAGAGCTAGGCACGGCATCCGGTTCCCAAGTCTCCAGATCGCCATAATGATTCCCTGACCAATACAGCAAACAACAGACCTGACGTCAAAAAGACATACCATACTAGACTCAACCGCAGTTCAACGGACACTTGTATCAAAGCTTTCCAAGAAGAGCTGAAGTCAAGAGAAAGTTGGGTCCTTATGGGTCCGCTAGGTGAACTATAACTTGACCACTTTACCAACCTTGGCCGGTACCTTATTACTAAGTAAGAACAGAGTTTGGAAACCCCAGAAATTCATTGAACGAAACCGGTCCCGTAGCTTTACCAAAACAAGCCCAAAGTCTCAGACCCTTTGGGCATTAACTCTGTGCTGCGTGGTGCGTTGCTGGGAGAGGCTGAGGGCCTTGGTACGCTTCGGTAGTGGTAATTCACAAGGGCAAGAGCCTGTGTTATAGTGGAAGATCGTCGTAGAGCACCAATGCTTTTGGATATATTTCACGTCTCGTACGAGGCCACGACAGGCGACATATGAAGAACTGTGAAATCACCGATCGAGGGCCCGTGATTGGATGCTATCAGTGTTTGAGCGAACTGGGAACACCTCAGCGAAGCCTTGGCTGAGGCCATCGCACAGGGCTTCAGCGTACGCGGGGGCGAGGGGCATTGCCAGGCGGAGATTTCGGTATGTCGCAGTAATTAACAGAAAGCTGGTAAGCTAAGAAGAAGCTCTTGAATAAGCTCTGTGGAGAGAGAGCATCATTGTCCATTCCTGGAGTATGGCAGTTGCTTGGGGGGACGGACCGTCTATCGCGCCGGTTGTGTACCACGCAAATGTCATATTCCGTTCTGGGAAAGACAGCTGCGCATCAGTTTGGGGCGCGCTTGGGACGCCGTCTGGCCGCCCGCCCAGCGAAGGTTTCGCCAAGTTCGCCAGGGCCAGATGCCGCGTGGAGTCGGGACAAGCAGCGGGCCCACCTAACTATCACTACATGCTGACTTCAGTGCCGTGCTCATAGGGCAGACGCGCTGCTGTTCTGCCAAAACGAGGACCTCCAGGCCTGTTTAAGGTTGTCGCTCCTGTAATAGTTAGCCCAGGTGGAACTCGTAGTGCAAATACGAGGCTCAAGGTATTATTGGCTTTGCCATGGAGCACTGCCGAGCCTTTGCAACAATTTTTGCGTAATCGCGGGCAGATAACGATGCTGTAATGACATTCTGAAGGCGCAAGCCAGCCAAACACTTGGCTTTCCAGGTAGCTGCACGACGGGAGGTCGGCAGACGGTGACGGGCATGCATACATAGTACTATGGTACTAATTCCCAGCCAGCCTGATGCGTGATAAGCCTGATGAAACACGGTGACGGCCACGTTGATAGTGCATTGGCGTAGGGCCAAGCCAAGTGCGGCTTACAAACATTCTGTCATTGCTGCACCGACAGTCTGTACAAGGGACTGATCAATCACGATATCTGATTTCTGAGAAGCTGAAACATGCTGTATTTCTTCACCGCATCCCGTTACGGGAGGCCTCCATTAGTTCTATCTACCGATAGCAGCAACCGATAGTCCCTTTACAGTTCCCAAGCACACAAAATCCTGGTTGGGGGGATGTAGTCGTCAGTGCCTAGCCAACAACTCAGAATTCCCGAACCCATTTTTACAGACCGTTACTCCGTGAAAGAAAAGCACCAGCCCAAGGTCTAACGCTTCCCATGTTCTGTCTTTCCTAGGCCGCTTCTATGCCTGTATCATTCTTTATCTATGCTTCCATGGTCAAGAATGCTGCATTTTCGATCAAGCTGTTCGAGGCTACAAAGCTGAACCCGCCGAAAGGATCCTCCTTCAAGCCATCCTTGGTCTTCGGAGAGCCAGCACCCCACAGATCTTTGGCAGTGATGACGGGACTGAGGGGGAGCTCGGTGAACTCGGGCGCAAAGTTCTCGGCCAGCTCAGGATCCGTGATCATGGGCTGGATGGGAGGCTCGACCTCCTTGGCGGCCAGTTTCTTCCAGTCAATCTTGCGGAAGAAGCGATGCTTCTTCAAGGTCTGAAGATCTTTGGGCATGTTGCCGCCCAGACGCTTCTTCGGGCTCTTGTTCAGCAGCCGGGTAAGCAGGTCCTTGGCGTCAGGGCTGAGGAAGTACGGCAAGACCAGCTTCTGCTTGAGGATGTTCTGCTGGATCTTGGCATGGTTGCCGCCCCGGAAAGGTGGGTTACCCGTCATAAGGTCGTACCCCAGCGCCCCGAACGACCACCAGTCCACGGCCTTGCCATACTTCTCCCCAGCAATGACCTCGGGAGCCATGTACTCGACCGTGCCCAGAATGGACTTGCAGCAGTCCTCGTCGTCAACCGAGACCTGAGATGAGAGACCAAAGTCGGTGAGCAGCAAGTTTCCTTGCGCATCCAACAGACAGTTCTCTGGCTTCAGGTCGCGGTAGATAACGCCCAGGGTGTCGTGGAGATGAGACAGGGCGAGGATCATCTGCGCCATGTAGAAAGCGGCCACGGGCTCTGGGAACATCTTCTCGGTGTTGAGATGAGTAAACAACTCGCCGCCTTGCCCGTACTCAAGAATCAGGTATAGCTTCTCGTGGTCCTGGAAGGCGTAGAAGAGCTTGACAACGAACGGGTGTCGGTTGACCGATTCGAGGATCTGTCGCTCCGTCTTGGTCTGCTCCACGAGCTTCTTGTGGACTACAACAGATGCCTTTTTGAACTGCTTCTGAGCGTAGAGCCGCCCCGTGGCGCGCTGCCGAACCAGAAGCACGGTTCCGTAGGTTCCCTTGCCGAGACAGCGCAGAGGCTGGAAGTCGTCGGCCTGCATCTTGCGCTGCACGAGCCCGCCTTCGATGGCGCCGAACTTGGGCTTCTCGCGGACGCTCTCGCTAACGAAGTCGTGCTCGAGGGGGATCTCGTAGCTGGTGGATCCGTTCTCGGACACATCGTCGTCGCTGCGGCCCAGTCTGCTCTGCTGGCTGTTGGTCCTGGTCATGGTGCCGGCGTGGCTGTCGGAGTAGGTCATGGTGCTGGAGCGCGAGTCGTTCAGACTGAGAGGCTCCATCTGCAGACGCAACTTGGCGATGCCGCCGACGGCGGGCGAGTGGTGGCCGCGGAGGGTCGGGCTGCAGTTTGCGCTCACGACATCGTCGATGCGAGGGACACGGCCTCGTCGGGCGTTCAAGGGCGGCGTCTTGCAGTAGTCGGAATCGTCGTCGCCGGATGCGACAGACGAGGCGCCGAACCCGCGCACGGTGGAGAGGGCGGGAGGCGGCGGGGGCAGCATCTTGGAAGGCGGGGTGCCAGGGTGGTGCGAGGATTTTGGCTACCGTGTATGTGTATGTGTACGTATACGTGTGATATGGTCGTAGATGCAGTAACTCCAGAGATATCGTCGCTCGCTCGGTCGAGGTATCTCTCGGTCTCTGAAGTCACTCAGCCTACGCCGATTCAAGGCAGGCTGGATCGTCCTGCCCGTCGTCGCTCGGCGTCAATGCGAAGGTCGAAGACTGCTCGGTGGACTCCGTGGGTTGCTGAAATGCGCATCTGGGTCTGGAAGCGAAGCGAAGAAAGGAAATGGTCGGGCGAGTTTTGCATATGCATTGGCGACGGTGGGAGGTTGCGTAAGGGTGCTGTTGGTATCGTGCGATTCACCGATGTGGTGTTGGGGGGAGAGAGAAAGAGGGAAGAAGACGACGGGTGCGTGAGATTCCTTGGTCTGATAAAGCTGACCACCGGCAGGCCACCTGCACCCACACCCACACCCAGGCGGACGGATCACAAGCAACGCAGCGGGCAGGCCGCCTGAACCCGCCTGAGCCCGCCCAACCAACAGCGGGCCACCACATGCAGGCACAGGCTCAGGCACAGGCTCAGGCCAGAATTTTTTTTCCAACTCAGCCCGGCGCTGCAAGCCCCGTGGGGCTCTCGGCTGGGCCGTTTTTAGCACCCTCAATCTCCCCCCTGGGCAACCGGGGTCTCTTGGACAATGCGAAAGAAAATTCTCTGATTGATTGATGCCCTAGCGCCGATCACCTGCAACTTGAGGCACGATCTACTGTACACTGGACAATGCCCAATGGCCCTTCATACATTCAATTCCTCCCGCAACATGGGCATTTGGGCCGTTTCATATTCGTACAATCTGTCTTTTATTGCGATTTACAGCCATGCTTTTCTAAAACTGGTTTTTTTTTTCTTGCTGCGACGCGGCAGAGCCGAGGAAACCAGCGGCACTTTGCCGCGGTGCTTGACGTTGCCTTCCGCTTTGGGCAGTTGCACGCAGCCAGGGTCGGTTCGCCCAGGTGGCCATCTGCCAAAAACGTCTGCGACATTGTAATCACTCTCCCGAGGTCCCGTCCAGGAGTGCACTCAACCTTGGAAGTCTCTCGTCCGACAAACCGTGCGAATTCCTGTAGTCAGAGCTAAGACACTCTCTGCCGCTCCCGTTGCACACCATCACGCCCGTCCAAGCCAGACGACCTTGAAGAAGGATAATGCAGGGGGTCCAATCCGTAATTAACTCCATGCACTCATATGCGTCCAAAATCCTTGCCATCATTACCAATATCATCCAAGTAACTACCTTACAGAAGGCCAGGCGTACTGGACTGTGACATACACACGTATGTCAGACCAGCCTTGGGATTCGCCGAAGGAGTCATGGTGCTCTTCCTCCGGAGGCCGAGGCCTTCTTGGAGGGCAGGGCATATCCTCTTCATTAGTTAGTGTCTCATTGGACCTGATGCCCTGAAGTCCCGGAAAGACACAAAAGCTGTATTCATGAGGCCGGCTGCTGGGTGCAGTCGACATGACCCTTGCATCGCAGTCCCCTCCGACAGTTACATAGTAAACATACGCTCATTGGCATGTATCTGACGTGCGCCGCCGCCCGTATGCAACAGGTCAAGGAGGGCTCTCGATGCAACTTAATGGCAACTGACAGACCGCGCTTACAATGGGACCAGTGGGACCGACAACGTCGCCTCTAGTAGTGCATGCGCCGCGAGGCATTATATTGACTCTTCACGGCACTGCAAGCACGGGGCAAGGGTTACAGACAGGACGGCATGTCAAGCCATTCGCCCTGTTACCTCTGCAGCCTCGCGCAAGCCAACTCTTTCAAAATGTCCGAAGGCCTTTGATGATAGGCCCGCTTATCTGGGACGATCCGGGGAATCGTCATCTCCAACGGCTACCAAGGCTCTGAACCGAGCTTTGTGGATCTGTGGGGTGCTCGGCGCCGTCTTCCCCGCAAACAACTACGCGGGCGACCAATTCTATACTATGCGCACAGACAGCCGTGCTTTCACCCACCGGTCCCTGCCGGGAACCAGCCATGACTGGATGGAGAAACTTGAACCGCCAAGCAGGTGATGCTACCTGCCGGCCAACATTGCGGCTATCTGCTCACAGCGGCGTCACATGCCGGCTCATATAAATGTTCGTCAGCATGCCACGGTACGGCGTGGCTGGATTGAGAGCATCGCCACCTCGTTGAAGGCGAGTCTACAGCAGTAATAGGAAACCATGCCGTCCTCTCGCTCAGCATTCTACGCAGCGGCTGTAGTCGTCACCCAGGTGGCTGTTGCGGCCAATGTCCGGACGACGACTCCGCATATGGGCTGGAACAGCTACAACTACTACTCCTGCAATCCCACCGAGGAAATCATCAAGGCCAATGCTCAGGCCCTCGTCGATCTTGGGTTCGCCGACCTGGGCTACAAGCACGTGACGACCGACTGCGGATGGATGTCGCGGGACCGTGACTCGGAAGGCCGCTTGCAGTTCAACACGACTCTGTTCCCGTCGGGTGGCGTGGCGTTGGGCGAGTTCATCCACGGACTGGGCTTGAAATATGGCTTCTACTCGGGTGGAGGGTATCTGCAATGCGGTAGCACCGACTTGCCAGCCAGTCTAGGTTCGTCATCCGTAGTATACCAGGAGTCCGTGGGCGTTCCATGGAAGCTTATCTTATGGGCTTCTGTGATTGATAGCGTCTAACAGTCTTGTGCAGGATATGAGGAGATAGATGCCCAGTCGTTCGCAGACTGGGGTGGCGATTCACTCAAGTAAGCTACCTGTAGAAGTCCCCTCGAAATCTGCCGATGATTTCTCACGCCTGATGAAAAGGTACGACAACTGCTATCCTACAGACAAGGTCCTGATGGCGGACTACGACTCGGCCGAAGCAGCGTCTCCAGCCCGCTTTCAGACAATGGCCGCTGCCCTCGATGCCGTTGATCGCGATATCAACTATTTCATCTGCCAATGGGGCGTTGGGACCAACGTCGGCGCGTGGTAAGGATCCAGACGGGCTTGCATAGGCCGTAGCTGATAGAAATTAAACAGGGCATCTGCCATCGGAACATCGTGGAGAATGAGCAACGATATCTACAACGCGTGGCGAAGCATATGGCGCATAACCAACCAGGTAGTCCCGTACTACAAGTACACAACCGTCGGCGCGTATGCCGACATGGATATGCTGATGTGAGTTCTTGCTTCTTTTCCCGGACACTCCCACCCAGTTGCAGAACACAGCTGACGCCAACCCCCAGTGTTGGACTCGATGCCTTATCCCTTGAGGAAGAGCGTTTCCACTTCGGCATGTGGGCCATCAACAAGTCGCCGCTCGGTATCGGCGCGCCTCTGGAGCCCTCTCTCGCGCCTCAGGACTCGCTCAACATTCTGGGAAACGCCGAGGTCATCGCCCTCAACCAGGACCCGCTCGGCGAGCCTGCCAGGCTGGTCCGCCGCTTCACGGAAGAGGAGTACGACATTTGGGCCGGTAACCTTTCGAACTCGCGATTGGTGATCGGTATCGCGAACTGGCGCAATGCCTCCCAGACTGTGGCGCTAGACTTAGGTTCGCTGCTCGGCGTCGCATCTGCCAGTGCTCGCGATGTCTGGGCCGCGGCGGATCTAGGCACGCTGTCAGGCGTGCAGACGCTGCAGCTTGCGGGACACGAGTTGAAGCTCCTTGTCCTGTCAAACGTGGTTTCGTCATCAGACTCGAAGCCCCAGGCAGCGGGCTACTACACGGCGGCATCGGGTGCGGCACTGTCCGGACGGGCGGCCGTCGCGGGCTGCGGCGCCAACACCTGCCTGCCCGCAGGCCAGAAGGTCGGCGACATCTACCCCGGGTCGGCGGTCACGTTCGGGTCCGTGAGCGCCGCGACCGCAGGGACCAAGCTGCTGGGCGTCGACTTCATCAACTACGAGATCGCGCTCGCCACGGCCTGGGACTGGGGCTCCAACACGCGGAACCTGACTGTCAGTGTCAACGGAGGGGCGGCCAAGCGGTGGGCATTCCCCATCTCCGGGGGAGACTGGTCCGATACGGGACGTCTGGAAATTGAGGTTGATGGCTTCGAGGCGGGTTCTCAGAACGAGGTCGTGTTTGCTGGGTTTGGCAGCAACCCTGGCCCTGACCTGGTTGGGTTCGAGGTCTTTGAATAAGGCGTCTTCGCAGAGATGAGACCCATTGTTTCGATGTGTCCGATCACTTAGTTACCTGTGCTGGTACTCGCCCAACTGGCTCTGGATTATTAGATAATATATTTGAAGGCTGAAGCTTGCCCATGAACACAAGAAATCTTTCGCTCATACTCTCCCCCGTTCTGGACCTGGATAAGTTCACTCTAGATCAATAATGCGTTTCTTTGGACATGTTGGTATATTTCATCTGCTAGTTTCCCCGTATCAGTCCGATGCCGTGTTTCAGATTTTCTATGCAGACTAAACGAAATAGCACGAAGCGTTATGAGGAATGTTTTGCGAAAGCCATCTCGTCCTTCTGGTAGTCGTCGTCGTCGTCGTCGTCCTCAAGCTACGGGAGCTTCCAGACGGAACGGGAGCAGGGGCCTCTCCGGCAGCCCGCCCCACTAAATTTTGGTTCACCGGCGCTAGAGAGCTTTCAACAACGCCTTCACGGTTCTGCCTCGCGAGCCTTGCTGCTGCAGACCATTCACGACCACGGCGCATTCTGATTCTCCTCGCCTCTGCGCAGCCCGCCGAGCCATTCCGCGAAGATGATGCACCCGTCGCGCCAGGCCTATGTCGAAGAGGCCCAAGAGGTCAGTCCCTCCATGCCCCAGCCCGCTGTGAGGCTGAGAGCACCTACTAATACATCTACTCCCAAACAGGATCGCGGCATCAGTCTCGAGGATCTGCCCACGGACCACGACTATGACCTACCTTCCGCAAGCGCTGGCATCGCGCCGGAGAAGGCCTCGGCCATCTTGTCGCAACTGAACCGGAAACGTCTCGCTGCCAGCATAGCAGTGCCCACCGACGATGGACGTGTACGAGCGCGGCTGCGGGAGATGGGCGAGCCCATGACGCTCTTCGGGGAGGGCCCTGCCGACAGGAGAGACCGACTGCGCGAGCTCATGGCGGTGCGGGCCGAGCAGCAAGCTGCCGGAGGGGAGGCGGCCGACGTCGACATGGAAGATGCGCCCGAAGACGATGCCCAGGACCAGGAAGAGGAATTCTACACACAAGGCAGCGAAGACCTGTTACGCGCAAGGCAGGAGATTGCGCGGTTCTCACTTCCGAGGGCGAAGAAGCGCCTGGCGTGCCTGAAGGAGGACAGCAACATTCCGCTACGCACACACGTCAAGTTCCGCAAGCAGATCAGGGAGAGACTCCAGGGCTTTGAGCTGCAGGGCAGTCAGACGGCCGGGGACAGACATGTCAGCATGACGAGGATATCACCGAATGGGAACATGGTCGCCGCGGGCAACTGGGGTGGGAGCATCAAGCTCATCGAAATCCCGAGCATGGAGGAGAAGGGCATGCTCAGGGGCCACACCAACCGGGTCAGCGGCATCAGTTGGTTTCCTGGCGCGACATTGCCAGAGAAGGGAGTAAGCCCGGATTCAGTAAACCTGGCTTCGGGAGGCGCCGAAGGCCAGATCAACTTGTGGAGTCTGAACAAGGACACACCAATCTCGACGCTGGGAGGTCACGCGCAGAGAGTGTGCAGGGTCGAGTTCCACCCGTCCGGAAAGTACCTGGCCAGCGCAAGCGAGGATACGACGTGGAGACTATGGGACGTTGAGACGACGACGGAGGTGCTTCTGCAAGAAGGGCACTCAAGAGGCGTGTTCGCCGTCAGCTTCAACACGGACGGCTCTCTACTGGCCAGTGCAGGTTTGGACAACATTGGTCGGATCTGGGACCTGCGGTCTGGAAGGACGATCATGATTCTGGATGGGCACATGGACGGACATATCAAACCTATCCACGGTCTGGACTGGAGCTCGGACGGCCACCGGGTCCTGACGGGGTCGGCGGATGGATGGATCAAGTGCTGGGACGTGAGGAAGGTGCAAAGGACGGGCGGCATCGGAGCTCACAGCAGCGCAGTGTCGGACCTGAGGTGGTACAAGGGACTGGACGACCCGGTTGATGGTATTCTGCCGCCGGGGCTGGACGACAAGGGCAACCAGCTGCCGCGGAAGACGAGCACCTTCTGCGTGTCGGCCGGGTTCGACAAGAAGGTGAACATCTTCTCGGCCGACGACTGGTCGCTGATCCAGACGCTCGAGGGCCACACGGGACCGGTTGCCAGTGTCGATGTGAGCCGAGACGGCAGATGGATCGTCAGTGGAGGGCACGACCGGACGGTCAAGCTGTGGGGCCGCAACGACGGCGAGGCTCTGTGAGATACGATAGGCGCATTACAGGACGGCGGCAGATGAATCGATCAGATACCCATGGCATTCGGAGCAACCCTCGCATCCTAATATTGATCATCCAAATTGTGAATATGTGCAGCCCAAATCCCTTGTGTCCCCAATAATACATTAGGAATCACTAGGACATGGTGAATCCAGTAGGTACTTGAACGCCGGGCTTTCACGAGACCGTGCAGTCAGTGGACCGACATGGTGACTGGCTTCAGGGTTGACTGGCAGACTGGCAACTGGGCAGCGTGCACGTGCCACTTTGCGCGACAGGGCTGTTGGCTGGGGAGGCAAAAAGGTACCTAGGTACCTCCACTACGTTAAGTGCCCCCCCGTCCGTACCTTAGGTTCTTTCGTAGCGCAAGATTCAAAGATCAAAGGGCCATCTGGATCAACTCACGTCTTCGTTCGAGGAGAGAGCATCGACTGCCGACTCGCTTTTCTGGCAACACGCCCACCGACCCAACACCCAACGCTCGGCGACTGCACCAGGAAACCTCGAGCTCGAGTTCGTGCCCTTCAATGACGTGAACCCGGAGCGCCCCAAATCTTGACACGCCCGCCGGCATCACCTGCCATCCGGTACTCCTGCTCCATCGCCTGTCTATCTCTCCGCGAACGGCAGAAGGTAGAAGGCACACACTCTCACCCATGGCGAGCATCGACAGATACCGCCCGCCGGGGCGCGAGTCCTACCAGCCTCCCACCAGGCCCGTCAACGCCGCCAACACCAGTTCGCACTCGTCCAGGCCGTCCAAGTCGCCCTCCAAACGCCAGCGCGACGTGCCGCCCGCCGTCCCCTCGCCGCCCACCCTCGCCAGCTATCCCGCCCGCGTCTCGCCTCCCCGCCAGCAGTCGTCGCAATCCTCCTCGCGCCGCACCCCGGCCCACGGCTCGTCCGCCGCCGTCGATGGCCGGGACCCCAAGAGGCAGTGGTTCTTCACCCAGGACGAGGTCAACAGCAGCCCGAGCATCGTCGACGGACTGCCCCCGGCCGAGGAGCGACTGCGGCGTGCGAAGGGTGTTAATTTCATCTACCAGGCCGGCGTCCTCCTCGACTTGCCCCAGATCACCCTCTACGTCGCTGGTGTTTTCTTCCATCGCTTCTACATGCGCATGAGCATGGTCGAGGAGAAGGGTGGCATCCATCACTATGTAAGTTGCGCTCTGCCCGGCCGATGCACTTCCTTGCGCCATTCCGCCGCTGACCTCGGGCCGCTTCAGAACATAGCAGCAACAGCCCTCTTCCTGGCCAACAAGACCGAGGAGAACTGTCGCAAGACAAAAGACATCATCATTGCCGTCGCCCGCGTCGCCCAGAAGAACGCAAAGCTCATCATTGACGAACAGTCCAAGGAGTACTGGCGGTGGCGCGACAGTATCCTCCACAACGAGGAGATCATGTTGGAGAAGCTAACCTTTGACCTGACGGTTGACAACCCCCACCACCAGCTCTACAAGATCCTCGAGAACATCGGTTGCATCCACAACAAGCATCTTAGGCATGCTGCTTGGGCCTTCTGCAACGACTCTTGTCTTACGACGCTCCCGCTGCTCATGGATGCGCGGGACATCGCCATTGGTAGCGTCTTCTTCTCTAGCGTTTTCACCAGTCAGCCTATCGAAGACGTCAGCGGCAAGCCCTGGTGGGTTTACCTAGACGGCGATGAGACGCGGATCTGCAGGGCGGTCGAGGTGATTCGCGAATTCTACACCGAGAACCCGCTGAGGAAGCAGGAGAATCCCTATCAAGGAAGCCCCGAGTTCAGCCTGGAGAACAGCCGTAAGAACGGCGACGGCTCGAGTGCCGATCCAACTCCCTCGGCAGACTGGGACACCCAGAGCCCCAAGGTTCGCGTTAACGGCACCGATGCTACGGGCGATAGTAAGGATCAGGACCCGGATGCGATCTCGGCTGCTGCGGAAGAAGCCTCGCAGGCGCCAGGTGATTCGGACGCTGCGTTGAAGGAGGCGGCAAATGATCTCGCCACTCACCCTCTCAACAACGGCCATGACACCGGTCTGATTAGCCCTGGTAAGAGAAGGGACTTCGACTCGTTGTCGTCTGACAACCGCGAGACCAAGAGGCAGCGCATGAGCAGCGATGACGAGGGCGAGGTCATTGAATAGGCCTTGGCAAGCTCTTGCCTCCTGTCTAGCGAGAGATGGGTCGGCTAGACTATGCTCCTCATACCTGAGGATTCCACTCGTCGAACCTGGTGCTGCGCGCTACGCAGCACGGGTTGTTATTCGTGAACTACTTGAGGCGCACACCAGCAGGTCCTGGATATTGTCAGTATCTTTGGACTAGTGCTGCGCTCGTTCTATGCTCACTTGGTGCGTCATATGTATGAAAGTGGAGAAGGCGACAGATTCTCAAGACCATTTGCGTCTTGAGATCTCCAACAGATGTCTGCTGGGGACTATATGACACCAAAGAGCAAACGATTGCCAAGAAGGGCAATGAGGTTTAGGCGTTTAGGTGAAGAAAGGGGACCAGGTCGGGGCCTCTTCGTATGCAGGCTGGGGCGTCTTGGCTTGCTTTTTTGTTTTCCCCCGTTTGGCATTTTCAGTACAGGATTTTCGGCTCTGAATGTATTATACATGCATACAGCGATGCTCCTTCTCAGGGGACTTATACCCAGCAAGATATATTGGATCGGAGGAAGATGGGCAAATGCTGCTCCTTAGCTTCCCCAGGGAAGACAAGAGGCATGAAATGATAGTGCATTGTGATCGTATGCTACACATTTCTATATTCAGGTCAATACAAGAACAAATCGGCCCACTCGTGTTTCCGTCTGTTAGTACTGTGGATGTTTGGGAGGTAAAGGACGTTGCAATTCGTAATAAGGAGCTTTAGTTCCCTCGATACCAAGGCTATTGCAGGTGGCTGAAATGCCAAGTACAATTCCCCTGGGCCGGACACTGGCAACCTACGCCATACCGGGACTGCTGGAATTAGGGGCAATGGCTGCCATCTATGGGCTAGCCACGGTGTGTAGTTTATAGATGTCAGTGCCAGCGTACAGCTCGTGGAAGGTGACTGTAGGGAAACAGGAAGTATGCATCTAAACATATCTATGCACTTACAGTTATCCCGCCTTAGCGCTCCAACAGCAAACTCAACCGCACAACCCCGCTACGTCCATTCTTTTCCTGGGCTTATCTGCATGTACATACGCAGCCCTATAGACAACCAACATGAAAGTATTATAATGACCAAAGAGTGAGGTCTTCACCGAGCTGGGAAATATGGATCACACTGGAGAGTCAGAGAAGGGTGCCTACACTACCGTGCAGTAAGTAGCCGCCGGCAACAGGAAGACCACAGTCTTCGAACAAGCACTATACTGTCCCCATTCGCGCACTTATGACTAACAAGTGTCACCAGTCCTCTCAAGATATTCGACTTGGCAAAATCTCAAGGCAGGTTTCTATATGCCTGTGCTCCCATGGTGCGGTACAGCAAGGTAACACCTCACCTCTCATGCTCATCGGTTCGTGCTAAGACTCTACTGACCTTAACTCTTCAGCTCGCCTTCCGCCAGACAGTCCACCGCTATAATACAGATCTGTGCTGGACACCCATGATCCTAGCCAAGGAGTTCAACCGGAACCAGTTCGCCAGGGACAGCGACCTGACCATCGCGACGGACGGCGCCCAGCCCGTCACAATCGTCCAGTTTGGGGCCAACAAGCCCCTGGAGCTCGCCCGTGCCTCGTCCATGGTGGCGCCCTTCGTGAGCGGCGTGGACCTCAACTGCGGGTGCCCGCAGTCGTGGGCGTGCGCCGAGACGCTGGGCGCGGCGCTGATGGAGCAGCGGGAGCTGGTGCGCGACATGCTGGTCGAGACGCGCGCGCGCCTGCGCCGCGACGGCTGGGCCGTCGAGCGCGAGGCCTCGGCCGACAGCCCGCGCGGCCGCAGCGTCAGCGTCAAGATCCGCGTGCACAAGGACCTCCGCCGCACCATGGACTTCGTCGCCACCGTGCTGGGTGACGCCGCCAGCGGGAGCCGCAACGTCGACTGGCTCACCATCCACCCGCGCACCCGCAGCACGCCCTCCAGCACGCCCATCGACGTCGAGGCCCTCGAGATCCTGGCCGACAAGTTCGGCCGCGACGTCCCGATTCTGGTCTCCGGCGACGTCTTCACCCTCGCCACCCTGCCCTACACCTCGCACCTGCTGGACCCGGCGCCGACCTTCACCTCGTCCGGCTCCGCAGACGCCGCGGCGAAGAAGCCGTCCATCCCCAACCTCCGCGGCTTGATGTCGGCGCGCGCCCTGCTCGCCAACCCGGCGCTGTTCGCAGGCCACGGCACCTGCCCCTGGGAGGCCGTGGACGTGTTCCTGGAGCGGCTGGCCCGGGCGCCGCTGCCGCTCAAGCTCGGGGTCCACCACCTGACGGAGATGACGGGGCCCGGGTACGGGCCCGACAAGCGGGCGCTGCTGAGCAAGAAGGAGCGGGTCAGGCTAACGGCGTGCGCGAACTGGATCGACGTGCTCGACACCCTGGCGGAGCTCAGGGCCGGCAAGGAGGAGGCTGCGAGGTAGTTCTCTGGCTGAGACCTTTCTCTCCCCTGCGATAGTTGGATCGGGCAATGATGAGGATTATGATATTGAACAGAAAAATCGTGCATATCTTGGTGCTGGGGCGTATGAGTGGTTTGCGGTCAGACAGTCTAAGATGCGGCTAGACCTGTGATGAGATCTTATGGGATCCTTTGCCTTGCACACGTTGCCCTCGTAGAGGATTCCTAGTAGCCGAGGAAAAGCCCCCGGAAGAGGGCGTACATATCCCAATATATATCAGCAACGGGGTGAGATCGTGTGCATCTAATAACTCGAAGTGTTTTGAACTTCAATTCAACTATCATATAAAGACATTCAGCATATCAGATCTAGTCAGTTTGAGATAGCTAGGCATTAGAAACCAATTGAGTGTGCTGAGGCTGCATTGGACAGAATGAAGCTATCCAAGCAGAACTTTTATCGTCTCGAGAATGCAGCACGACAAACCATGAAGTCAGCTTACGGGGCGGCACAGAAAGGCTCTATCGATAACACTATGCTCCTGTAGGCATTCATAATAAGATGTCAGAAGAATACACTTGGAATGAATGTTACCTCAGCCACGTCTATTAAACCTTCTCTCTAGCCACCAGCAACGCTTTCATGGCCTGAGGCGAAGCGAGCCTTCATAGCGACCAGTTGTATTGAATAGGTCTCTTAGCGAGTACGATGTCTAAACACTCCATGCTCAAACACATGATGCTTCGCCAGGCCTTCATCCCGGTTGCCCGGTTGAGCCTGTATTGAGAAGTCGTTGATGCCTGTGTGAGTTGCTCTCGGAGACGTGGGCCTAGAATCATGGTTCTGAGCAGCAGCAGCATGCTGGCTTGTAGGACGGCTTGCACGTCTTCTTCCCTTGTGCATCCATTACGGTAAGTATCGGAGCAGACTACGTCAGGTAAGAGGTCAACATGTATACATGCAATTTTTCCCGTTCCAACTGTGTATGAGCCTTCATGATCACCTGCGCGTGGCTCTTGCGTGATTGACTACAGCTGCCCTCATAGTACGTCGACTCAGTCTTGCAACTGCTCTTGGGTGTCAAGGCACTCGCACGTCCCCGACAAGGCCCCTCCAGGGCTTCCAAAGGGTTGATGCAAATGGAACATACCGACCAGCAACAGGGTACCTCCCACGAAGGATCAGGGAGGCTTGCATGATGCGCCAGGTATAATTGCTGACTCAGTCCTTGACAACGCACTAACGTCTTAAAAGCCGCTTAAGTCCAGCTCCCGTCCGCTCGGCGTACCTGCTTACTAGCGAGCCGACTGCAAACGATTGTGAGAGACTGAGTTGCTGCATTTGGCCCCGGGTAAAGTCAGCACACGAAGGCCACAGGCCAGCAAAGTTGATTTTCGGAGATGGAGAATTGGGCTTCTCGATACCCGAGACTGTGTGCTCCTCCGCCCGGTGTTGCGAATGGCCGCCCACAAATGCCGACTTAGCTCCTGGAGCCCTGCACAGGAATGGGGCATGTCAACGTCAGTACTACACACCGGGTGGCTCTTTACTGAATATGATGGAATTGACTTTGCCTCGTACAGCGCAAATGTTATATAAGGCCACCGCCCCCCTATGCTCGTAGAAAGTTTACTCCAAGTAGTACCAAGTCGAAACCACCCGTCACTAGAAGATCGCATTGCACTTTTCAGCAGGTATATCGCAGCAAACCCTATCTGCCGCAATAACCCCGCACCAAACGATATCAATCACCATGCCTCAACTCCTGGGAAAAGAAGTCGGGCCCATTGGCTTTGGGCTGATGGGTGAGTATCCCCGAGGACTGGGAAGCTTTGGAAAACTGCACTTATACTGACACGCTCCACAAGGATTCACTTGGCGTCCGCAGCCATGCTCCCAGGAGCAGGCGTTCGCGGCCATGCGCGCGGCGCTGAAGAACGGCATGAACTTCTGGAACGGGGGCGAGTTCTACGGCACGCCCGAGTACAACTCGCTGCACCTGCTCGAGCGCTACTTTGAGAAGTACCCCGAGGACGCCGACAAGGTGGTGCTCTCCATCAAGGGCGGCGTGGACACTAAGATCATGCCGGATGGCTCCCCCGAGAACATCCGCAGGTCCGTCGACAACTGCCTCAAGCTCCTGAAGGGCCGCAAGAAGCTCGATATCTTTGAGTGCGCGCGCCGGGACCCCAAAACACCCTTGGAGGTGACGTTTGGCATCCTCGAGAAGGAATATGTCCAGACCGGAAAGATTGGCGGCATCTCGTTGTCTGAAGTCAAGGCCTCGACTGTGCACGAAGCTGCGAAGATCACGAAGATTGTCGCATGTGAGGTTGAGTTGTCTTTGTAAGCACATGCAGCCAAGACCCTGCACGGCCAACTATGCTAATTGAATTCTAGATGGTCTACCCATATCTTGGAGAATGGTGTCGCAGAAGCGTGCGCACAGTACGACATCCCTATCGTGGCATACTCGCCTTTGGGCAGAGGCGTCCTCACAGGACAGATCAAGTCATTGGACGATCTCCCTGCTGATGATATGCTACGTCACTACCCGCGCTTTCAGCCAGACGTATTCCCGATCAATCTCGAGGTTGTCAAGCATGTGGAATCGATCGCGCAGAAGAAAGGCTGCAAGCCGTCACAATTGGCTATCAACTGGACGAGAGCCGTTGCTAAGAAACATGGCGCTTCCGTTATCCCCATTCCAGGAGCCACTACTGCCGAGAGAGTTGACGAGAACGCCAAAGTTGTCGAGCTTACCGATGAGGAGTTGGCAGAGTTGGATGCTATCCTGAGCAAGTTTGAGATTCAAGGCTCTCGATATCCGGACTATGTACCCGTGGATGGTTGAAGGGGCTCAGCTAAACGGCTCATTGTGATCTATACAACATTAGTTTGCTGAATGCTAGCGATTTCAGACAAGAAATAGCATGTGTGTCCACAGTCAGGTCAAGAGGTTATCCACCTTGTAGATCTCGAGAGATCTTTCAGAATTGCAGAATTCTTGTATGGGTCATCAGGTGGAGAGGTGTTGGAGGGAGTGGTGAAGCAGTGTATTGAAACTTACCGGCGAAAAGAATGTCAACGTTGACTACTGGCCCGTCAGGCCGCTTACTTACCGTCGCCGAAGGGTTTATCCAAAGGCGGTAGAGCAGCTCTTGCCGCTTCCAGGGATCTTAAGGCCTCTGCTTCTTGGTAGGCAAATTGCTGCAAAACTCGCACGATAGATTGCAAGCCACATCACATGACATTGCCCTTAACAAAACATGAAACTTTTGAACCGTAGCCCCGGGTACCCTGCGGCTTCAGATATGACTGATCCCAAAGGGCATTGGCTTCATGCGAGCTAACACAGAACGAAAGGCTGTTTACCATATCCCGGAGAAATCCTCGATTGACGGACAGCGGATCGGATCTCCCCGGTCGTGGTGGGTGACGCCAGAGATCATTGTCTGTGTGTTCACTGGAGGCCAGGAGGCTTTAGCCGCACAGAAGAAAGCAAACTGCGCTATCAGGCCGAGGCGAATCGCCAGTCTCGGAGGCACAGCATGGTGAACATATTGATATGTTCAGCTGCTCATCTGTAGGCTGTGGGCGAAATTATGTGGATGAGAGGACGAGAAATGAAACTGAAAGTCAGCAAAAGGAAAATTTGGCTCATGCACACACCAGCGGCCCGCTGCCTTCAGGCTGGCCCCACATGGCACTGGCAGCTCAGGTGATCTTGTGCATTGCTCGCAACGATGTTCGTGAGCATTGAATCCTTCTCCGGTTGGGTGATTATTAGAACACCCATTGAATCGTCACCAGATAGTGAATCTGTCGCGAATTGTAGGGCAGACCCAGTTCCTTGGAAAATATGCGGGCTGTAGTCGTAACTTGGTGTTAGACTTATGCAAAACATAATTGCGCTGAACTGTAGAGTTGCGCTGCTAGTGCAAACCATGCATACTATGTATTTGCTTCTGCCCAGATGTATCAATCGGGTTGAAATTGGACATGCGAGTATTTCTTCTTGTCTCCCATTGAAACACCTTGTCCTGACAGGATGACACCACCGTTGATTACACTGGAAGAGCACTTCTTGTCAGAAGCTGCAGAAGATGTAAAGACACTGTACTCAGAGCAGCTGGGGAACATCCCCGAGCTTGCCACGAAGCTATCTGATCTCGGCGCTCTTCGACTGCAGTCAATGGATGAAGGCCAGATCTCCATCCAGGTCATATCGCACGGCCCTGGAGCGATGCCGCTGTCGCAGTGCATGGCTGCCAACGATCAACTGGCGGCGGCAGTGAAAGCTCGCCCAGATCGCTTTGCCGGCTTTGCCGTCCTCCCGGTGGCAGACCCGGCCGAATCGGCGAAGGAGCTTACAAGATGTATCCGAGAGCTCGGTTTCGTTGGCGCTCTCATTGACAATCGTGCTGGGAACACTTACTATGACGGCCCAGAATATGACCCGCTTTGGAAGGCAGCTCAGGAATTAGACGTTCCAATCTATTTGCATCCAACCTGGCCCTCGGAAGAACAGACAGATCTGATATATACCGGCAACTTCGCCAAGTCGGCCACTCTGAGCCTGTCTGCGTCCGGTTGGGGATGGCATTCCGACGTGGCCTTGCACATTCTGCGTCTGTTTGCTGCCGGCACATTTGACAAGTTTCCTCGCCTCAAGATCATTGCTGGACACATGGGCGAGATGATCCCGTATATGCTGGACCGGATCGTCCAGCTGTCTCCACGCTGGGGCAAGCGGAATCGCCTCTTCAAGGAGGTCTATGATAGTAACATCTGGATCACCACCAGCGGAGTCTGGAGTATAGATCCGATGGCCACCATTTTGAGAAACACCCAGGTAGGAAGGATCTTGTACAGTGTGGACTATCCCTTTGCCAAGAATGAGAATGGCCTGGCATTCATGAAACAGCTCGAGGGAAGTCAGATGGTAAACGATGAGCAGTTGGAACAGATCGCGTACAAAAATGCCGAACAGCTGCTGGGACTTAAGGTGACTAAGAGGTTCTGAATCTGAGAGATGATAACGGCGGAACCCAACTCCTTAGAAGTGGACCATGCCAAAACCAGGTCACCGGATTATGCATATAATCGATTTCATGCCCGAGATCAATCAACACAATTTATCGTATCCCGTCAAAATGCGCGTTCTGTCACATTCCGGCTCATTCTTCATCTTAGGACCACATGGCGAGATGCACGGCAACTGGGATGTGAAGTGCCATTGCCTATTCCAAGGTCGCATTCCGACAAGGCACATACCATGGTAATCTCAAAGTGCAGATGCACGCCCATAGCGTTCCAGGCGGCCCGAGCGCCTAGGTCCTCCCTTTTCTGGGTCGAGATTCTCTTCTGTTCCGAGTGCGGGCTTCAGGCTTGTCTGACACAATGCTCTGCCGTGGTCTTATTAGCTTCGCTAACGAAAACCACATCCCTCATTCTCAAACTGGTCTGCATCCTATCACATGCGAGAGCCCAGAGCTGCCTATTAGACTTTCAGAAACCACCGGAATGCAGCAAGCCAAAATGGCTTGAATTGTTAATGGCAGTCCCTAATGAGCTGGCCCCGGGGTAGGCAGGGAGCCCAATCCCGGCAACAGGGGCACTGAAGTCGAACCTTGTAGTTTGTACTGAGACAAGGCGGGAGCCCAGATTACCTACCGACTTATGAGGTACCTACGGCTAGTTCTCAGCTGCCACGGTACTTCGTGCACAGAACCCCGGGGGCTCTCAGGTTGGAACCTTGGAACCTTGGAACCTCGATCGAGGGTGGCATACAATGCAACCTGGCGGCCACTACTCCTTGTTTGCTGGCCGGGTGCCCTGTAACTTGCACTGATCCGCGTGCGTACATGCTGTACGTAGTTAGTTGGCCAGGTACCTACTATGTAGTTGTAAATTATGTTGCTGACGCGCATTTTGCGCAGACACCACCACATGGGAGAGCCACCCATCCCATTCCCGGAGCCCCCTATCGGCTCGAACCAAGTCGGTATGCCCACCCACTGCACCCCACCACTGCTTGACCAACTCTGGGCACCGTGAGCCGCCCTTGCGTTTAGTCACCGACAAGCGGCGGGGACAATTGCAGATGGCGTTGTTTCACTCAGGTCTAAACGGGATGAGTCTGCGCAGTGCACGCAGGGGTGGCGGCGGGCGCACGACTAGAGGGCGAGTGCCGCAGAGTCGAGCTGAGGCTAGAAGACCGGACGAGGCTAGAGAAAAGACTCGCTCGCCCGCTTGCCCATTTCCAGCTCCCCAGGGGTCCACCAGGAACAGGAACAGGCCCCAAGGACCAGGGGATGGGCACTGCTAATTGGAGCAACCTGGACGTGATGCGGAGGGGGCAGACCAGGCCGGCGCTCGCCAATCATGGAGCCGTTGCGCGCAACCCCCAAGGTTTGCTGCGCTGCGGGAGGTGCTGTGCAGTGCAGCGCAGGATGCGAAGGTTCTCTGGCAAACCTCCGTGTGGAAAAGCCCTCTTGAGTAACGAGCCAGACTCCCAAAGGGGCACGGAGAGCGGGCTTGCGCATTTGCACCACCATGCTCAGATCTTGGACGTGCGATACTCTGCTACTGCCTCGGGCAAATCGACTTCTCTCCTGCTCCTGGCCCTACCACCCGACTGCCGGCTCCCTTGCTTCGTCGCTTTTCCTGTAGTCCTCTAGCAAGACTCACCCTGTCCATCTGATATCCTCGAGTCGCGTGTAACCGGCAGCCTCGATCCCGCAGGCCAATCTGTCGAGGGCAGGCGCGAGCTTTGCATTGCAACAACAGTCAGCCCTCATGCATCTCGTATTCCTCCTCACTTACACGACGCACCGAACCCCTCGACCCTCGCTCCTCCGGGACAGCTGAGCCGGCATACAGCCTTTGCAGCCCAACCCACGCTCCTTGCCTGGGATACTAGGACGGGCAATTGCAGAAAAAGCACCCGTCGTTCCCATATTTCAGCAAGATTCATCACTGTGGTGGGCAGCCAGTCAGTGGCCGTGTACGCGACCTCAATCCTGGCCTGGGGGTTTTTTGCCAACACAACGGGCCGCTGCCGCCAGTATCCAGCCAATCCGGCCTGTCAATCGCACAAGGAGCTGCAATGGCTATGCAAACAGCCTCCAGCTCCTCGGCACACGGGAAGTCAGGGTCGTCGGGGTCAATCTCCTACACCCTCCCGGCGTCGCCTACACTGACGAACCCGGATATGATTTTACCCGATTACGACGATGCGCCCATGTCTCTCGACCGATCGCAGTCTCCGCTGAACATGTGGAAGAATAGCCAGTTTGATCTGGCTGGACAACAATATAATATGGGCCCTGTGACCCCTACAACCCCGATCATCTATGGCAATGGTACAATGCTGTCCGATATTGGCGAGGTCACGGAGGCTGAGAGCACGACTGGACCCATGAGACATCGGACTGGCGCACACAACGGCTATAGCCAGCCAGGCGTTGCGATGCGAAATCCGCCAGCCATGCCTGGTCTTGAAGGTTCGAGAAAGAGATCCGAAGCGCGAATGCTGCCCCGGGAGCGAGAACGGCGTCTTTCCATGGAATCGACCAGCACAATAACAAATGGCGACCAAGAAGGGCTTTTTGCCGATTTCGATGATACCGTCAGCGTGGACGACAGTGTTTTCCAGGGCGATGATGAGGAAAGTGTGGCTGCGTCCTATGTGTACGACGGCGCTTCGGACGGGGGCGACCGGACACCTCCGGCGAGAGATCTGAACCAGGGACTTGGGCCTGAGGCGGAGGAGCGCTATTCGACAGCTTTGAGTCGCAGGGCAGAGCAGATTCTTGCCAATGCGAAACGGAGATTAACTGTAAGTGAAATGTCGTCGGATCGTCGGGCGTTTTGCACCGGTTCCTCTCTTCAGATCTATGCTGCTAACACACTGATCAGACTATGGAAGGAAACTTGAACAGGGCACGTTCTTCGTTGTCTGTGGATTCAGGATCGGAAACGTCGCCGTCATTTGGCAGACCTTCTACAGCTATCCAGCGCGATTATGATTCGGGCATAACCAGAACCACCCACGGTCACAGCCGGATAGCAAGTGAGAACAACATCTCAACCGCCTTCCGTCCCGCTACGTTATCGCCAAGGTCGTCGAGCGCGCTTGGAGTCACGGGGAGCTACCGACAATTATTACAGAGTTCTCGAAGTGCAGATTTCATACGGGAACCCGCAAACGGCAGCATTTCCAAAGGCAATTCAATCTATGGCAATGCGGCCTTTGCAAAGAGCAAGGCTTCTTTGCATGACAGTAAATACACTCTCGAGCCGCTAAGCGAAGATGAGGCTACGAAGGACCTGGAAACTTCTGAGGCCAACCTAGGGGATGAGAAGCTAGATACATTCCTCAGCCCGACCTTTGGTTCCTTTGACGACAACGGGCTCCGAAGATCTGCCTCAACTGCGCAGATGCGGGATCTCAAAGATCATATGAAGGAGCTCAAGGGAAGGCTCTCAAGTCTTCGAGATCAAGCGCGTGCAGACAGCATGAAGCGCCGCAGCCTGCAGAGCCTGCGTACCGCAAGTCCATTTACCAATGCGGGAGACATCTACTCTGATTCCAGGGACAGTGGGCCAAGTGGCCAGTCTATGAAAGACATCAGTCGCTGGAACGACGGCGTAGAGAGCTTGCACGAGAGTGACGTGCTGGAAAATAAGGATGAGGTATCGACGGGGGCAGAGGATAGTGCATCGGTCATTAGCGCATCCGTTTACTCAGATGAGGAGGAGCCGTCACCGCCAACTAAACTAAGCCCGGCAGACCATTCTCCTGGCAAGGCCACACCGAGCGCGACGCAAGAGGTAGAAATCGAAGACGACGGAGAAGATGACATCAGCGACATGGACGACATGGACGACATGCAGACTGAAGATGGATTCGATGACGATGAAGGGACGGACTTTGACGATGACGTGAGCGAAGGCGGCGAGTCTCTATACCATGAAGCTGTCCAGAACCAGGTATCACACGAAGATCGCGAGGACGCTTTCGATTATGAGCATTTCTTCCTTCACAGCGCCATGGGCAGCATGAGCCAGAGGAAATTCAAACGGAGGGACAGCCAGGATAGTTACAGTTCTGAGGACTCTGTGGAAACGACACGTGGACCAATAACGGGTCGCCCCCGACACAGCAGAAGAGGAAGCAATGCGTCTGTCTCTACGATGGACTCGTTCGCTACTGCCACTGAGGGAAGGCTCACAAGAGCGGAGAACATCGCCGTGGAAGACTTCCCTGAGCAATTGGTGACGCTACCGGACCGATCTCGTTCGCACACCCCGGATACCGCCAAACGGACATCCTTTACCTTCAGCAACCTCAACCGGAACAGCGATTCTAACTCAGATCGAGGCCAACCTCGGGCTTCAATCACCAGGCGGCCTCAAAGCAGTGCAGCCACGTACATGCACCGACCTTCGGTGTCATCTCTAGGCTCGACCGGTACAAACAGGAGTTTCCCCTTGGTAAATCGACCCAAGAGCCGTGGCATCCTGACGCCGCAGGACTCGCCCGACCAAGGGCTCAAGCAAATATCTGAAACACTCATGAGCGAGACAGCAAGCATCTGCGATCGAGAGAGCACGCATGCCGGCGAGAAGCCCATTGAGCAATTGCAGAAAGATGATCAGATCCTCGTCGAGCGTCTCGTCGGCAGTTTGGGCAAGTGCGTCCTTGGCTTAACCGAGAGCGGTCGCGCGAGCGCTGAGAGCAGATTATTTAGGAGGAGGATTGAATCCGCGAGAAGGATCCTAGAGGGGCTTGACCAGCCTTACTAATTTTTCAATGTCTAATTCAGGGGGGATGGGTTACATTCGGCCGACCCCGCCACGGCATGGCGCGTGCCTCTCCAGCGCACGAATTCCTTTGAGCGATCCATTCCACTGATGCCATAACGAGCATGAGCGATTGTATTTCGAACACCGCCAGGTGCACCAGGCGCTTCGGTTGGGGTTAACATGGGAAGCGTCCTCTTATTTTTCTTTTGTCCTGGGCGAGCCTGCCATTTAGGAGGAGTTGGCTGGTATTAAGTCTGGATGTTTCTTGCTCTGGATTAAGCCACATGGCTCATGATGCAGGACCCCTTACATTACTTACACTTCGATACCCTGGGTTGCTGTTAGCCGTTGCTTTGCTAAGCACCCTTTCATATGTATTCATCGAGGCATTTACTGCCGGCACATATTACAATTAAAGTACAATTCTACACAACCTACAATGGTTGTCCGCGTTCACCATCGTGGCCCCTTTTCCCGTTTGATTAATCTCGCCAATGACTCAGCATCTTTTCGGCCTCAAGGCTCTGGGCAATTTGGGGTAGCTTAGTTGGGGGTGACACAGAATTCGCGATCTTTTCCTTAAACTTTGTGCAATGCAGTGCAGATCATTAATGTCACATATATCACTGACCGCTATTCGTCCAAGTCAGGCCATGGGCAATATGCCGTCAGCTATTCGAACTAGCTCCGTTCCAGCAGGCTGAGCGTTGTAACGTATGCCATGTGTCTTATCATCGCCACATCCATGTAGCACTTGAGCTCAAAATCTTACAGGCCGATGTCCAGTTCTTGTGCGTCTGTTCCCGAAAAGAGTCCAATCAACATGCCACGCAGGACGGGATCAGCATCTTAAAAATAATAAAATCTCTCCCAACGAACCAGTTGCGTTGCAGGCAAACCCTTGGAGGAACGTCATCCTCTGACTCAGATTCCTTGTCATTACATTATTCCTCCCCAGGTCAATAAGGCTGCCGTATGGGTCTCCCCAGCGTGTCGGGTTACTTCACGGCCGGTCAGACCAGATCCGGGGTATGAAGGCTATGCCTGCGGGTTCCCGCGTTTCCTGTAATACAGCGATCGGGATCCCCACGTGTTAATATAGCATGGCATGCGGCGCCGCCCCTTTGCCGTGGTTCCCACTCTTTCCTGTTGTTCTTCTCTCGCCTGAGATGCGATTCGTCACCGGGCCATGGCACCCCTTAACACCGAGGATGTTGCGCCGTCGCGCGCCGTGGTGAAGCGCGCTGAGTCGTATGTACCGCTGCGGGCCAACCTGTCGGAGGAAGGGCTCATTCTCGAAGCTTGGGGCGAAGGCTGGAATGTCGGCGCCCTGATCATCCTCATCTTGATTGTGTTTTGCAACTATAGACGAGGCAATACGCTGCACAAGCTTATTCTGTTGGAGGTAGACTATCGAAACCCTTCCTGGAGGCTCTGATTGTTAACACAGGCTGTAGTTACTCTTGGCTCTGGCCCATGGCACCTTTATATTTGCTCCAGTACGTCAAGATACCCTTTCTACAGTTGGCGACAAAGTCTGACTAGTGTTGCAGGACCCAGTCTATGGCTGGTATCTAAGCAGCAGCGCAACGCTGCTATTTTTCTCGTACCAGATCCACAATGTTGTCTCATGGCTCAAGATCCGTCCTTTCCTACCTCTCTGGGGTAGCCGAGTTTTCATTTTCACGCTGGTTGCCGTACAGCCCTTTTGGGTCGCTGAGGCTTGGTCGAACTTCGAATACTTCAATAACCTGGGTTCCGACGCCAACACGAAGATGCGTCCATGGGAGTGTCTCGTCAGAGATCCATGGTGGATCTTTACCACGTGGAGGCTGATCCACACCATTGGGAAGTCGTACGGCTTCACGCTGCGCGAGCTCATCAACATCAACACCCGCTTCGGGGTCATGCTGGGGTGCATGTTCGTGTCAATCGCCTTCATCCTGGCCGACATCATTGTCACACTGGCCCACCTGACGGCAAACTCGGGCATCAACCCGTACTGGCGGATGGCGCTCGTTTTCAAGTGCGCGGCCGACTGCTTCTTCCTCGACGACTTCAAGACCGTGCTGGACCAGATCTCTCAGCAGTCGCTCAGCCGCGTGCACCAACAGCAGACCGAAAACAACAGCGGCGGCACTAGGGTTCAGACTACAAACACCCACGAGGTGCATCCGCCCGATCAGGTCACGGCGAGTGTCGAAGCATCTGGTCGCCAGCCTTCGTCTTCCAAATGGAGATGGGCACGCCGCTTATCGTCGTCGAGCCGCGCCGGCAACGCCATCACGGTCCACCGAGAGATGACAGTAACGAGCGAGCGCAAGAGGCCCCATTCCTTCAACAGCGATGTTCCACTCGTGCCTCAGATGGCCAAGACGCGCGGACATCACGACGACGGGGTTCTCAGCCCGACTTCTTTGCTGCCCCGGTCACAGGAGTCCGGGCATTATTCGGAGTTTGATGGAACTCCTAAGGGGCTTCAAACACTTTCTAAACATAGGAAGGACTGAACGAGAGCGCAATATACTGAGTTGTATAGTCTACTTACTGTATCACCAAAGAGTGGAGCGCAAGGTATATACCGATGTGACCCGCAGCTTTCATGCATCTTTTGCTCACACTTAGGGCATAGTGACAGGAGTGTACCAAGTCATCGCGGCGTCAAACGACGATACAAGAACAGTGTTAATTAGCTCGTCAGAGCAGTGTAGACTCCCGAGATGTATTCCCAATAAGATAGGTGGGATTCAGTTGATCCCCCTGTGTACCAGTGTTCTCGACACTTGTTGTCTTCGTTGAAAATCGAGCGGAAATACGTCTTCGGATGGCTCAATAACCACACCATCGTTTTTGGCAAGCGGCAAGACATGGTATGGTGGTGAACAACCACGGCTGCTTAATTACAGGGCTGCAGGGCTTGTAGCTATCTCCAGAGCTGGCCCTGGGGAGCTGTGGGCCGGTGACGGATCCCTCAGCTCCTCTGCCCCACACCGCCTACCAGATGGAGGAAAGACAGCCCATGATTGGCTGATGCATTCCCCTCCATCATAACTTTTTCAATGGAAACTTACACACTCACTCAGTTTTGGGTGATCCAGCTGTCCGCACAAGACTGACCAGGTGTGCTCTCGGCACATCCCCTTGATCTCACAGTTGGTCGATATCGGAAATAATGGCACAACCTGTCATCGGCCTGTTAGGTGGAGGCCAATTGGGCCGCATGCTTTGCGAAGCTGCAGGCCCGCTGGGCATCCAGATCGCAGTCCTTGACGCGGAGAACTGCCCCGCCAAGCTAGCCAACCACAACGACTTGCACGTCACAGGCTCCTTCAAGGACCCAGCCAAGATCAAGGAGCTGGCTGCGCGTTGCGATTTCCTCACGGTAGAAATCGAGCATGTCGACACAGAGATCCTCGAAGAGATCGCTACCAAGGGTTTCGAGGCCCAGGACGCCAATGGCAAGACCATCAAGAAGACCATCCCGGTCCACCCGTCATGGAAAACCATTCGCCTGATCCAGGATAAGTACCAGCAGAAGGAGTACTTCATACAGAAAGGAATCCCTGTAGCAAAGCAGATGGCCATCCAGTCCGATTCGGACGACGCCCGCAAAGCCTCCCTCCAGGAAGCTGCGGTCAAGTTCGGACTGCCATTCATGTTGAAGGGCAGTAAAGGGTCCTACGACGGGCGTGGCAACTTCAAGATTCGAAGCCCTCAGGACTTCGAGGTCGCCGCCAAGGAAATGGGAAACCAACCTCTCTGTAAGTGTCTCTCGCAAGTCTTACCATGATGTCCCACCTAGCTGATCTTCTTCCCAGACGCTGAGAAGTGGGTGCCTTTTGAGATGGAGCTGGCTGTCATGGTCATGCGCACTGAGGACGACGACGGCAAGCTGATCAAGGCCTCTCCTTACCCGGTTGTGGAGACAATACACGAGGACTCGATCTGCACCAAGGTCTTCTTCCCACCCAGAAAGGTGTCAGATGATGTCAAGGCACGAGCACAAAAGGTTGCCTGCGACGTTGTCTCAAACCTCTGGGGGCGAGGAGTCTTTGCCGTGGAGATGTTCCTCCTTAAAGATGGTCACATCCTGGTCAACGAGGTAAGAATCAGTCGAAACTCCCTCTTTCTGTTGCATCACGACAGCTAGAATCTTGGCTTGCACTTGCACTTGCACTTGCACAAAGCATTGTTCTTAACTTCAAACGATTTCCCACCCATTGATGCTATTTGTTTTCCGAATTCGGCTTACATCTAATAGGTTGCTCCACGGCCACACAACTCGGGACATTACACTATCGAGGCAGTTCCACAAATGTCTCAGTACAAAGCACAGCTATGCTCGATTCTCAACACTGTACCAGACGATCTTGCTCTCGTGCCGAGGGTCCCTTCTTCTCTCATGGTAAACATACTGGGAGGCGCGCAGCCTACTTCGCATGATAGATTGGTAGACCTCACAAGAACTATGGGAAGCTCCTCGCTAGATGTTTATCTCCACCAGTATGGAAAGGAGTCGAAACCTGGAAGAAAGATTGGTCACATCACTGCCGTCGGATACTCGTCGATCCAGCGACTAGAACAGCTGTCGAGACCTCTCATCACCGCATGCGATGAGATCCGGGCTGAGCGTGTTGGTGAGGCCGTGGCTCCCCACGACGAAAGCAAGTTCAAGGGTGTACCCCTGGTCGCTGTGACGATGGGCTCTGATTCTGATCTGACTGTCATGAGCGCGGGGTTGAAGGTGCTCGACGATTTCGGAGTTCCATACGAAGTTCGCATTACTTCAGCACACCGAACGCCAGAGCTCATGTCTGCCTTTGCCGCAGAGGTGTCAAAGGGCGGTGTGAAAGTAATTATTGCTGGTGCTGGCGGCGCAGCTCACTGTAAGTTCTTGATCAGTCTCTTCCGTGGCCATTCCTATTAACTATATATCCAGTGCCAGGTATGATCTCGTCCGAGACACACCTCCCAGTCATCGGAGTCCCCGTAAAGGCTTCCGTGCTGGATGGAGTGGACAGCCTCTACAGTATCGTTCAGATGCCTAGAGGTGTTCCTTGTGCAACCATCGGTATCAACAACTCTACAAATGCAGCCCTAGAAGCTATCAGGATTCTCGGCACTAGCTATCCAGAGTATGCTGAGCGCATGAAGGCATACCAGCGCGGCCTGAAGACGGATGTATACGCCAAAGACAGAAAGTTACAGGCTCATGGCTGGAAGGCATACTTACAGGAGATGAATGCCAAGAAATGAAGTCTTGGCAACAATTGTTAGATTTTCTGAGGCGGGTTCGGCCGAGTCTAAGACGCAGCCAGATCCAACTATTCTACCCAGTAGACTATCAATGACACCAGTCAATTCAAAGTCACGAACCGAATACCCAGTATAGCCCCGTTTTGAGGTAATGCACGTTCAGTTTCCAAGTTGGATCGGACGGGTTCGGGGTGTCACTTGTAGCGGATCCCCGCTGCACGATCCGAGCCTACAACATCCTGACCGACAGCAGACTGTGTATCGATCTATGGATGCGCGAACAACTACTTGCCAGCAGCATCTGCTGTCAATTTACATCCCATTCTTGACTCCAGATATCATGCGCACGAACCACAACTCTCGATGGTCAGCGCGATGCTACTAAATGGCAAGCCACCGCGATTGTTAGCTTGAGGTCAATGACGTAACTAGGCTAAGTCAGCCCGTCATTAACACTAGCTCAACCAACAACCCAACGCAAATAATGCATATAATTTCTACCGAGGCGGACTTCGTCAGTCCATCAAAATGGCAAAAAATTTGCTCTAGATCCAGTTTCGGACCCTGATGGCTCAGAACTCATTTGGTCGCGATATCGAAAGAGAAAGTGCTGAACTTATGGCTCAGAGCGGCCAGAATGGGCACAAGCCCACAGATGGGCGCAAGCGGGTTCTCGTAGTTGGGGCTGGCGCTGCAGGGTAAGTCGTTGCTCGACAAATAAATGAAAACCACCCTGCTAAACATCGGCATAGCATGTCTACAGCGCACCACCTCTCGGAGCATCCAGAGAAATTCGATGTTACTCTCATTGATGCGGTAGATTACTGTGGTGGGCAGGCTTTCTCTATTCCACTTGACAAGGAGAAGCATGGTGCTTCTTGGTGTAACCAAGGTGTACAAGGCGGCTCGTACATTTTCCACCACACTGTAACGATGTTCCAAAGACAGGGTTACCACTCAGATCCCGTCACCCTTCAGGTCTCGTTCGGAAAGGATGAGACATTTTGGACCAACGTATTCCCTACGCAGCTCTTGACTCGGCATCAAAAAGAAGTGAAGCGCCTGGTTACAATGTTGAAGATCATACGATGGTTCGAGGTATTCTTCGCGCTTTTGCCCTTGCGGCTAGTCTTCAAGTTGTTTCGTTTTTCAGAGGAGTTCACGAATACCATCGCCCTCCCTATGACTGCTCTTTTCCTGGGAACCGGCAACGCAACCCCTGAGGTGCCAACGATAATGTTTGAACGCCTTTGCACTTCCCCGACATATGGAATGTGGTATCCCGCCGACAAGAACTCGGTTGTGCACAACCAGCCGCCGATGATTGTCTTCCCCAACTTTTCCGAGTTCTACAACACCTGGAAACAGGATCTGATTTCTCGTGGTGTAACTGTGCGCCTGTCAACCGAATTGACGGAAATCACTCAGCGGAATAAGAAGGGGGTTGTGGTTAGGCTGAAGCCTCGCACCCCAGCGCCTGATGGTCACAATTCCAGTGAGGGCGATCAGAACGTGCCTGCAGGCGAAGAAGTCTATGATGAAATAGTGCTTTGCTGCCTGGCAGACACCTCCAAGCGGGTCTTGGGCAAGACGGCTTCTTGGGGAGAGAAGCGTGTGTTGGGTTCTGCCAAGTTCAGCGACGACATTACCATCACACATAACGATGCGGATTACATGAAGAAGCATTATGAGAACTTCTACCGCGAGGATTTGGCCGTCTCTAACACGGACGGCGTCGACCAGACTTCGCGATTGAACTTCGCAGTAAACGGGTTCCGCCCAATGTACTACATCAAGATGTACCCAGATGACAAGTCCAAGTTGGAGATGTGTTTTGACACCACCAACTACCAGAGCCAGTTTCCTGAGAAGGTGCCTTTCGAGCAGCATGTCTTCCAGACCATTTATCTCAACAAAGACAGGGATCGTAAGCACTGGACCGACAGTGAGATCAGAGAGGATAAGATCATTCGAAAGGATTGGTGGCATCAACTATGCCACAGTTGGACGCACTACGCATTCGTCATCCCGTGGATGATGTTTCTCCAGGCCAAGAACCATACCCGCTTCGCCGCATCGTGGACACTCGTCAACGCGCACGAGGTCGCGATCATGTCCGGCATCGCCGCTGCTGTTGACCTGGGTGCCGATTATCCCGAGGACCTCGAGAATGATAAGTTCGCGTTTCTTTGTTTCAGACTCTATTACCTCCTGGCCTACGGGAAGTGGTACCGCCGCAAGTTCACCAAGGGTAATAAGACACCAGTCAGCCAGAGAGCGAAGGACGGCGCATCATGGGCCACTGGCCTCTACGGAAGTGTTTATAAGGGACCCGGGGTTGCCACGCAAGAGAGGCAGACTTGGAGAGAAGAGATGAAGAAAGGCACGAGCACCGCAAATCTGGCAGAGAAGAATGCGCCTGGTCGTAGTCAACCATAGACATTTACAGCATTCAAATTTTGTGCTTTGTTGGATTTTGTGCGCTCAATGGTCACGAAGCTTGCCAAGTTGTTATCCTATGACGCTATGCACGCCAGGGCAAAAGGGGACGCTACCCAATGTACGATATCGCCAGCATCCTGGGTCTTTCCACGTTCAGTTTGGGGGTAGTATAGTCAATCAGCCGGATTTGAAAAATGAGACTGATATTCGCAGCGTAAGCGTGATTTTCACCTATAGACATGAATTGAAAATGTAACATCAAGGAAGACGTGTTAGCGCGACGCTCAATGCGTGACCATGAATATCAATCGACGACCTCGTTCAGTAACTTAGCCAAACACGTAACATAAAGAGGTAGTCTCTCAGTTCATCATCGGTGCAAAGGTAACGACGACCCAGTGCACGACGGAACCCTCATCTTTGAGCGGAGTCCAGTGCGTCATGAAGCTCTCATCGCCCCTGAACATGGCGCTGCGCCGGGTCTGGAGCCGGATCTCCACGCTGATGGGGAAGCCCGACTGGATGGCGTTCCGCACACGGTTCTTGTAGTCTGACTGGTGGGCAAGCATGTTCTGCTTGAAGAAACGGAAAATATCCTGTCCGACCGGCGGGCCCCCGGTCTGATTGGCCGGGTGCAAGGTCTCCGTAACCCCTGCGGAGTAGAACTTGATGACAAAGTTGTCGGCGCGGGCGATGATGTACTTCGAGTACGCGCTGTAGAACTCGCGTATCTGCGTCCGAAGGTCGTGCCCTTCCATGCGGTCCAATACCTTCTGTTCCATCCCCGTCTCGCCCGGGACGGGTAAGGGGGGTTCTTGCTCGTCAACGTGGATGCCGAGGGTCTTGAGCAGTGACTTGGGCTTGAAGCTCTTGCCACTCGATCTCTTGGTCTGGTTTTTGATGTCCTCCATGTTGGGCTCTTCGTCAGCCATGGATAGAACCCTCATCACATCGACATTAGTGTGCACTGTGGTCGAACAGTTGACTTGCCCCCCAATATAGAATACCACCTCACCAGAATCGTCGAATAGCGGTGCTTGATTTTATCATTAACTGTCAGCACATTATTATTCACTAGAATACACTTCAGAGAATGTTTTCTCACCGATGTATAGCAAGTTCCAGAACGGATTCCCAGACTTCGTGTAGTTTAGCAGTAGCTCAACTGCTTCTTTGTCCTGTCTTACAGCTTCTTTGAGCCGATATGCAGCGCGCCGATCGGTTTGAGACCCTTGGAGAAACCTGCAGTTTCTAGGAATGATCTCAGATCGGCTATATCCAGTGACTTTGACGAAGCCATCCGAAGCGTAGAGGATAGGGTTGTCTGCTTTCCTGTGGAGAACAAATCGTGAGTATATATGTGTACTGAGGATCTACGACTCATTTCCTGGTCACGCAACCGCATACTTGGTTCACTTACGCCGGACTTGTCATACAAAAGCAGTCCCCTAACCCCTGGTAGCGTTGACGATCGCTTGCCAAAGCCCTTGCCGTACTCAGTGCCATTTGATAGCGCACGAATCTAGGGTAAATGTCCTCGAACACTAGCTGTTCTATTTTGTTCTGCATCTCGTTGAAGAGCGATTCCATTGAGGGGAGCGTAACGGTGACTAAGGATTTCATCTCGTTATGAACCGTCTTCATAACACCCCCAGGCACGTTGACTTGATTTGGCGACTGATCGGACACGAAGGTTCGATGTATTACGGCAAGCGTACCAGCCAAGCTGTTGACGATCGTCCGGTACTGTTCGACCTGTCAATAATAGTGAGTGTCAGTTGCTTGATTGGAGCTTCAAATATGGAAGGGGGCTTGCGAGCGAACTTTTCCAAGGAACTCCACGTTCTCACTACAGACTTGCGTTTCGCTATACTTGAGCAGCTGATGCGATGTAGTCGGATTATGCAGAACGACCTGGAAGATGCTGGGGCTGAAGAAATCTGCGATGCGACTTGATCCGTCACTCTGTCGCGAGTCCCTGTGGCTGGACATGGGATGCCCCTGATCGCCGCGAGGGCGTCTCTCGGTGGATGGCAGATCGATGGGGCCGCTCATCGAGTCCTCACGTCCTGTCTCAGGTTCACGCTCTCTGTCATCGCGACCGTAATCGAGCTTAGGTGTGCCTCTCCGCGTTGGGTCACGAGCACGAGGTGATGTCACATACTGCAACTGCTGTTCACTGTCTTGGAACTTTTTTATGTGGTCTAATGCAGGAGTCCGGGTCGTTCGGTGATTAGCTTCTTGGCCAGTCGAACTGGGATCCTTGCCTTGACTGCGCCGACGATGGTATGATGGTGCTCGAGGTCGAGCATTCTCCTCAAGCCTGGTCTTTATCGGCGGCTTTGAAGTCGAATTCATGTTTCCACCGCCAAAAGTTGACACTCCTTCAGGTTCGTCATCAACGTATCGATGTGCTCTTCGAATTGGAGGTGGCGTCGCAGAGCCCCCTGTTGGGGGTGAATGCCTGCGTTGAGTAGGTTGATTACCATCTCCCTCGTCATCGGACAAGTATTGCTGGCCTGTCTGGACCTCGACTTCTCGTCCATGTCCCAAGGGAGTTACACTGTAGCCGGCCTCTCGTTCACCGGACTCGGGTGAGTCTGGAGAGCTGTGCTGCTCTGCAAGAACCGAATGACTCTGTGATTGTCGAGGCACTCCATGTTCAGTGCGGAGACGGTCTTTGTGTCGAAGATCCGTACCTGGGCTCGAGGACGTGTGAGGATGAACTCCTGCAGAGCTGCCCTGCGCAGCCTCCGACACGATGGAAGGGATCGTTCGTGGTTTGTCCCTCCTGAAAGACTCGGACTCGGGAGCGGCTCCGTTACCTGCTTCCTTCACTCGGGAACTGAAACTCCGAGCTGAATCAGCCTGGGCTCGTTCCTCCATTGGGCGATAGATACGACGTGAGTCGTTGCTGCGCCCTTTGGAGTCACCTGCTATCGTTCTTTGCGCCGCCTCAATGGCGGAGTTGTCTCTGTCAGGCATGAGTTGCTGCAAAACCTCCACATCTGAGTCCCTCCTTTTCCTGCGCTGATAAACGTCTCTGTTATTGCCGGATCTGGGAGAGTATATGTCATCGAAGACGGGATGCATGTTGAGACTGCATGATTCACAGAGAGGTCCTGGGCTGGAGAAGTCTGCATGATGCAGAACTCTAAATAGCCACGAACCCATTAAGCCGGTACGACTGCGTTGCGCATCTCTACCGAGGCATGCTTTTACCAAGATGATGCTATCCACGCACTACACACAGATTTGGCAAGCTTCGTCAGTTGGTCCACGAGGCCCAGATAGAGGGTCCAAGCCTTTACGGCAAGTTTCTTGGGATGACGCAAAAGGGGGCAGACCGTATGAAGGATCGGAGGCTTGGTTGTCCGGGGCAGCGCTCACAGCAATATTAGCTTTGGAAGCACCTCAAGCATACATCGGCTTGTGACATGCTAGTCTGTTTGAAGTCTACGCAGTTCTGCGATGGTTGCACATACGTCAACGGCTTTTAGTTGAACTTTAACCATGCCTTTCAGATCCGAACGATCGGGGGGAACCGTCGCATTGCAGGGCTAGCTTGGAAACCATGGAAAACGAGTTGGCGCCAACATGTAGCAAGCTGTTGCAGTAGTGTCTCGATTTTATTACCAATAATTCTTGGCTGTTTTAAACATAGAAATTCTCCTTGCCAAGATGGCATTGTCAGATTACCATGCGAGGAGGTCGCAAAATAGCAAGGTCTCTTTTCCTTGGATAGTGTAAGTTTTCCTTAAGTTGAATCAGGATTGCATGATGATTTGCTTGCAAAAATGCCCGTTGTATCGGAAGGCTACGTGTTCTTTGTATCGAAGTTTGACTTACAATTCTTCGCCCAATTACTGACGTGCCGATTGAAGATACGGCATATCGAGAGTTGCAATCTTTGCCGATATAAATCAATGATACATAAGCTAGGTTGAAAAGCTGCAATTTTTACCGGCATTGGTACATACTGATGGGCATTGATGAGGACCACGGGATACAGGTGAGTCTTTGTCCTAATGGCTTATATAGAGACATGCTTGAATGCTTGGAATATCAAATTATACTGTTTTGATGTGTTATGACGACGACTAACTTGTATTTTCTATTAGTAATCTTAGAGTCGCTTGCAGACGCTGATTTACGAGTTTGAGACAAGGCAACCTCGACTCGTACACCTGTTTTGTGAGGCAACTATATTGTGGCGCATACTGTGGCTGCACATCAAGTACCGGTCTTAGGAAGGCAAAAGACCACCGGATATATATAGTCTCTCTTATTGCGGGGTCATTTACGCCCTGTATACCATTGTTCGCCAAGCCGGGACGTGCGTGGCAGCTCAAAATCCGGCCCCCTTCTGGAAATGTCGATTTAGCCATGAATGATATTATGGCCCTGGGTGAAATGACGAAAGGCCTAGATCAACCGGCTTGTATGCAAAATTAGATCAGTCGTTGAATGCGTTTAAGAATGGGGCTGGTCACAAGATATTTATACACGTCTTCCAGTTGAGATTTCTTGGGTAAATCCGGGTTTTCCTCCACCAACACTCTGGCCTACACCTGCATCTGATCCAAAGATGAAGACGCAAAATATCCTACCCGCATTGGCTCTGGCAGGAGGTTCGGTGGCACAGACACCGGCTGGCTTTACGCCGAGTGTGTCTGCACATTTGGACGTCATCTTTGGGACTAAGGTAGTCAACCCTCCCGGAACGCCATTGAGCAAGTCAGGTACTGTTGGTCTCTGAATCTGTCTCGTTTCATGCGACTCTAATCAACGGCTAGATACTGCGAGGCAGCCAACCATTGGAACTAGTAAAGCTCTCAACGGAACTTATGTCTGGATGATGATCGGTATGACGCGGATCTGAGACAACTGATTTTCTAGTTGTGCTAACGAAACCCATAGATCTTGACGCGTATGTTCCTATAAGCTTGTCAGAGACAGCGTCAGCTGACGCATAGCAATAGGTCAACAAATTTCGCAAACCCAAAGGCAGGCCAACAGGCTACATACCTGCACACTGTTCTTCGTGACTTTAAATCGTCTGGGAAAACAACAGATAGTGGCGTATACACCCTCACCACTACAGCGACGGGGCCCGTAAGCTGGTTTGTAAGTAACCATTGTCTGTGTTGCATATTTCCCCAAATCACAGCCAAAACATGCCAAAGGGTCCATCAGAAACATCGCTGTACCATGATGCACAGGGAACAACTGCCCGAACTGTCACTGATCCCGGCTCGATACAGGGACCAGCTCCTCCAGCTGAGAATCCGCCTCACCCGCATCGCTATACCAACCTCCTTTGGGAACAACCTGCGAATTGGGCGATCCCTCAGGCCGCGAGCACAATGTTGCAGAGCAAGAGAAGTGGATTCAACGTCACCGACTTTCAGAAGGCTGCTGGCTTAAGTGATCCGGTTTTTGCGAACTACTTCAACGTCACTGGCTAGGTCGAAGCGGCAAAGGCAGAAGCAGAAGCAGTCATACGACGTTCCAGGGGAGGATTACGAGAAAGGGCACATGCGCTCTTAGTTGTTTGGGGAAAAATATAGTACACTTCGGCTAGAATACAAACTTATTTTTGGGCGCATTCATGACTTGCCGACGACGTACCTGCATCTAAGCTGGTCACTGAACATCAAGAATCGAAGCTGGCAAGCGCACAAAGATTCTCCGCTGTCGTAGAGGCACGTTTGAGAACAATGAACACGGGATAGCTTGGTCAGACAATTTAATGCGTGCCCTTCGAGGTGGAGGTCATTACAAGCAAGTTTCTACTGCCGGAGGTATATGCAGGTACGGCGTAACCAGGCCCAAGCCCGCCCGGGCCGCCACTGAGGCGGGCCCGCTGAGAGAAACCCGCAGTGAGGACCCGCCCCCACAATCATCTGGCCAGCCATGGTAATTCCTAACTCCGCGCCACTGCAATCTCACCTGTTGTAGGCAGCACTCTGCGCCCTCACCCGTCATATCCCGTCTTGACTATCATTGTCCAATATCTCATTCACTGTGCATCACCTGATACTAGTTTAGCACAGAACCAAGAAGCTCAACAGGTCGATGTGAGGGCGTTTGCACTTCAACGCTCTGCGCGTGGCCACACCCCATCCCATGCGAACGGCTTCGTTGGACGGGCATGGAGAGGTGGCTCCAACACTACATTCCCGCAGGGTGCCTCCGGGTAGGTGTAGACGAGACCGAGATACCGCCCGAGGTCTGGATATTATCCGACCTGCATCAGGGATGGCGCTTCTTTGTTCGTGGTGGGGACACGGCGCTCGATCAGAGTAGTTTGCTACCTGCCGCCAGCCAAGCAGCCCTTCTAGGCTCGCGGGCTCTTGCGCCGTTCGCTGGCTTGTTCCACGCTCGATGGATCCAGCTTTCTTTTCACTCGGGGACCGTCCGGGTCTACATATTCCCACATGATATCGATTGGAGCATCACGAGTCGTGGTGGCAGAGATGGAAGACTGGCCAAGGCTCTATCTCTGTTGCTGAGGCAGCTTGACTACTCTCCATACGCCTGGAGTCGCTCAGCTGATCACTCACCATGGCGCGAACCAAGATCGCCTGTCAATATTTCTCAAGATGATGATGAAGAAGAGGAATGCGCCGAGGACTGTTCCCTGCTAGAGCGCTTCAATAAACTGCCATCGCCAAACCCACGACTTGACTTGGTGACACCCGATTCCTTCAACTCAATTGCCATGCAGGGCATCCTGGAAAGTCGGTTACCTGGGCTGCACACACCGCTCTATGAGCACCAGAGGCGATCGGCAGCGGTAATGCTGCAACGCGAGGTAGAACCTGGCCGGGTGGTTGACCCTAGACTGCGCCCTGCTCTCGACCAGGACCAGCAGCCTTGGTACCGTGACGTTGATGCTGGCCTTGTTCTTAGAGAACCACGACTATATGACGGGATATCTGGTGGCATCCTTGCCGAAGAGATGGGCACAGGCAAGACTCTTATCTGTTTAGCAGTTATTCTGGCCACAAAGCATTTACCGGCCGAAGCACCAGACCCACTGCTAGTCAACTGGCCTACTAGACCGAGAGTTGCTTCTCTTATGGACATGGCAGCAGCCGCAGTCCAGCGCTACTCCTATCCGTGGAAACTATACCTATCGACGCAACCCACAGACAGTCGTGATTGGTATCGTGGCTGCGTGAAAGCACTAGAATCTCATGAAAACAGGGCTTATTACGAGCTCAGAAACCCTCTCGTCGAGACGCGCAAATGTGGGAGAGTCGCCATCCCAACGCCCCCCGCTAGGAAGATCTATCTGAGCGGCGCTAGCCTCATCATTGTCCCAGCAAATCTCGTAACGCAGTGGCAACAAGAGATCAGGAAACACACATCCGGGCTACGGGTCCTCACACTTGCAGAAAGTAAAGCAGCCATTCCACCTCTTTCTGTACTGTTAGGATACGACATCATAATTTTCTCGCAACACCGCTTCGAGAAGATTGAGAGGGATCGGATAGGTACGGATGGTCGCCCGCTCGACCCACCTTGCCCCTTGGAGCACATGCGCTTCAAGAGGTGCATCATAGACGAAGGACACAAGTTGGGGAGTCACCGATCCCACTGGAAAAGTGACCTTACCAGGGGGCTTGAAAGGCTTCATATTGCTGCAAAATGGGTTGTCACTGGTACGCCCTCACGTGGTCTTTATGGCGTCGATCAGACAAAGCCACTCGGAAACAGGAGAGATAGTACGAGGAGAGATGACCTGCAAGCCATCAACAAACAAGAACGTGATGATCTGCAACGTATTGGCAACATCGCTTCTAGTTTTCTGAAGGCCCGACCGTGGTCAAATACACGAGACGAGGTTGGCGACACAATTGCCGACTGGAACAAATACGTGTTGCAACCACGGCATCACAGCAAGAGTAATGGCCGAAAAGATTGCCTGAAGGCTACTCTCGAATCTCTGATTATCCGTAACCGACTGTCTGATGTTAGTCACCATCTTCCATCAGTGGAGGAGAAGATTGTCTTTCTAGATGGCTCCTACCAAGACCGACTGTCCCTAAACGTATTCTCGATGATGATAATCTTCAACTCGATTCAATCACAACGGACCGACCAAGATTACTTCTTTCACACACGAAACAGAAAAGATCTCCTGCAGCTCGTTAGTAACTTGAGGCAGGCGAGCTTCTTCGGTAGTGTATTCTTTTCCGTGGAAGAAATCAGAAAATCGATTGAGACAGCAGAGGATTTTCTGAAAAGAAAGGATGTCCCTATCAGTCCCGAAGACAATGATATACTAAACCAGGCAATAAATTTCGGCAAAATAGCGTCCAACAACCAACTCAAGGCTGTCTGCAACCAATTTCACTCAATGCCCTTATATCTCAAGTCCTTCCCCGGTGGTAACGGAAAGCATTGGTCCCTCGATGACAGAGACACCGAGGAAACAGAGCCAGTCTGTACGGATGCTGGTTTGATTCTTGAACTACAAAAGTACCTGAATCCCTGCCTAGATGCCCCGACGTCCTTAAATCTCATGATCCAAAATGGTGACTTGGCACGACATGGCGATGCGGCAAGAGCTCAAGCTGCGCAAGAAGCGAACCATGCTGCTGGAAATTCGAGCCTATCCAGCGCGCCCTCTTCCTCTCTAGCTGGGAATACATCCTTGGGTATTGATAGGCATAGTTTACGCAAATCGACTATCCCTTCCGAACAAGACGCCACAGACGCGAGTTTTTCAAGCTCGGAAATTGAGATTGCACAACCTCTCGCCATGACCCAGATCATCTCGACGATCTCTGCGAAACTGTCCTATCTAATCGACTCCATCGTTCGGCATAAAGATGAAGAGCAGATCATTGTATTCTATGACAATGACAACGTGGCGTGGTATTTGGCAGCAGTGCTTGAGATCGTGAGTTGTCTCGCAATGTACACTATATGATGCTAACCCCTCTACAGCTCCAAATCCACCATCTTATCTATTCTAGGAAGGGACTTGACGCTAAGCGACGGGCACAATACGTCAGCACATTCACCAATAATCCCAAGTTCCGGGTGCTACTGATGGATATATCACAAGCTGCTTTCGGTCTCGACATGCGCAGCGCTTCACGAATCTACTTTGTCAGCCCGGTGCTAAACCCGCAGGTTGAGGCTCAGGCCATCGGTCGAGCGCGCCGCATTAGCCAGCAGAAGCCGGTGACGGTCGAGACATTGGTGCTACGGAACAGCATCGAGGAAGTCATCGTCGAGCGCCGCAAGAACATGACGGCCGCCGAACACCGCAAGGTCAAGAACATCCTTGACGACAAACCAATGTATAACTGGATCCTGAATGCCAAGATCATGCCAATGCCCGAGGTTGAGGACGATGTCGCGCAGACGGCGCGGCTGAAGGTGCCTCAGCTCGTCTTCGGCAGGGGCTTCGGGCGACAGCTGCACCCGGATGAAGACCTCATCATGGACAGCCCCGAAGCGAAGGACAAAGAGCGAGGCACCGTGCTGGCAACGGAAAAGGTCCCTATCTCGTTCAAGCTCGGCGGCCTGAAGCGATCACGCGCTTCCACTCCAGCCCCAACGGCTGTGGAGAGCAGCAGTGCCGAAGCGGCACCTCGGGTCAAAAAGAGGGCCCGTGTTGCTTTCGCTGATGATGCCTGATGAGGCTTGTTTATTGTGCATGACTCGCAAAGACCGAGGATGTACTGGTAGTTAGGAACTGTACATTATATGAACTGAAAACGAGACAGACTATTCCGCCTACGAGCAATTGTAAAGCTCTTGCACGTGGAGTTTCAGCTTGAGCCTTGCCTACATAGGAAGCAATTCTCCTTATGGCTATCACATACGACCATAGGTACTAGAGAACTCGGGATCCCGTCCGCTCTCCCTTAGATAAACTGGTAACCGCTGGACTAGTAGTCAGGTGGGTGACCACTGGCGAATCCCTGGTGTTGTATGTTTTTTTTTTCAGTCGTTTTTGTGCCCGGAATATGGGAGGGTCACGACTGGCTGGTGACTTTGATGTCACATCCCGTAACCCACCGGTGAACTTGTTAACTGATTAGGGGCACCGAACAGCAATGATTGATGGCCGTTGCTCCTACTAATTGCTTACCCTAGTAGATACCTGCAATTCTCTAGTCATCTTATGATTCACCGTGCTTGACACATTTAATGCAATAAAAGAACATTATAGTATCTTTTGTACCAGCCTAACTGACCTTAACAAGAAGTAAGTAAAGGGCCAGCTGCGTATGAGACTTATACTCCACGGAACAATATCACCGCGAGTTTATATGCCAGCTCTCATTGGCAACTTTAATACATACTCGTCAGGTTGGTGTATCTGAACGCCACTTTTCTCCAAACTGAATGACAAGGGCATTCTTCCAGCCCGCCATGGAGTAGTGGCTCTCAAACTTCAGCTCGAACTGCACTCAAGGTCTTCAAAAAGTATTGAGCCAAAGATAAAGAGAGGCTTTTGACTGCTCCAATCTATGCCGGAAGAAGGATTGCCGCACCGGCCTCATACCATATAGGCCAATACAGCCACGCCAATGTGACCATAAACAGGACGGACCAACCTCCATCCTCGAATCCCCTTGACATGGCTTGGCAATCCTTTAGATTTTCGACTGTGCACTAGATCGAGTCTTGGGATGCTCGTTGTCCCACTTTGCCTTGAGGGTAGCTGCCTTGTGCGACTTGGTAGTAAAGCCCTCGTACAGCTTGTGCCATCCACCGCCAAGGGTGCGGATGTCAAGCGGACGGCCAGTCGCGGCGTTCATATAGGTTACGGAACCTTTTACCTCGGCGACGATGGCTTGCTGTTTCAGGGAAAAAAGAATGGTCGTACCAGAGTTGCGGGTCGGTTCAATACGATCCTGTCGGTAGGCGACAATAAGCTGTGCATCAATTTAGTTAAGGAGTTTCTGGTAAAGCCGCCAAAATTTTATAGAAACGTAACGTACTGAGTCAGGGTATTGGACCTGCCTACGGATATCTAGGTTGTATTTCCGCACGGCAGGAATAACGGACCTGGCTTTAATCATATCATCGTACTCTTTCTCGGTGAGGAATTCGTCGTAGCTTTCCATAACGCGATGGAAGCAGGTGCCTATGAAATGCATGTATTGCGACTGTGTAACATGGCCAAAAGGGTCCTGGTCTTCGGCCCAAAGGACTCCGCGCTCGACCATGGTCTCGGGATCGAATCCCATGGCCTCCAGGGTCGACAGCGCGCGGCCTCGCAGAAGTGCGTAAGGATCAACATTGGGATGCGGGCCTGGGGCACCGGTGCGTGAGTAAGGCGAGTTGTACGCCGACTCGCTGAGTCGAGACTTAGATTCGTCGGCCGGCATGAAGGGCACGATGAAATCTGGTTTTGCTATGCCAAAGGTAGCATAGGTGAAGCAGAGAAACCCATTGATTAGAGTCCTTTTCAGTCGAGTTTGTCACAGGGGTAGAGCCGCGTTTGCGGAGGGGCCGAGGCAAAAGAGAGAGACGTAAGGGACTTCACAACTCCACTTCGGCTGCCGTGTAACCACACCAGTGGCCGGCTCCCGTACCGGGCCGTGATGGGAAGAGTGCTGAAAGGGCCGGATTACGTATCCAGCTGCTGGCCCTTTCCCTGCATTCGACAGACAGGGTTGTCCACTACAGGGTTGTGTTATGCAGCCAGAGCCAACAGCTAGACAGAAGAGCCCCACAACAGGGGGAAATCTTAGGGATGTACCTAGGTATAGAAGTACCCGACGTGTACTTCTCGGTAGCCTGCCTGGGTACATATAAATCTGGCTTTGTCAGTGAAGGTTGATATGCAGCCCTTGACGTATTCGTAATCGATTCTATCTTGAATACTCCCTGCTCCTCGAAGGATCTGCTGTCGATCACACAGGTATTGGGTCGATGAACATCATTTGCCGTAGTAGCACGCTTTAAACAATTCGGAAAACGCAAGTATAGCTTGGCCTGCAGCCGAGTCCGCCTTGAGTCCTTCGATAACATCTGATTCAAGAAAGGCGACCAGTCGAGGTGAGCAGTAGTCTATATGGTCACTACAGAAACCGCGAACGGTAAGCAGGCACCCATCGCTTGAGACTCTGACGTAGGGACGCGAACCCGGGGTTGCGTTGCTGTCGGCAGTGCTATAGATATACGCTGGGCTAATCAGGTAATGAGATTGGCCTTTCCCTCCCTAGTGGCAGACCCATGACGCTGCGTCGAAATTCTCACCCCGTCGGGTGCTGGCTTCGACAATCAGCCCAACGAGCGATGGCTCCGAGCCCAGCAGGCTTTTGAGGAAGTCCCGATATACCCTATCGAGGCTCTGCGAATGATCAATTTGCGGTACATTGAATCCAATCGCTTTCAACACACCGAAGTAGGCGTAGGCCCTGTCGCAGGACTGTGGACTGTCACGTTCTCTGACTTCTCTCATCAGGGCTTGCAGTACCACGGTCTTGCTCGGCAGAATTGTTGCAGTCTCCAGACTTGATGCTCCAGCAGGTTCTCTTGATGAGAGCAAATATCCGATCGGGGAAGTGACAATCGCATCATCCGTACATGTCTTCCGCTCTTTATTCACGTTCAAGCCAGTAATCAAAGGCATGGCACGTAATTTCTGTACTTTTTCAGATGATCGCTGGGGAGATTCGGCAAAAACAAAGCTCATGGATGTAGCGAAAAGCCAGAAAGGTATTGTAGAAAAGACAACAAGCGAGCGGTGAACAGAGCACCACTTCCCCGCCTCGTAATTATTAAGCTTGGGCAAAAGAAAGTAGTACGTGGGTAGGAAGATGACTGCCCATAGGAGCATCTCTGCAAAGATATGTAATAAGTGCAGCACAAAGAGATACTCATCCACATGACAGAAGAAGGTATCTTCTTGCTTGTCAGGCACTGAGGTAAACGCTCGAGAGCACGCAGGGTCCGCCTTATCCAGATATTGGCGGAAGGTTGACACGCACCCGGCCGAAGTGCGGTTGCGGTCTCGCCTCGATGGAGGTGGGCGTCGCTTGAGGATACCTTGCCAGTGATGAGGTCTTTGGATATTCATCCAGGCCATGCCGAGGCTATGTGCTGGGCTCCCCGCGAGAAGTCTCGGAAACCCAATCGCCAAGGCTGACAAGAAGTCGATCCATGAGAGCGTCATGTCGGCATACAGCATCGTAGGATTGGTAGCGAGCACGGCTTCTTGGAACGTCCAAGCGCGGTGTGAACCACTCGCACTCAAGCAGTTTTTGTATCTGTACTGACTCCTGGGGAGGAGGCCAAGTAAGGGGCTCAGTGACGTCCCGCTTCAGCGCCCACATCACCAGTCGGTAGCCTGCAACACATATTTGTTGTTAGTTAGCGGTGTGCGCAAAAAGGGTCTGTTATGGGGGAGTGGACTGACATATGGCACGTTGAAGGAATGCGTTTTCCCATATATATCTGACTCTCTTCCTCCAACGTTCCTGGCGGCTCGTATCCCAGACCCATGGTAGACTCTGAGTACTCCGCCGGAACCTGCACGCGGAGAAGAAACGTTTGAGCGTCGCGAAGCCGGCATGAATTGAGGGATTGCCCGAGCCCAGCCATATGTATACCGGTTCAGCCCATTGGTATATCTCTTCCATCAGCAGAATTTGGTCCGCTTTTTCCGCCATGGCAGTAGGAGTGTCTGCTTGGTTGATACACAGCGCATCGACCCAAATGGGAAGCCAAGGACTCAGTACAGCGGATTGGCGTCGTCGTACGGCTCGTGACGCAGCGACACAATTGGGAGTGATGGCGAATCTGGTCGTTCCACATTGGATTGCGTTGCCCACCCCGCTTGCTGGGGATTGCTTCGCGTCCCAGACGTAGGACAATGCAGCGAAACGGGGGCAGTCAGAGAGCAACGTGCGGTGCTCTGGCGGTCCCACGCCCGTATAGCCTCTTTCTTTGGCGTCCGAATCCACACTTCTGCATTGCGACCATGCAAGAGACTCTATTCACAATAAGTAAGTGATCGGGCCCCGGGCGCTAGCTATGGACGGCCCGAGTGGACCCCCCTTGCCAATGGACCTGTGATTGTTAGACTGGTTACCTATAGCCCTGTCAGAAGTGTAAAGAAAATAATATTTTACAGTATACCAGCCCGTACTTGAAAGAACTAATAGGGTTATTTAGATAATTTCAATCAAGTTTTTATTTTATTTTATTATATATTATTTATAGAAAAAATTGATCAAGTGGATTCGTATACCCACCTGGGCCTTTCAAGCTGTATGCTGCGATATTTACGCATATAATGCAATGCTTGCCCTGTCCCTTCAAGACACCGTGTGCTGGAGTTCTTACTGAGCGTGAGCGTCTGTCATTACCAGCCAACGCACTCCATCACCTAGGAAATAGTCACCAAAGCACTCGCAGAACATATGGGTAACGTGTCTAAGATGATGGGCTCAAAATTTAGCCACTCTGTAATTCGCAAACAAAGCTATGGTAAAAAGATAAAGTCCGAAATGCCGAGCCACAAAACGCCAAAGCAAGCTGGCCCGCTTACATATGCCCGTTGAACCGATGGCGGGAGGGAACTTCCCGAGAAGCGGTAGTAAACAGTCTTCTTAGACAGGTGTCATATCTCATGATCGCAGTGAAAGCCCCGTGACCGCCATCCACATATAACTCCTGCCGGTACTTACATAGCCTAACCCTCAGCTGATCTAGACCTCGTTGCTCGGGTACGCCACCTTGGTGGTGGGGACGAACTCCTCCTTCAAACTGCGCGCGCTGATGAAGCGGGTCAGGAAGTTCATGCTGCCGGCCTTGTCGTTCGTGCCGCTGGCGCGGGCGCCACCGAAGGGCTGCTGGCCGACGACGGCGCCGGTGCTCTTGCAGTTGATGTAGAAGTTGCCGGCTGAGTTGCGCAGGGCCTTCTCGGCCTGGAGGACGGCGCTGCGGTCCTGCGCGAAGACGGCACCCGTGAGGCCATAATCGCCTGTCGAGTCGACGAGCTTGCAAGCCTCGGCGAAGGCGGCCGTCGGGTCGGCGCCCGCCGCGTCGTCGTAGACGTAGACGGTCAGGATGGGGCCGAAGAATTCGGTAGAAAGGTTCTTGTGGGTAGGAGACGAGGTCTCGTAGATGGTCGGGTGCACAAAGTACCCCTTGCTGTCGTCGTACTTGCCACCAGCCAGCAGGGTAAGTTCAGGGTCATCCTTGGCAGCGTCGATGACTCCCGAGAGCTTCTTGAATGATGGGGCGTGGATCACGGGGCCGACAAAGTTCTGGTGCTCCCACGGCTGGCCAAGCTTCAGTGCCTCAGTCTCGGCGACGAGCTTAGACTTAAACTGAGGCCAGATGGACTTGGCGACGTAGACGCGGCTAGTGGCGCTGCACTTTTGGCCCTGATACTCGAAGGCACCGCGGACAGTTTGGATGGCTGCGTTCTCGATGTCGGCCGAGCTGTGGATGAGGTGGAAGTTCTTGCCGCCCGTCTCGCCAACGATACGCGGGTAGCCCTTGTACCGACCCTCAGCAGTGCCCTCGCCAATCTGGCCGTAGAGCTTGCGGAAGATGGCCGTGCTACCGGTGTAGTGCAGCGCCGCAAACTCCTTGTGAGCCAGGACTGCCTTGGTGATCTCCTCCGGCGGGCCTGGGACGAACTGGATAACGTCCTTAGGGAGACCAGCCTCCAGCAGAATCTGGTACAGCAACCAGTTGGAGGCAATGGCCGAGTCGGAAGGCTTCCACACGACAACGTTGCCGAGTAGGGCGGGGGCGCCAGGCAGGTTGCCAGCAATGGCAGTGAAGTTGAAGGGGCTGACAGCGTATACGAAGCCCTCGAGCGGACGGTACTCGACTCGGTTCCAGACGCCCGGGGCGTTGTGGGCCGGCTGCTGGGCGTACATCTCCTCGGCATACGACACATTGAAGCGGAGGAAGTCGCACAGCTCGGCGGCCGCGTCGATCTCGGCCTGCCATGCATTCTTTCCTTGGCCGAGCATGGTGGCTGCCATGATATCGTACCTGTACTTGGTGGCAATTAGGTCGGCGGCCTTGAGGAAGACGGCTGCGCGATCAGCAAAGGGGAGAGCCTCCCACGCCGGCTTAGCAGCCAGCGCAGATTCGATAGCGGTGTTGATGTGCGAAGGCGTCGCGAGGGAGTACTCGGCGACAGTCTGGGAGTGGTTGGAAGGGTTGAACTGCTTCGAGGTTTCTGATGTCTTGACCTGTACTTGGCTATTAGCGGATGCTTCAAGGATCCAATTTCCCGGGACCGAGGGGGCCTTGATCATACCTCTTTACCTCCCACTACCAGGGGAACCTGTAACGGGAGCTTGGACTGCAGAGACTCGACGGCAGCCGTGAGGCCTTGTCGCTGTGAAGAGCCCTTGGCATAGTGATGCTGGCGCCGCGTCAGTCTTTGGTTATTTCTGCCTGCTCTCTTTGGGGATAGCTTACGTTGGGCTCATTGAGCACCTTGGGGATCTTGAAGGTAGCCAGGTTGGCCATCCTGCTCGTCGAGCTCAGGGACCTTGTGACGATGTGTGAGGATTGTAAAGAAGCAGCCTGGCGGGAGCAGTGAACGGCAGTCCGACCCGTGGACGACAGGCCCGACTGGAATGCTCTCGTCAGCGGCGCCAGGCCGGCGCCATTGGCTTTGCGAACGGCAGAGGTCATCTTGCTCAGAAGCCTCTTGCGATTGCTGTAGTGAGAACCGCGAGGTATCGCTGCGCTCGTCGACCCGGAAGCTGGGGTTGATTGATAAGAGCGTCGTGTAAGTCCTGGTGCCCTCGGTTGCTTGTTTTCGGGGAGCGTCTCAGGGAAGAAGCTTCGGCGTGTCAATTGGGATATCTGCCCGGCTCTGTCTCTTCGCTATAGATGTCTACAGGCAGGAAAGAACACTACAAGACGTCCTGCAGCTGTGAGTTTATGAAGCTGTCCGGACTCGATAGCTCGCTCGCTTTGTTTCGGCACAAGACGCGGCTGCGGGGCACTGGACCACTGGCCGATAGCGCCAGTGACAGGGGTTCGGCGACTCGAACCGACAGCTATGGTGGGGTCCCCAGCGCTCATCGCTTGGCCTCCAGGCCTCCTCCAAGCCTCTGGGCCCATTTCAGGTACCTCTATGGGCGCCGATGGTCGGCGGTCGGAGTGCAGAGCCGTCCTTGACTCGGGGGGCCGCTCCGTGGTGGCGGCCACGGTATGGAAGAACGGTGCCCTGCATGCATCGAAGGATACACAGACGAGATGAGCAATATCACTACGCCTATGACTACGGAAATCTCGAGGCCGTTTTCTTGTCTGCTTCAACTTGTCTTGCCAGCCTATTTTTCATTGCACTGCGGCATCTGCGGGCGGCGATACGAGCTCCTGTACAAGCTTCCGCCAGTACTATACCGTTCCAGATCTCAGGAGGCTATAGCTATAACCTAGCCAGCCACCCGCCATAGGTTGAGCTGCACCGTTTCGGGCAACTGTATCCAGTGCGCTCGCGGGGTGGGTCTTGCTAGCGTGAGTTAGCAATCCTGAGCCTCGCATTGCCGAAGCCTTCACGATAACGGCTGGTGCCAGACTGAGAGATTGCCCCAGAAGCTCGGCTTACCATGGCAAACTAGTCTTTTATGGAATTGGCTTGGATATCCTGTCCTCGATAGACAGCCGGCTCAGACCAGGACCAAGTGGTGGAAAAACGCAGAGAGATACGAGGATGCGCGACAAATAAAAACGTGTTCATTGGGACAATAGGAACGAATGCTGCATGTAATAGACCAAGCTCCCTCTACTATCAGCCGTGTAGTAATACACAAAAAGCACCTTAAGCCTTGCCATCAATCCGTCTGCTCCTTTCATTAGTTGGGCATCATAGCCCGGGTATGAGTAATACATGCAAATCCACCCTCCCTTTCTGGTATCTTGTTTTTCTTTCTCGTCGTGCTGTGCCTATAATCTGCATACAAAAACAAAAATCACAACAATGACACTCGACTCGCTTGTCTTCCAGGATTTCCAGCGGGCCGCCATGGGCTTACTGCCGATTTGTGTGTTGGCTCGCGGCTGAGGCGGTGCCAGGCCGCGTGTTCGGTCTGGAAGAGGAGTGCAGGTGAGGACGGTGGTGCGCAAGTGTCTCCGTGTACTTGCCCGGTTCGTAGTTGAGCGCAGGGATGGTAAGGCCGTACGGCTCCGTGTGGCCGTCCTTGTCGTGCTGATCTATCTCAACTCGAATAACACAGTCGAGTGATCCGTCATTGTTCTTGCCGTGAGTCGCAGGCGCAGCAGCCTTGTGCTGCGTACCTGCGCTCAGCTCGCCCTTGTGGAGGAACGAATGGCCATCTTTGCCGTCGAACTGGGGCTCAGCGGTCTCGCCGTTTGTTGCATGGGCAGAGCCATTTGTGGCAGCGGCGTGGTTGTTGGGCGAGTTCTCCGTGATGATGGCGTAGTTACGACTGGGCATCGTAACATGGTTTGAGTTGGCAGTCTTGTTCGAGTTGCCAGGGTCCTTGTTGAACAGACTCAGAAGGGTCTCATCGGTGTCGGGGTTCAGATGGTGGATCTTGTTACGCTTGGCCAGCAGATTCGCGATGGCGGCCGGGGGAGGCTTGTTGACAATTGCCGACGACACCACGTTGACCATGTAACGGTGATCTTGGTCTGCTGGGATGTGGAGGTCCGGGTTCGAGTAGAATCGTCCCAATGCCGCCAAATGCACGTCGCCGCCCAGAATCGTGATTCTGATCGAGAACTCGGAGCAAATGGTCTGCAGCCGCTCAATGAACATGTTACGCTCCTTCTTATGAGTCCGAGCCGTGTAATGGTCGTCCAGGTCGTCAAGCAAATCTACACTGCCGTCAAAGTGGTTGAAGACGCCGCCACCGAAACCGAATCTGCGGTTCAAGAACTTGATTGGTGCGATGAGCGGGCTGGAAAATACGTTCTCCAACCAGGTCAACCTCTGCCGTTGTTGTCAGCTTCCCGACTGCTCACGATACTAGGGGGCTTCTACTTACGGGGTACGCGATGGGAATTCCCAGGAGCAGGATCAAGTGCTTGTAAGGGTTGCCAGCCTGTGCAGCGGCACCAAGCTCGTCTCGCACGCGCTGGAAGATGAGATCATATGTCTCGGGGTAGTTGACCTGATGACGGGTACGCTCAGTGCGAGCGTCGATACCCAGGAAGGCCATGCGGGCTCCGAGTCTGGAAAACATGTTCATGGAGTGCTCTGCAACATACGGGCCGGGTCTGCTACCAATGATGTATCCAGGCTCGTTTTGCAGCGTAGCCGGCGCAACGAAAGTGTCCTTGACTTGGGCGTTGTCCACGGCGTCTCCGGCCTCCATGGTCTGCGGCGCAGAGGTGGTATAGGTTGAGGTGGGGGGTGCCAGGTGATGCTGGAACAGCATGTAGTACTTGTGAGCAGTGCCACCAATACCGCGGAATACATCACACTTCATGAACTCGTTCACGTAAGAACCGAACCCGTCGATGATGTCGTGGTCGTCCCAGATGTTGAGCTGCGCAATCTGTCCATTGGCCTGCGCAAAGGGCTCGGTTGAGTACCAGCGGATGTAGTTCTGCAGGTAGTAATCGTCGCACTCTGCTCGGAGCTTCTCGGGGAACGGGTACTCCCTCCTCTTCTTCGGGTTGCCAATGTCAGTCCACTGCCTCAAGGGCCCATTGACACGGATCCCGTCATTGTAGATCTGGTCGCCGCCTCCAAGCATGACGTGGAAGGGAGCTTCGGCATGCCGGCGCAGGACGTCGTTCCAGAGCGCTGGGCCGCTCCAAGCTTCCTCGTCAGTGCCAACACTGAATCCATTGCAAGAGTGGAACATGATCCTCATCGACTCGGTCGTGGCAGGAATGAAGAAGTAGTTTGTTACGGGCTGGGTGGAGCTCTTGTAGCGCACATCGGAGATCGAGTATGCCCACTTGGTCTCGGTGTCGAGCATGTCGCACCTGAGGTGAAACTGCCAAAAGGTGTTTCGGGGATCAGAGTATAGACAGTTCCCTTGGACCTCGGCTCCGTGGCGGCTCTCAACCGCACCGTTGCCCTGGGACACCCCATTGGCAGCGGCGCCCTCTCCGACAAGACCCTGTTGTTGATCGGCGACCTCGACACGTCCAATGTGCAGCGTGGGCTGGAAGCTCTGGGTCTTGCCTCCGCCCTTGGTGACGATGAGCACACTTCCATACCAGACGTTGCCCTCCTGGCGGCGATAGTTCAACAAGGGCCCACACACGACTTCCTTGCCGTCGCTAACAGCGCCAACACCGTCGGTAGCACCATCGGGGCCAATGACGATCGGGGTGAAGTTGCCGGTGCCGCCGGTGGGGGGCCTGTCGCTCTCGACTCTCGTGGAGTTGAGGAAGTTGGTCAGGTCTTGAGTGTTGGCGCTGGCCGTGTGCGGATCGCGGGCCTGGCCGGCGTGACGAGCAAAAGCCGTCGACTCCTGGTGTCGCCATCGGCTCTCTGAGCGGTAGGGGTTGGGGCGCTCGTCCCCGGGGACCTCGAGGTCGTGTTCGTGTGGTTGGGACGTCATCCTCTACAAGATCTGTCGACTAACAAAGAATGCGACTACGGATCGCAATACGAGAAACTGCAGTGACAGCTCCTTGGAATTCGAGAAGGGTTTTATTGCGCAGACTCGGCCCCTGCTGTGGCTGTGGGTGAGTAAGTGTTTTGCAGGTCGTCGGCGCTCGCGACGGGGCGGCAGTCGTATAGGAAGTCGAATCAAGCTCCGTGGAAGGCAGGTAGGTGATCAAGGTTTACGCAGGCAGAGCCAAGGTAATGCAGTATGCTTCCAAACAGGGAGATTGAGCACCGTACGAGGAGGGAGATGCGCCTTGTCACAGACAAGATGCCACGATGTGCCGACTAGTGAAGGCTGGGTTGCGAAAGCTGCATCTGTTGCTGCTGGATGGGGGAGGGAGCGGCGGCGCGCAGACCACGATGGATTGGCAACGAGGACGGGCGGGTTGGATGAGGATCAGGCCCTTGGCCCACTGTTGGTAGGGCGACGCGCAGAAGAACAGGGAAAGACGTGTGCCAAGACGACAAGGTCAGATTGGGGGTTGCTAAAGTTGGCTAAAAGGCACGATGTTTCAATATCTATGGCCCGACTTGAGCTCAACGATTCGTGCAGGGCCACGTAGGGTAGAGGTTGTGTGTAGCGCAGTCACAGCCCACCATGAGATTGATGCTACATACGATAGTTACCGAGTCTACTCCCAATCGAGCGGTCATTGATTTGGCTTCGGTGATGATTGTCATGGCTGAATAGAATATCTACAGCAACACAAATAATGTACCTGCTGCTGCGTGTTGTGTTGTGACCATGGTCCGGGTATGATTACAGCTCCCAGCTCCAGCTCCCTGCAAGAGATTGGTGGGTTGCTTTCTTTCTGCTTTCGGTGGCCCCAGCTCCATGTCATCATGTCTATCAGCTCATCTCAATTGAAACGCAACAGGGGTCATGCTCCGTAGTTGCTGTGTAGGAGTGCGAAGGTACTCGGACTGCAAAGGGACATGGTTTCAGTACTTCGACGGATCGCTGAGGAGGCCGCCGTCGCCCACAGCTTTCCAGGCTGTCGCCCTCTTGGTTGGCATCCGGTCCAGGCAGTGCATCTGCAGAGCCCCGTTGCTTGCGATTGAATCTATTGAGGCATCGCCAATGATGTTGCGCTGCTGGTACCCGTCCTTTCCGAGGTCTGTGCCTAGAATTGCTTGACGAGCTTGGCCTCTGGTTGTCTGGGACGGGAGTTGGAGGCAGCTCGCTGCATCTTAATTTTCAGTGGAGACGGATCTGCACGTGCCATCCCTGCCGCATCCCAAAGCCCTTCGAGTGGATTGAGTTGAATGACGTTACAGGCTGCCAAGTCGGCTTTAGCGGCATCTCTTATCGTGCCACGGCCCAGTAAATGCTCCATGTGCGCCTATACGGTACTGTGAGTAGGTAACTATGGATGTCATCGTGAAACAATCTCCGTTACCTGCTAGGAACCAGGAAACAGCGGGCACGATGGGGCAGGCCAGCCCTACTTCTATCGCGCCTTGATTTCGACCGTCTTGTGTGAAGTTGAGCAGCTTAAAAATAGCATCCATGGCAATTATATGCTCTACATCAGCCAAGTTATGGGGCTCGCCTCTATATACAGGACGTGATATCCGGCGAATATTGTACATGTCTAAGATTTATCCAAACGTGCCAAATAGTAAGTCGCTTGGCTGCCCACAAAAGCTGCCGTATTGTGCAGTAGGTCTATAGTTACAATCAACCTCGCGCAAGGGTCTAGTTGTCGGTCTTGGGCTTCTGCTCAACGACCTTACCGAGCACGTCCATGCTGTTGTGCTTGTCGTCCTTGACCTTGGCCGCGGCCTTGCTGTCCATGGACTTCTGAATCCACTCAATACCCAGCATGCCGGCCGAGATGCCTCCCACGTGCGATGCAATGTCGTAGGTGAACGCTGCCGCGTTCCTGGAGAACAGGCCGGCCCAGATGTGCAGGCCGACAATGAGGCCGAGGAAGACGGCGCCCGTGGGCCCGGACCACGGGTCCGGCGGGTAGCCAAAGATCTTGAACTCGTCGGCCCGGTGCAGCCAGAAGAAGGCGGCCATGATGCCGTAGACGGCGCCCGACGCCCCGAGCGTGGTGAACTGCAGGCCGCGGAACAGCACCAGGTTCGACAGACTGGCCAGGAAACCAACAGCGCCCGAGGCAAAGTAGAGCGCCAGGAAGTTGCCGCGGCCAATGTCGTCGTGCAGCCGGATGCCAAAGAACCACAGGGCGACCATGTTCCCGATCATGTGTGTTGCTTGGTGATGCGAGAACATGGCGCCGATGACCTGCAGTGGGCGCGGAGTCGCGGCGACCAACAGCATGTACCTGTTGAACACAACCCAGGCCGGCGGGAATTTCCACAGGGCGAACACGGCAAAGTTACCAAGAATCAACGCAATGCACGTTGCGGCGGCGGGAGGTATGTCCGGCCACATCCGCCAGTTCCGTTTAGGAGGAGTGTAGTAAGCGGCAAGGACGGCACATGCTCCAAGGACCAGGAGCACGAATGCCGCCGTGGGCAGCAGGCGTTCCCAAGCCGCCATCTTCGGTGGTTCCGCCAGGCTCGAAGTGGCCCGCTCCGTGTACTTCTTCACAAACGGGCTCAGCTCCCTCGGCTTTGCCTGCTGGGTCTGCAGCGTTCCGATGTTCCCTAGAGCCTCCTCCTCTTCGCGCTTGATGCGCTCAGCTTCGAGGCGCTCCTGTTCGGCCGCGTGCTTGGCTTCATTGCGCTTGCGGATGCGGTCGAAGACGCCCTCTCCGTACGCGGAGTCGTCTTGTCTTGGCAGTCTCCCGGTTGGTGCCAGCCTCTGTTCCTCGACTTCCTTTGCGGTAGGAGTCTTCTGAGGACTCGTCTCTTCGAATTGTTCCTCGGCCTCCTGGCTGTTGAACTCGGACTCTTGTTCCTCCAGTAGTCGCAACTCGTCCTCGGCGCGCAGCCCGGCGTTGATGACCTCGTCCACCGGGATATTCTTGCGTAGGTACTCCAACGCCTTGATCTTGTCCGCGGCCAGGAAATGCGCCGTATTCTGTTGGAGATCCGGGTCGTCCAACGTGCCGGCAACCCTCCGGCCGTGTATTATCTTGAGGAGCTGGTTGGCATCTCGCGCCGTGATATGTGCGCCGAATATCTTGTTGACTTCGGTCTGGGTGAGGTCTTCTTTCCGATAAGCGAGCCCGTTCGCATCCTCGTAGTCGTTGGGCAGCAGACTGTAGTGAACGATGGCGCGAAACGTAAAGGCCGTCCGCACCGTTGTCCGCGGTAGTAACCCATGGGATTGCGTCCATTCGTACCGAAGGGCTCTGGAGGGACGCAGAAGCCCAACCGCGTGTGTACTACGACCGCAGCATCCTGTCTTGAAGGGCGCGACCCGGGCTACGGTCGCAAACTGGCGGGCGGAGGCTGTGTAGAGTATCCGTTCGCTCTGTCGGGAGACGGCCCGGATGCCAATCTGGAAGCTCGACGGCGGCGCCAGAGACGAGAGGATATTCATGATCCCGATTCAGGCCCCGTGCCTCCAATGAGCAAAACCCATGGGTGACGCCCCAGTCAAATTGTTGCGGTCTTGGTGGGTGGTGGAACGATAGAGCTGGATGACGCTATCGTTGCCGACAATTGGAGGTCTGGAAATTTTGTTGCGAGAAACCGGCTAGCTCCGAACGGGTCCCGGGGGCAAGGGTGCCAGTATCACTAACTCCCTGCACAAACTCCGTGCATCACGGCCCCCAAAGATATTGGACGGTCTACAGCAGTATACAGTCAAAATGGGAATTGCATCGTCTTAATTCAATTTTGGGAAAACTAATTAGTCGACCTGGCGGCGCCCAGCAATTTTATCGGTCCCTTTTGGGCCTTGTCCGTTCCCGGCGTGGGGAAACACTTTTATTCCAAACTGTTGCCCTGCAGCTCGTTACGCGTCCGAAGCATCGAAGTTGCGCACCAAATCGTAGTAGAACTTGACAGCCTCTATGTGGGCATGCATGTCAATGGCCTCATTCACTGTATGCGCATTTTGTGTTCCGCCTTTGCGCGTCGGCACCCATCGGTACACATTCTTCGTAAGGTCTGCACGTGTCAGCGCCAAGTTGTCTGCCCTCACAGGCTATGCCACTGGAGCCACTTACTGAGATACCATCGAGTGTCCGTGTTGCCGGTCATGAGTTCGCCTACCGGGACAACCTTTCCGTGCTCGAAAGCGAATGTGTGCTGGATTGTACCTGAGAAGACATCCCATACCGGTCCACTAGTAGGTGATACTGGCGCATTTTTCGTGTCTGCGGTCGCAGTGAGTGTCAACGTCCCGTTGTAATCGACCTCATAGGCTGGCTTGAACTCCTCAAAGGCAGACTCTCCCTTGTATGCGCTTATGGATAAGCCGAACTTCTCTGCAATCGGCTTGATCTCACGGACGATCTTTTTCTTGACTTCGGCAGCCGTGTCGTGCGGTGCTACGCGGTAGTTGACACCCACGCGTACCTTCTCGGGCATGGCATTAATCTTGACACCTGCATTGAATAGGTCGACAGCTTGAGACGTTTGCACGCGGTACTGCGTTGGCCGGTCAATGCTTGCCAGCTCGTGGGCGAGTCCATGAAGATCTCCCTTCTTGATTAACTTCGTAATCTTTGGCGCCGCGTCAGGGGAGTATCTCGCCTGGCACGCAAAATGATTGTAAATCGGCGAATCCTTAATGATTTTGGGCTTGAAAGGGTTCGACTCAAGTTTGACGACGATTTCTGAGAGAATTCCAATGCCAGTGTGAGGGAATGGCGTGGAGGAGTGTCCGCCATTAACCTGGAGATCGATCCACACATCGACATGCCCCTTCTCTGTCACAGCCGGCAAAGCATCTTGAGTGGCCGGTTAGACATATTTAAATTAATTTTTCTCCCACTCCCAGGGTGAAACTCACAAAGGGTATTGCCTTCGAGCAACTCAAGTCCCATACCACCTTCGTCGAGCAAAAGAGCCATAGAATACTGGCCGTACCGTTCCTCCAAAAACGGCCCAATCGAGCCGGCACCACGGCTCCCAGATTCTTCATCAAAGCCGAGAGCGACGATGATGGTTCGGCGTGGTACCCACTGGGGGTTAGACAGGAGAGTCTCCAGAGCGGAGAAGATGCCAGTTAAGCTATTCTTATCATCGGAGGCTCCTCTTCCCCAAAGCCACCTGCCGTCGAAATGAGCTGAGAAGGGTGGATATTTCCACGTGGATGGATCAGCTACGGGAACAACATCTTGGTGAGCAGTAAGCAGTATCGGCCTCAAAGAGGGATCTGTCCCCTTGAGACTGAAAACCAGCCCAAAGGTATTTACCGTCTCCCGAGCCATACGGGCATGACTGCCACGGTTAGTTTCACAGTTCGTGGTCAACTGCGAGGGTAGATGACATACACAGATGGATAGAGCTCTGCGAGAGCGTCGTGTAGGTCGTAGAAGACATCCCACCTTGGGTCGTCACCGGGTTCTCCATTGTCATCGTATGATACCGACGGAATCTTTACAATGGTACTATGCCTTTCGACCTGCTTGGATAACGCCTTCTTGTTATCAAAGAGGTCCCTTGCAGATGGCAATCCATCTGCTGAGGGATCGAGGACTGGCGGAAGGTCACACTTGAACTTGGTAGAGTCAGCGCCTCCCAGGACTTGCTGTCCTCCATCCTGATAACTGTGTTGCCCAGTAGCCGCTGCTAGGGCAGCAGAGACATTGGCCACAAGGGCTAATTTTGACCAGAGCATCGTGCTTGATCACGGTATTCCAAACTGTTATGGAAAGTCTGGGAAAGACTTCAGAATGTCGAGATCACGCTTGTGACTGAGAATCCAAGAAGAGTGCAAGCGGTCCGGGCATGCGGGGAAGGAAAGTTACGAGATGGCAGAAAGTCAACAAGCTACCCCAACCCGAGCTTCGTTGCAACGTGCCCTGACTATGGCGTCAGGTCGAAAATCCATTGCTTCTATCCAAGATAGGCAATCGAGTGGTCGCAATTCAAGGGTGTGGAAGCGGGATGGCGGAGAATTGATAGGAGTGGTCCGATGCCGCATCGAAAACTACCGGACGCCGCCAGGCCCGCCGATCTGCTCACTGTTGAATGAAGTGAACCATTGTGAATTCTGTAGAGCCTATATTCGATATCTAACGGTCCTTGATGGCTGTTGAGGCCTCGGCAGAAGAAGGCCTCCAGAGTGCGTAAGTCTCGTGGTACAGGAGAGCATCGACTATAACGGCGAGCGGCCGGCGTTCATCGGGGCAGGATACCGACATTCGGTGCCCCGCGTGGGGCTCTATGTAAGCTTAGCTACCCCTGTCAGCGAGGCATGGCCCAGGGTCTGGTTTTAGCGGCAGGCAGCTTCTGCATGACGAAACACCCAGTTGAGTAGACGATGGGCAACATTTGGACGGTTTGACAGATTGGTCAGTGTACGACTTTGGCATAACAAACAACAGATCATCGACTTTCTTGCGAGCCAACCCTACGACCCCCGAGACACCTACCGACCACAATCACAAGAGGAAAAACGGCCTGAGCTCGCAACACTATGGCTTCGGAAGCAACACCCATATCACCCGCCCGCTTCGCCGAGGCGCTGAAGGAGCTGCCGGCCAGCAGCCTCGCGCTCAAGGTACTGGAGCTACGCAACTCGATCGCGCACCTCGACTACTCCAACGCCGAGCTCAAGCCCTACGCCGAGGGCCGCGCCTCGGCCGTCGACTCGGCCGCCGCCCCGGACCAGCCTGACCAGGACTGCGTCGACGCCATCCGCGAGAACGAGCTGGTCATCGAGCGCATGCAGGAGCGCATCGCCCTCATCAAGGCCGAGGTCGAGGGCCGGGGCCTGAGCTGGGCCGAGTTCCAGGGCAAGCCGGACGACGAAGAGATGAAGGAGGAGCCCGAGACCGTGGCGCCGCCCGCGCCGACCAACGGAGTCAATGGACATGCATCAATCACCGCCGCGGAGAGCAGGCAGCACCCCGCATGGTCGGACGGCACGTTCACGACAGGCACGATACGCGGCGGCTTGAGTGACGATGAGCTGAGGCAGCAGCTGGAGGCTCGCATGCGGGAGATGGAGGGCGACGATGACGAGGGCGGTATGCATTTGTAAAAAGAACGCGTGGGAGATGGCACCGGCGCCATATTGGAGGCAGCACGAGGATGGCGAAGGGTCCTGTTTAGAGGCACACGGCGTTCGGATGGAAAAGGGAAGCATTCGGGGAATCAAGAGATGGCATCATGAATATGCTACGATTCCCAATTACCAGGTCGATACCCAATGATTCTTGTTTCCACAAATTTCAAGAATACTCAACGCTTTTTGAAACCCTACACAGTGACTATCCCTTACATGAAAATAACTCCTTTGGTCTTGCCTTGTCCGTACAAATTGGAAACCCGCTACTAGTTACACGCTGGAAGCGCCCAAAACGCCATGACTGACTGATCCCCATTCGCTGAACATCTGACCCTCACATTTATGAGGGTGTCTAGATCGGTGAAGCCACACCTTGTCTAGGCATCGCATATGTTGCGCTCATGGTTTCGTCGAACGTCTGGAACGGGCCAAATGCCTGCCATCGTGTAGTTAGTACGCTGTTGCTCGAGCTCGCCGGCTATTTGGCCTGCATGTATAGCTCATTACTTACGGACGCATCCAGGTCAACCCAGTCCGTTGTTTGCCAGTCCTGGAAGGGTTGGAAAACTTCATATGCTGGTTGTATAGCCTGACCGAACCCTACAGGGTGGTCCGCAGATAACGATTGCATGGCCAAGGGCACGCCCTGAGATTCCGACCTTGTGTCGCACGTGGACCTCGATGTTTCCGTGGCTGGTGTGCTGGAGATGGCAGATAACCGGCGCGGCCTGGCCTCTTGCCTCAGCTCTTCTAGTATAACAGCGTATCTTCGACTTGGGGAATCCGCTGATGCAGTTTGGGCGAGGTTGGCATGGCATTTCTCTGCCAGGGCAAAGAGTTTCCGGCTTTCGTCGTCGCTCTCACGGCCACGGCTCCGTTGCTGGATCTCCCAGACGTAAGTAATGGTCAGCGCACAAAACGCCACGTACGGAGACCACCAATAAGCATGCACGATTGTGCGATCCGAAGCCATCGAGACCAAAGTCGTTAGAGCAACCTTTGCTGAAGAGAGACAGTCTTCGACGCACTCCTTCACTGATGGGTCAGTGCTCTGGCTATCCAGCAAGAATGGCCGATTTGCGTGCATAACAGCGTGACAGTACCCTAGCTTCAGTGCCATTGCCTGCCTACGTAGCCCTGGTATCAGACTCGAAGGGTTGATTGAGCTCAAATGGGCAGGCAACCCGGATCGCCACTTTCGTAGCTCCTGGCGTGCCAAGTTCGCCGCAGCCAGCCGGTCCTGTTTTGAGGCGGCGAAGATGGAGTACACGTCTCTCGAAGTGGTTCCAATGATTCTGGACAGCTTAGCATGTGCTATGACCCCTTCCATGATGCTGTCCCGTTCGAATCCGTCGTCCAATGCTTGCGGTCCTTGTGGGCTCATATTTTCATCGTTGATTGAATCTGGGAAGTCTTGGTTGATGTCCTCGTCGCGGAAATATCGAGGCCTCCCAAAGACGACACTAAGGTACGTATCGATAGTATATGCAACCCACAAGGTCCTTCGCTGGCACTGTGAGTGTATATAGTCGTCACGAGTGCTTGGGGTGCGGCTGGAGTTCTGGCTTGACCTTCGGTGCATGCCGAGCGCAACTATGATCTGATATGTGTTGCCAAGAAGATACCATGCCTTGTTCATTCTGAATGTCTGCAGAAGATATAGGACCTGTATCAGCCTCGCCTGAGCCGACTCCAACTGCGGAAGGCCTTTTTCTGTTTCGGTGAGCGAAGCAGCCATGGAGTAGTACCTATCGGTGACAAGTAATATGTCTTCTTCGTTCCATGAATCACTTGGGGTCTTATTCATCTTCTTTGCTTTGAGTGTTGTGATTGCCATGATTGTGAAAAGGACGGCGAGCTTGGAATTACTGATCTCGTGGGTTGGAAGCAGGCCTTGTCGCATGTTTCTCTGTACCGTATCCATCCACGCCATCACGGTTCTTCGGTGAAACATGATGTATGTAACAAGGCAAACTTCAAAGTACGAGGTCAGTAGGTCGTATGCGGTGGCTGGCAGCTCCACTGGGCCGGTCACTCGGATATCACCATGCAGAGGTTTGTCACCGGCTGTCTCAAGAGGCTGCGTCCGCTCGGACCCACTATGAATATGCGGGTTGACATTGCTGATCTGAGTTGACAGCCGTCTGTGAGCTCGGTGAAGGAAATTGAGTCCAGAGGTGGGCTCGTAGTATTGCCCTTCGATTTCATCAGCATCCAGATTCGGCGAGCCAAGCCTGCTACGGGGCTCCGCAGGCTGGCTGGGTCTAGCGCTAGCAGCTGCCAAGGGTGTGTTTGTACTGCCAGTTGGATACGATACTTCTATAGCCTGCGGCCTGGTGGTGATACTGATCAGCCAACTGTCTGTGCGTGGCGTTCCTGTGCTGAAGCTCACCTGCCGGCCGGTGGGGTCCGCGCTCTGCCACGGGTGTACTTAGCATCATACACACACTGTAGACTGCGCTGGACACAGCGAGTGCAAGGCAATGTCCCTGAGCATCTTGCCTTCTTGGCTTTGCAGTGGTCACAGGCCCGGCTAACTTTGGGGGCCTTCCTCCGATTTTCAGTCGATTCTGGGGACGAAACGGAGAGCACTCGCTTATGTCGAGGCAGCTGGGGGTTTGAAAAATCCTGGGAATCTTGCTTATGGGACTGAGAGACCTCGGAAGCAGGTGTGGATGCAGACATGGCTTGGTAAGTCAGCACATCGCGTGTTTCTTGTTGAGACGAAGTGGATGCGAATCCGAAAATCCGGGGTGATACTGTGGGGCGGCCCGGACTTCTACGCCACTTTCGGCTCACGTGACAGCCCAATGCCTCCCAAGTGTCATATCAAGTACGGGATGAACTCTCGCTTGAGGCCGACAACAGAGCAGCTCCTACTAGTGTGCTTGTGAAAGGAGGAGAGGGTAAAATAGATACAATAGTATCGCACACTACCAGAACCCCGATCAAGGCCGAGACACGTGCCAAGGGCAGCTTACTTAGAGCGTTGGCGGCTTGAAGAGGAATGCGCAATCCGAAACTGGCAAACTCTGTAGAGTGCAACTAGTGCTTTGCGCAAACCTGTACCAGATCATTTGCAGGGCCATTGAATCATACCAGAGTGGTAAGGAACAACTTGTACAAGAAGCGAACTGAGTACGTTGTCAGGTATAGATAGACTTTACCGCCTTTGCGACCCTGCATGCACAGCTTCAAGGGATGCAAATTCACTAAACCCAAAAATACGATCTCGCCTGACCATACCACATCAGTAAGTCAACTATGTGAAGCCCAAAAACCAGTCTAATAGCTGATGGAGGTAGAGTAACGGTCCAGCTTACACAACCAGCAGAAGGTGACCATATTAAATGTCTCATGTCCAATTCCCAGACTATCTTCCGCTAAGCGAATCAGTCCTGACTTGCACAAAGAAGTCCTTGATGTAGAAGGTCAGTGTGGACTCTCGGAGCCAAGGATTCTCAGGGTTGACGACTTGGAAATCAAACGATCTCAAAAGCTGCACGACCATTAGTGTTCCACACTATTATAGAACCAAACTTTGGGATATTCAGGGGAAAGAGCCACGCTCACCTCGACAAAAATTTTGTTCAATTCCATTAATGCCAACACTCTCCCGAGACACAGCCAACGACCATGACCGAAATTGAGGTCCACTACCTTCTTGCGCCTTGCTTTGGTAGCCTCGTCACAGTCAATAAACCGCTCTGGGCGGAACATCTCAGCGTCGCGACCAAAAACCTCCTCGTCTTTCATTAGTGCGATGTAGTTGGTGTGAACCTCTGTGCCTGCTGGAAGCATCTTTCCGCAGATGACGTCCCCTCCGGGCGGCACCGTTTTCGGGAATCCCGCCGTTAGTGGAGGACTCATACGCATCCCTTCACTGAGAACCGCCTGTTACACGATTGAGTTAGCAATCCAAGTATAAAGGAAAGGAGTAAGTGCATCTGACCTGCAGGTAGGGGAGATTTCGTGCTTCCTCGTTCTTGATTGGCCTTGAAATACGACCGTGCTCAATGCCATCTGATATCTCTTTCTTAAGTTTGTAGTAAATACTGGGCGACGTTATCAGGTACATCAGTATGCCACGAATTGTTGTGATGGATGTCTCCGTCCCAGCAGGCACCTGCACCGAAAGATCCAACTCCGCTTCGGTAGGCGAAAGGTCGTGCTTTAGCCACTCCTCCTGCACTCCATCAGTTTCAAAATTACTGCATCGAGCAATACATGCACTCAACCTACCAGCATGTCTCCGCCAACGTCTTGCTCCTTTTCGCCTTTAACTCGCCGCTCAACAGCTTTCTTAAGTTCTCTGTGTGCAGTATCAGCTGGCTGGAACCCCATTCAAAGCGGAATGAATAGCTACCCTAGCCATCCAGTAGTCGTACTTGCGCCGAAAAGACGGAGGAAAAGTGGCGAGAACAAAACAGTACGAAACGTTGGAACCATAGAGGTAGCATGGACAAATTGGAACAACTTATCCGCACTAGTCAAATATTGGAAATGGTCCTTGTTCGAGCTCAGATTCCCCCACGCCTTCCCCATACCTGCTAGTGTGATGAGGTCAACTTGGAAATACTGAAGTAAAAGGCCCATATCAACGATAGCCTGTCCGTTGCCCTCGTTGATTCTGTTCTTCAACACGTCTACTAGGACGGCTATGTGCTGGTCTACACTGCCCTCGATGTCCAGAAGGCCCTTTCCGGAAAACCCGAAGGTCAGCTTGGCTTTTCGTTTATCGTGCTTCGCTGTGTCCAGCTCGCTGAATACGCTGTCGCCATATGGATTGAATCGGATGCTTCCGTACCAGTTGCCACGTGTATATGATGAGCGGGCCGAGTTAATACGCCACAAGGTGTCAGGATCTGATATTAACACGTCGGTTGGTGTGATTCGTACAATTTTACCATATCTTTTCTGGAGATCTTCCGCAGTCTGGTGGAAGCGCAGACGGCTTATAGAGCGGTATGCCCATAGGCTAGTTATCGAAGCGATGAATGGACCAGGAACATGGCTAAGACGAAACCATTGTCTCGCAGTAGAGATGACCGCACCCACCACAGCCACGGCAATACCGAGAAAGACCAAAGCGTTTGTTCCATGGTACCAAAAACCAAGGCTCTGTGTTATTGTATCCATGATGCAAACAGACCTGCAATGTCTGACTTCGCAGTCTTAGAATTCAATCTGGCACTGGGGAAGGAAATAACATATCAACTTTAAGCCAGGTATATATATATTCATATTTGTTCATTCGGCACACACAGATTTTTTATAAGGGCTTTTCATTGGTGGGGACGCTGATCCATGGAGATATATTGTGACCGGTCAACTTGAGATGGTGTCAAATATGCGAACGCATAATGCCACGAGACCAATGAAAATGATCATTGGTGTATCCACTTGCAGTAAACGCATGGCATGACTAAGGTACTAAGTGATGCAGTTGCAAAATCTCGCAGACTATTGCTACATGTCGTACACCCCCGCACTTGTACTGCGTGTCCTTGCATCACGCTTCCAAAAATGATTGAACGTTGGGGTAGGGCAAGCGGGATAGTCACCGATTGAGCTTCGACTACAACATGAACTGCCGCCACCATAGTCTTACGATTGGGTTGTCTTCTTGAATACAAGATCCAGGCAGATTCAGCTTGGAGACGGCACTTGCGGTCATTCTGTATCAGCGCAGTCGAGTCAGACCTGGAAAGATGGGATTGATGGGAATGCTTTGTGTTCGGCGCGTAGAACTGCCTGCGCTATGGTGATAGGGGGTTGTTCAGCTTCCTACTCCGGGATAACGGAGCAGTAATTTGTCGCCAGCGCCCGCCCAGAAGTCTAAGAACAGCTTGAAACCCACCTCAGGGGCCACCTCATCGGGATTGCCACACCTAGCAGGTCCGACACAAATAGCCCAAAATGACACAGGGAGCTGAGAGATTTTCCGAGACGAGATAAAGCTGCCTTGCGATAGAGTATTTGGAACGTGACCTTTAGCTTGAACCGCATATCGTTGTTTGCAAATGTTCTGAGTAATGTTGAGACAGGCAAGGTGGCTATGGAAGCTATGTGCTGAATAGATGTCCTTGAAGCGAATGGAAATCTTGATGGCTTTCTTCTGACGAGTGCAAGTCCAATCGATCAGCTGAGCCCCTTTTTGGCTATCAGAGACTCATATCTTGGCGTCAAGGCTATCCGTATCTTTTTGCCCCAGATGACAAGGGGAACATACAACAAGCCAATAGCAAGAGAAACAAAACCACAAACGATGTACATGTTGCTAAGGCCCATCGCAGTCCACCATGGAACCATGGCAGAGGGGATACCGATACTAACAGCGTTTCTGAGGAACGCGACACCAACAAACGCTTCGGCGGTGAGCTTTAGGTGATTTATTAGTACGTTTACTGTCGTTGAATTGGGTGTCATGACCTACTTTGGTATAGGAGTCAATCAACATGGTGAAGGCAATTTCGCCGGTTGAACCAAGACCAAACGCAAACAATGCACCACCAATGCTTGGCAAGATCCAGTGCAATCCCTAATTGCAGGATTAGACCATGTGAAAAAGTGAAACGTCTAAAGAAAGGTTATTCGTTTCACTGACCTTATCAGATGTCACCCCGAACATGATGAGCCCGCCTGCCATAAAGACCACCGATACACAAAGTTGGTGAAGTCGCATCTCCGGCTCGAATAACCTCCCGTTACGCTTCGCTATTCGGAGAACGAACCAATCAGACATAGGACCACCATAAATGTTACCCAGTACGTTGCCAACAAACGGGCCAAGTGTCATATAGCCCACACCAGAGGTATCAAAGTTGTATGGAGGCGCAGAGAAAATGACAGAGGTCATAGCCATGAGCAGCACCAACCAGGCTACTCCGGATGCAAACTGCAGTGCCGTAAACATGACGTGCGGCAATGTAATGACGTGAAGTGGAAGAATGAAAACTTTCCACAGGCTTTCGTCCGTAGGGGTCCAGAGCCGCATTCGTTGGGAATAGGTGTGAGTTTGGTATGTGGGAGTTGACGAAATAGACTGAGATCTTGTTCTATTCAGCGGTGATAGCTTGTCCTGGCTGGTGGCGTCGGTCTTCGCCTCTTGATCATCTTCGATCGACTGTGTGGCGACTTGCACGCTCCCAATATTGACTGGGACGTATTTGGTTTCTTCGTACAAGAAACAGAAAGCAACGAAGAGAATAGTCAAGCAGATAGAAAGCGCATAGTAGGAGAAACGCCACCCTTGTGTTGCCGCTTGTGCACCAGCAGCCAGCGGGCATAGAAAACTACCAAAGTTGACGGCGACGAAATATACGCCGTTAGCCCGCCCTCTCTGGTGCACGAAGAACAGGTCTGCTATCTATGGATCGGATTAGCACCCAATGGTTCTTTTTGTCAGGAGTAAGCACTTGGCTTCTCTTTCTTACTGTCATTTGAACGGCGGTCTCGTTAATAGCGCCTGCCAATCCGCTCACAACTGAAGTCACCATCAGCTCCCAGAGGGTGGTCATCTTAGCTGACCACCACGCGGTCGCCGCCAGGACGGCTGTCGACAAGATATAGGTAGGTCGACGTCCGTATTTAACGGTAAGTGGGATGAAGAACAGACAGCCGACCGCAAGGCCGGCTAACTGTGCTGATTGCGCGTTGCTCAGATCAGTGATGGTAACGGGCATGTCTACCACCATCTGTTGCCAGAACACAGTCTGGATCATCAAACTAGTATTCCTATAAGTCAAGACCGCCCAACAGCTAATAGTTTCAGCCTTGCATGTCGGACACAAAGACTTACACAGCGAATGCAGCGATTGTCATGCCAAAGATGAGTGCCATATTGAGATTCTTTCGCCATAGCGGCCAATTCTACACCAGGAAGTAATGAGTAAAAGAGTCAGGTGAGGAAGCACATTGGAGAGTGCCGTACAAGAGGTTCGTTGGGATCGGAGGAAGGCTGCGGGGAGAGCACGACTCTCTTGGTTTCGGTCGCCTCCTGGACTGAGTAACGAAGATTGCTGTTAGCTGATGCCAAGCCAACAAAGCATTGCCGTGTACTACGAACAATCAATCAAAGTGACCGTTCCCGGAGGATACATCATTTCGTCGTGGGCCGCCATGGCCCTCGCCGCCGTCAAGATGAACTTCTTTCCTTCGCGTTGTGGTCTGCGTCTCAGAAGTGAGCAAGAACAAACATGGAGTCAAACAAGCGTGGTAGTAGAGAGAATAGTGGAACCAGGCGGAGTTGGGATATGGTAACTTCTGTACCACTTATAGACCTGGGAATGCCTAGCGGCAGGACTTTGGCCATTGAGATCTTGGCCATTATCTCGCCAAATCAAGCGGCCTAGCGCATTGATATCTGTTACCCCAAGAACGTAATAAGAACCTAGTGATAAGACTATCAAAAGGGCCAAACACCTCGGGCTGGAGCTTCGGTAGTTCAATTTCTGGGGTGCCGGGACCCACTTTCCTTTTACCCTTTGGGGGTAATAAATGCGCCATCTCCTCCCTCACGAGTCCACGGACCCAAAATGTGGCCCCTGGCCTTCTTCGATAAGCGAGCCCCATGGTGCATGACCCTCTTTCCAACCAGCTGCCAGCACGAATGACCATCGGGACAAGGAATAAGCAGTTTGTGCCGTCTCTGTTTCTGCCAACCGATCAACTACGGGGTACCGTAATCCTGGTGTTAGAAGTATGGCCAAGTCCAGAACCGGATGCCTGACTTGTAGGAAACGCAAGCGCAAGTGCGACGAGACACGACCAGAATGTAAGGCATGCGTCAGCCGCAACGCCAAATGTGGTGGTTACTTGCGCCCGGTGCGGTGGGCCAACGGTATAGCTTCCAGAGGCAGATTTGTCGGTGTCAACCCGGGAATGATGATACCACAGCCAGAGATGCCTATCGCGTCTGCCGAGTCTGCACAAACGAATGTCGACATCTCCTCGCTGGGAAGGATGCGTCCGATCACCAAAAAGGAGCGATTGGCGTTCGATAGATGTAAGTTGACCCCAAAATACAGCCATTGCCGGAAACACCTTTCAACTAAGACCTTGAAAGTCCTCGCCGGAGGTCTCCATCATATCTGCAGCGCCCGAATCTACGGTTGGCTTGCCCCGTTCTTCGATGTCATGTCGAGGGACTCCGAGTCTATCATAGTCGTGGCGGCCGCACTACAGACCTTCCTTGAAGACGGTTTGACAATTGCGTCCCTAGAGCATATAGATCGTGCTCTTCAAGTCTTTCGCACTGAACTCACGACTCGAGGTGACAAGCGGGGCACAGCTACTGTCTGTAGTGGACTACTACTCTGTACTCTTTGCGTGAGGCACCCAGCCCCTTATCTGTGGAAAACTCGCAACAACTTGATTTGTGTATTATCTTGGTTCCTACATTAGTGGCAATGCTGACATGTGACATGGTAGCTCTTGCAAGCCCAGCCGTTTACTCCATACCTTAGATTGATCACGGATGTTCACAATCTCGGTACCCTACTAGAGAATAGTATATCCGACCCCAAGCTGAATCCTCCAGTCCAGCATACTTTGGAGGTATTGGGCGTCATGGATCTACCAACGTTCGTCATTGGCCGCACACAACCAAGTATGAACTTGTGGACGCAAATTCGCGGTGTTACAGTCGCCGACGCAAGTCCCTTGATGGGTGAGGTAGAAATAGTGACTGGTGTACCCAGAAGCTTACTCGACATCTTCGCGCGAATTACTCAAGACGATGACATGTTAGCTGAATCCCAACTGTGGACTTGGCAGGGCCTGGTTGGCAATTTCCTCGAGTGTCACCATTGGGATAGTTGGAGATATGCCGGCATTCTTGACATCCGCCGCCGACGTCGGCTACGAGGCGCTCCAATAACTCATTCCAACGCTATTATTCCAACTAACTACCCTGTCTCTGGTACCTTCCCACCCACCGAGGTTGTGCTTTGCCGACTATTGTGCTCGTTGGAGGCAATGTGCCGAGGCCTTGAAGCGGCTGAAGACAAACGGCAGACCTCGCTGCACCACGGGCTGCTTTACCCATTTGCCACGGCATCTTTGGAGTTCTCTACTCTGTCGCTGCACCCAACGTGGCAAGAACTCATGAATAACATTCGCCTGAGATTTCTTGAAATCTCACCAACCAAGTTTTCGTCATCTTTGCTGGAGCTTCTCGATGAAGCCCGATCATCAGGTGATGAAAAGTTCGATATCGAAGAGGCTGCTCGAGGACGGAATATAGAGATTGCGTTGTTCTGAAAGAGTCCTGTAAGAAGATTCATGTCCATGGGCTATGGAATTCTATCTGTGCTATTTGAATCGGCCAATCACACTTTTATTTTATGCGCTGGTTGAGAACGCAGTCACCAGAACTACACAACGACTCCTTCTTATCCACTGCACTTGTGCCACAACTGGCTATGCCATTAACCACCGCTTCATTTTCAATAACGTCCTGCCCGCTGCAAAGCTTGGACGCGATGTCGCGATTTGAGGGTACATCAATGGCCGGATTAGCTGTAAAGAAGTCCACAGGATTGATGTGAAGTTGGATCATCTCTACGGGCCTATCCAATTGTTGTCAGTGTCAAAATAGCGGCTTCGGGGATCACTGAAGTGAGAAACTTACATCACTGGCCAATCCTCTACTCGTGGATTATGCGTCAGCCCAAATACGCTCCAGACGACTACGTCGCTCTGGAGAACGTCGTCACAACGAGCTGCCGCGTCAGCAACGCCCTCCTTTTCCACTTTGCTCTGCAAGGTGTACCGACCACCTGCATAGAGCTCGTCATCTTTATACTTAGTTACCCACAAGTGATGCTGTCCGAAAAGGGCACGCTGAGCCTGTCGGCTTCTAGGGTCCGCCAAGAGTAATTGCGTCGCTGGTGGCACGATTTTGTATCCCACTGGCTTGCCACTGACGGGATTCGACTTGTCCAAGTTCTGGATCTTGAAGAGCCTGGCATTCTGTGGCGCAGCATCAAACCCTCCGGATGTGGTGATGCGTGTCTCCTGGACACGGTAGGCATTGCCATTCGGGTTTTGCCTGGCGTCGAATGGAAGAGGCAGAGACTCCTGCTGCACGACAGTATTCTCATGCCCATCAATACTTGGATCAATCCGCACGCAGAAAACATGCTGGTGATTCTGAGCGAGAACACCCGGTGAGACAACATTTCCCCACGGTGCTGTCTTGCCAGGGTCGATATTCACGGCAGACACGATGCCCGTCGCACGTACTTCAACTGCAATACCTCCAGCTTGATCGAACTTGTACTGCAATCCGAATCTCTTAGTATCTTACTATATGCAAGATTGAGAATAAAACTTACGTTGAAAATATACTCATAGTTCGCAACGGTGAGGATGTACTGTACGACAAGTTCTCGGCGACGGGTGACTACGGCCCTGCCTGTTCTCCAGTTGGTGTGCTTCCAGTTAATACCGTTGTCCTGTTCATGGAGACAAATGACGTTTCGTGATACTTCGGCTTTTCCATCTGGCTTGTTGACAACTCCGTCGAAGTACTTTGAACGAATTAACGAGACAATCATCGGCAGATGTTATGATTGCTTTACCTTGATAACGCCTAAGCAGTCGCAGCCGAGCTCGAGATTGTTGGCGCAATGACCAACCCCTCCATCGCCAAAGTCAAAGGCCTGCTTTCGATGGAAGGGGGCTCGAGGATCAGCATAAGGCACTGTCATATCACTGATGGACAGGCGATATAGGACAGGCCGCCCGTCATACCGAATGTCATGTAGCACGGCGCCCTCGCGCGGGTTGAAGCTCACGCGCATCCTCCACTTCTGCCATTTGACTAGACTCTCGTCTTCAACCGAAAAGCTGGGACCATTAGGCTGGATGACACTGAGCGGTTGAAGGTCAGTCCGCATGCCGTAAATGGTCATCTCTGGCACGTAGTCTGATGGTTTGCAATGATCAATAACGCCGGAGGTCGGCGCCGTACTAATGTACGGGTCGTGTTCACCGCCTGTGGACAGCTCATCCACTCGGATGACTTCCTTTTTCAGCCAGTCCACCACAGGAATCAGAGGAAGCGGGTAACTATAGAAATTCGCATCCGGATTGCCACTTCGCATATCCATGGCGAACACAAGAGCTTGGAAATAGCGCCGGTCCTCGTCTCCTTTGTCAAGACCACCGTATGGCCATGGTTCAATGACAGCCTGGAACCCCTCTGGAAGTGCGAGGGCTGCAATTTTGGCTTGCAGTAGAGACGAGCTCTCGCAAACCTTCACGACGGAAACGAGTTCATCCCTAAAGAAAACTTGTCAGTCGCTTATGGTAGCTGTAGTCATATAAGTGGATCCTTACATGGTGAAACTATAATGGACGCCTTCCGGAACTGTTTCATAGGAGATTCGCTCCTTTTTCTCAATGTCAACCACAGCCTCAACTGATTCAGGTTGCTGCTCTTTGCGAATGACACCATAATGAACGCGGGCCAGACGTGGAGGCCTTGGAGACTCAGGGGTAACATGACCTGCATGCTCAAGATCTAGAAACTTGACCAATTCGGCCTTGAGAGGTTCTTGGAGGTAAATCACCCGGAAGTCGAGTATTGAATCCGGGTGGCATTTCTTCACCACCTCTGAGGCGATGTTTGTCTCCTCCACACTGAGGTTTGCTAGAGGATGTGGAAGCAACATTGCAGTCGACAAGTTGATCTCCTAAGAAATTGACACTGGGTACGAGTGGGATATTAAACAAATGAATGGAAGTCGAAACTCTAGAAAAGGGGGTATTTGTTTATATATACAGTCAGTGGACCGCGGATGATAAACCGGCAACATATTAACTACCAGGAGAGCCTAGAACTGCACTACACTGATGGGCCGGTTCCCTTGGCGGGGCGGAATACCTTCCAGCTCCACCCGTCGCGGCCAACTACACCCAATTTGGGTAGTCAACGCGCCCCTCATTGTTCACACTGATAATTGTCATAAACTTGCATAATTGCTTTATGAGGTACATGAATGTTCGCGTGACACACACTCAAGATCCATCCTGAGAACATTAAAGGTATAACATTAAAGGTTTGATTGTGCGGGTTGGGTGAAAAAATGTCATTATGCCCCACGAGTCTAGAAAGTACGTATTTTGCCCAATTACTGGCCCACATGGTTCCATACAGTATTGTGTAAATAATGAAAGAACGAGTAACGATACCTCCATCGAGCAAGGTATAAAACTTAGGAAAACTCCCAACTCCAGTCGCTGCTACAGGTATGTCGCTAAATGTCTGGAAAGTACTAAAGAGCATATTTGAAGAGAGGACTCCGATCACCAAGCTTATGCAAATCCTCCTCGCTGTAGAGTTGGCGCACCTCATCCTCGGTCATCTTGGCATTCTTCTTATTGATCGACCAAAGCGCGAACTCGAGCACAAGCATCGCAACGATACCAGCCGATGCAAATGCAAGCGAGTTCCCGTAACCGGTGGGATATCTCGGGGCTTCGTCATCTTTGTAGATGTAACTTCCAATGACGCCACCGATGTTGCCGGCGCAGACGAGGTAGCCGATGCTGATTGCCCGTTTCGCAGCACCGGCTGAGTTCGCGACATTCCAGGCGTTGACACCGGGGAAGATAGGATACATGCCTGTGCAGGCGAGACAAACAGCGAAGTAGCAGAGGCCGATGTTACGCGAGATTTCCGCAGCTTTGACGAAGAGAATCGTAAACGCCACGATTAATAGCAATTGCGGTCCCACGATGAAGGGCATACGCCATCTACACTTGTCGGCAAGCATTGCTAAAACAAAGGCGGAGATGGCACCACAGGCATAGGGAGGGATTGTAAGAAGCTGAGCGGTGGCTGAGGTGAACCCCATCGACTTGACAATTGTTGGCATTGTGAACTTCATGGCGTAGTTTGGCACCGCGTTAGACCAGCTGCCAAAAACGAGGAGGTAAATTTTCCAGTCGCAGAGAACGGCAAGCAAAGCATCTTTATCAAACCGCTTCTTGCCGCCTTCTTTGACGAGCTCTACCCTGCGAGCGGCCTGACGGAGCTCAAGGAATCGAATCTCGTCGGGCTGGAGCCAGCGGTGGGAAAGAACAGGCGAGTCAATGAGGAGCAAGAAGCAGAGCCCGCCCATGATGACTGTGGCTAAACCTTCAATGATGAATATCTGTCCGATGTGTCACGTTAGGCCCAAGTGCGGTAAGCGGGCTGGAGTGTTGTGTTGAAACTTACCCATCTCCATCCTTCAAGGCCACCAAGGCCATTCATCTTCGTGATGCCAAAAGCCAGCAATCCAGAGAAAGCGCCTCCAGATGCGGCAGAAGAATAGAGCAGAGCAATACGGGTTTGGGTTTCGTGGGGCATATACCACTTCGAAACCAATAAAATGGCTCCGGGAAAGAATCCCGCTCTAATAGCAAGGCTGTCAGTACTGAACAGGTCCAACATAAGATCAACGGCTTACTCAAACAGTCCGAGGAGAAATCGGAGAGCGCACAGTTGAGAGAAGTTCTGAATGAGGCCAGTAAAGGTCATCACGACACCCCAGCTAAGGACAATGAGTCCCATAAAGATGGAAGGTTTTTTGAACTTCTCCAGGATCATGTTGCTCGGAACTTCGGCAAGGATGTACGGTATGAAGAATATTGACAAGGCGATATTGTACTGGTCTTCTTTCATATGTAGGCTAGAGAGCAGCCCCTCAATCTTCGCGTTGCCTTCTCTAGGTTAATGGCTTGCTTTTGGTTAGGCATCACGTCCGTCGCTTACCGATATTGGTCTTGTCGAGGTAGGTGATTAGGTACAGGAACAGTAGCATGGGAATGAGCCTCCACTGAAGCGGATCTTGTCAGCATGATCCTGCAGCCCAGAGTGGTTCAAACACTCACGTCGACCTTGCGAATAGCCCGCCTCTGGCTCTCGACCGGATAGGTGGCGAGGAACTCGGCGTCTTCGGGGCTCAAGCCAGATATGCTTTGTGGCATTTCAGCACAGTGGCTCGCACTCCTCTTCTCCTCCTCCTCCATGGTGGAGGAAGAACGGGGGCAGCTGCTCGACATCTTGCTGTTCGGGCGATTGAATGGTGAAGGAGCGGAACGCCAAATCGTTCCCTCGCTGTTCAAGTTTTATCACAATCTGATGTCGCCATGCACGCGGCCGTAAGGAGCACCAACTCAAAGCACCAGCAGTGCGGCTCGACGAATTGCTTGCCTCGCACGGGAGCTATAAACCTAATATTGTGGGGCATCGGATGATTTAGCGGGGGCCGCCAGGCTGAGAAAATCCGGGGGCTTGGTGCTAGTGGTTTGCTAGTGAGACATATCGAAGGCCTGGAATATGGTCAAGTCGACGGCCCCAATGCATCACATCATCTCGGATTTGCGGATTTATGCGCTGAAGCACGACCAATTATGGCCTAATCCGACAAGCAGTTCCAGGTTCTCCTCCAAGCAACAGCTGAGGTGGTTGCAGAATCCTGGTGGTGTTTGTTGATCACTGGGTATAAGGAAGCGTCCCACGAACAACGGCTCAAAGAGCGGCCGAGGTTTTTATGCAATGGAAGGCTGACACTCCAAGTCGACCATGCCCAGTGTTGCATTTCTTCGGATTCGCGGACTCGTTTCCGATCTGATTGTCCTAGTTATAACGGCAGATGGCGAGAAGATATACGGTACATACAGTTGCGGGGAAGTGGACAACCATTGCGTTGCTATTATTCCCTTCGAAAAGCCGAAAGGGCGAGTGACAGGCCAACATTCCGGATTATAAAGATCAAAGAGACGGCCCTAGTCTAGTCATTCGTCATCAAACTCAGGCCGCCTCACTATTAATCAATCTGCACAGCACAGAGATCGTGTCGCTGTTAATCCTACAACAACTTAATTCCCCGTCGAAACGTCTAATTCCTCTAATCAATTAAACATGGCAATACAACCCCTTGACCTTCGAGGCCTTACGCCTGCTCCTGTCACCCCCTTCACCAAGGACGGAGCGGTAGACTACGAGGCCATCCAACGTCTCGGATCATGGCTTGGTAGCATAGCAGGAGTCAAAGGTCTCGTGGTCTTGGGCCACGCTGGCGAAGGCACTTTCCTATCGGAGGAGGAGCAATTAAACGTCATCAAGGCTTACGTGAAGTCCGTAGACAACAAGATCCCCATCATTGCTGGCATCACACGGGAGGGCACAGAGGTGGCAGCATTAGAAGCAAAGAAGGCCAAGGAAGCAGGCGCCTCTGCTGGGCTCCTTTATCCTTCTCATGGCTGGCTTCGGTTTGGCTATCAACCCGGGGCTCCGCAGGATCGGTACAAGCGCGTGTTCGAGGTCTCGGGCCTGCCCTTGATCCTATTCCAGTACCCAGACGTTACCAAGTGCACCTATAGCCTGCAGACGATGCTGGACATCGCGGCGCAGCCAGGCGTCTTCGCCATGAAGAACGGGGTGCGCAACATGCGGCGCTGGGACACCGAGATCCCCGTGATCCGCAAGGAGCGGCCCAATCTGCAGATCCTGACCTGCCACGACGAGTACCTCCTGCACACGTGCTTCGACGTGGACGGCATGCTGGTCGGCTACGGCACCATCGCCCCCGAGCCCCTGATCGAGATGATCAAGGCGGGCAAGGCCAAGGACTACGTCAAGGCCCGCAGCATACACGACCAGCTGCTTCCCCTCACCAAGACCGTGTACCACCGCGGCTCGCATATGGAGGGCACCGTGGCGCTGAAACATGCGCTGGTGGCGCGCGGCATCTTGGACCACGCCACGGTGCGGTCGCCGCTGCTGCCTCTGCCAGATGGTGCGGCCGAGGAGATCCATGCCGCCATTACGGAGGCAGAGCTTCCCCGTGTAGCACAATAGCCACTCGCTTCTTTAAGGGCTGGGGTTGTGGTGATAGCTTGAGCGTTGGAGCAAGATTTTGCAATATTAATACACGAACTACCGAGATATTATACACTTGGTTGTTTGCAGCTTACATCGGTAGACAAGAGAGATTTTTTTTTACCTGTTAAAGCACGTATCTAATAGTTACCATGATATCAAAACAGTGCTCTGGCGAGCGAACACGTCTATCCTATCCGTACAAGCACCGTAAGACGCCAGCCCAATAACAACCGAATTGCTCTAGTGCTCCAACACAACCGGCTTCCCAGGCTCCCAGTTATCCAGGCTCTCCCTGATGTTGACCCAGTACCGCAGCCTGACGCACTCCTGCGCGGCGCCCTCGTAGTCGCCGTCGCGGAAACAGCGCTCGAGCTCGGCGATGCTCTCCTGCTCGCGGGCAGCGTTGCGGGCGCGCAGGTCGGCGAGCCCGCCCTCGTCAGCGGCCTCCTCGATCTCCTCGCGCGCCTCCAGCACCTCCATCAGCAGCTCCGGGTCCTCGACCTTGGCCGTCTCATCGTTGGCGACGTCGAGGCCGCGCAGCTCGAGCAGCAGGTATTGGGCGCGGAGCAGCGGCGACGACAGCGTCTTGAAAGCCTCGTTGATGCGCGCCGACGTCGCCTCGGCCCGCGACTTGAGGTGCGGCGGGTGCAGGTCCGGGTGCGCCTTGCCCTGCAGCTGCAGAAACTCGCGCCGTAGCTCGCGTACGTCGATCGAGAAGGGACCTGCGGGTGGCGGCCCTCGCGGCAGCGTCTGCGGGAAGAAGTCGTAGTGGGTTCGCGGGAACTGCTGCTGGGTGCTGGCCGTTGCGGGCTCGCTCGCGGAGGGTGGTGAGGCCTGAGCGCCTGTGGTCGCCGAGCGCAGAGGCGCCTGGGTAGATAACCATCGAGGTTGGCCGATCGACTTTGTTGAAGTCCTACTCAGTCTACTTGGCGCAGCATCGTGGGCTGTGACTGGCGAGCGCGACGAGGACGAGATCGAAACACCACGCTGATGCTGTCTGCACGCGTCGCAGATACGGCTGATCCGACGCCCCCCGGAAAGCGCAGATGATCGCATGATAGAGACAGTGCTGAAATATCTACCCTTTCTGGCCTCTTGTGTCTTGATCTGTGGTTGCAGTTGGACCTCTCACATGGGACAAGAAAAGAGGACTACGTACGAGAACGAGAATATACTGCTAGGTGCAAATTGAAAACCAACTATGGATGACGTCGCGCGCTAACGGCCCCATCGGTAATTCGGGGTCCAGGGGCTCGGAGCCGCTAAACAAAGCCGCGCAAGGGTCTTAATCCGAAAGATTCAGTGGGCCACGCCCCACGCATCGCTTTACTGGTCTCTCTCCCTCATTACCAAGGTACATAGTACTCCTGTGACCCTTTCCAACAGTAATGGCCACAAGTCGCAATATGGTCACCCTAACGAGACTGGGTTCCATACGCAGTAGAATTCTCTTCTTCCTCTCGTGAAATTCTAATGCTGCTGCTGCTGCTGCTATTGGTTCTCCATAATGTCATTGATATATTCCTTTGCTTTCAGGGGTATCTTGCAACCTATGTGCGAAACGACCGATCCAATAGAACAACGACCCAAATCAAAATGTGTACTTTCCAACAAACATATTATGGCATGTAGATGAAGCCAGTGAAATCAGATGAGATAACGCAGGACGCTAAAGAAACCCGACCCTTCAGTGACTCGCCGGCCAAACTCCAGTCCATGAAGGAAAACAAATATTAGCAAGGTAAGCGCACCTCTGTCCATCTGGCACGCTCCGTGTGCCACCACTTTTCCTTGTCCTTCCTTTCGGCAGTAACGTAGCCATAGTGGTTCCACCGGCCGGTGCAGCCTTCTTTATCGTTCAAGTCCTCGCGGCCCTCGTTCAGGATATCGGAGAACAGCACGAGGCCGCCATTCTCGTCGGAAGCACCTGGGTCGGGCAACAGGCAATAGTGAATCGGAGACCCAATCTCGCCCATGAAACCGGCCATGCCCCAGGACTCGACCACTTCTCCATCCTCTTCGATGACATTCACGGTCCATCTCGGTTCTTCTCGTGCATCTTCAAGCCGACTTTGCGCTGCACGGCGAGCTAGTTGTAAATTGCTCGAAGGCTTAGGCTCGTCCAGGGCAGCAAAGAACGGTGTGCTAGGTGTTTTGAACGGGGATTTGCTCGGTGTTGTAGGTGTCTTGGGTGTGGTTGGGCCAGCGTCAATCGTTGCGACCAGGCCGCGCCCTCTATACTTATCGCTTGGCTTCTCGATCTTGTCTACTGGCCTGCAGAGATTTTGGAAAATCCCTTCGGGATCGTTGGGCGCCCGGAGAAGTCGAAGGGATGGGAAGCCGTTGGCGGCTATGCTTTTCGCGAGAATGGAGTCTGCAATATTGGCACAGGTCTCGTGGCTAGTAATATCCCAGTGAAGCCTCTTCAGGGAGTTAGATGCCAAGTATGGATAGAGCCAAATCATCTCGCCCTCAGCGAGGACTGGTGTCACGGCCTGAACGAGGTTGAGTGTCTCCAACGACTTGAGGTTCAAGAAAATACGCCCGAGCGCCTGAAGAGAATCCAAATTCATATGCTGCAGCGTTAGGCTGCGTAGTGATTGGCTCGACTGCCGCGTCACGTATGTAGCCAATCCTGAAGCAGTGATTCCCGGAAGGTGAGACAAAGACAGCGACCCCAGCGGTGGCAAAGATAGCAAGTCTCGGTCGTCAAAGCACGTGCGCGAGAGCCCCGAGAGGTTGAGTTGCTGGAGTGCGGGCATGGTGGAGATGGCGGTTGCGACTAGTGAGACAGGTGTCAAAGCGGCACCGGGAAGGCAATGAATCGACAGCGTCGTGAGCTGTGGCCAATGCATATTCAGGTCCAAGAAGGCGGTGCTCTGCTGTGGGAGAAGGTCCTCGGGTTCTGTGTCGTCGGTTGGGCGCCTGCGTAGTTGTCGTTGTGTTGCAGATGCCTCCACGACCCAGGTCATCTCCTGGAGCTTCTCGCGCGTCGATAAGGCGTGGAAGAGCCTGCTGAAGCTGTGATCGTAGGTTTGATGTGGCCCAATCAGTCTTTCGAAATTTGGGCATGCCATAATGAGGGAGGCGATCAGATTCGTGTACTGATCGATGGCCATCCCCTGAGGCTGTGTTGGGACCTTGAGACTGTGGACGACGGCGGCAATTCGAGGATTGGCCCTCAAAGTCCGTCGGAGGAGTACCATTCGCGACCCGTGGTTAATCTTGTAGCGCTTCTTCTGCAGTTGTGAGTCGCTGCCCACAAGTAGGATATCCTCGTATCTATTCAGGTCAGCTTGGGGTCTTGGCAGATGCATCGTGCATGCATGAGCAGGGGGCCTCCACTTACAGGGCCTTGCGAGCTACATGGAGCAGGCGTCGGGAGGAGAGGGCAACGGAGCAAAGGTCTCGCATCATGCATGTCGCACAGCTGAAACTGTCCTCCCTCAGGTGTGACTTCCGGAGCTCACTCATGATGAGGTCTAGAACTTCGTCTGGCAACGCCGCAAACTGCTCTCCCGGCTGGAGAGCTCTCCTCCTGTACTGCTTGATGGGTGCAGGGCGCTGCCAGCCGTGCTCAGGTCTTCGCGGGTGCGAGTCCCAGGACTCGAAACTGGTTCGGCTGCTCGCCGGACTGCGCATCCTTGCATCGTAGCTGTCCCTCGTCATGACGGTGCTGTTGGAGGAGCTGCTGAGTGGCCGGCCATTGCGATCGTACGTAACAGGTCGGTTGTCAAACTGAGCGTAGGAGCCCGGGGACCTCGGGGCGGCCCTCATGGGTTGATGCTGTTGTTGGCGCTGAGGCATGGGTGCCGGCATCGGCCCATTGGGGGTCATGATGATATTGTTTGTCTTTCCTCTCATGGCAAACTCCCTGGCCATGGAGTCTCTGCCAGCAAGGCTGGGAGCAAAGCCGCCGGCATGCGGCGTGTGGATCGGGCCTGGCGCCATGACGGACATGTTGTGGTTCCTCCTGCTTGACGGAGCGGGCGGTGCAGGAATCAAGAAGCTCTGATCATATCTCGACCGATAGACCACGGCGGCTGTAGCAGATCGGGTCCTCTGGTGTTTTGTAAATCTAGAAATTTTGGAATCAACATCGACGCTCTGCTCGGTCCAGAGACATCCACCCCCGGCCCATGGGAAACTAGGGTCGCAAGGAGATCGACGCCTGCGTGGGGCGGCGAGATTACAGACGACGAATTGGCTGCAACGGTGCTACGGCAACTCTGCTCACGAAGCAGCACACCCCGTATTCCAAGTGCACCGGCGCCATGCGCTCGCGCTGATTGAAATCTTCACTGATGCCCACCCGACTGGAGAATAGCGCCGACCTCGTAGCCCGACAGGCGCACCCAGGGCGAGGCGCATCCACTGACACCCTCTCGCTCGAGAGCGGTAGCGCGCAGCTGACCCTGCAGCCAGCGACCACCAAGCGCTACGATCGACGTGGAAATTACAGCCCCTTTTCCCAGCGTCCTGGGCGGCCTTGTCCCACACGTGCCACGGGAGGAGGGAAAGGGGAAAATAAGAAAGACGGATGAGGTGAACTAGCAAAGCACGGGCATTTATGACGACATTTCCAGACCGATCTCGCGCTCGCCCGTCTGCAAGTTGCGGAGTAGGGCCTGGTGGATGGGTGGATGATGGGGTTTTGGGATGGCAGATGCAGATGCAGATGCAGGATGCTTTTCATATAAAATTCAGAATGACCCACAGGCAGACCCAACTTTGAGGCTCGGAATGTCTAACGTGAAGCTGGGATACCCAATGCGAAGAAGGATTGCCCCAGAGCTGACGCGCGCCTCGCCGCCTCGCCACGGCTTCATAGGCCGTCGTTTGTTTTTCGGCACTCAGCCGCTCCAACAACTGGCATAGGAATCAACTTACTCTGGTTTATAAATAGCAGCCCCGTCATCTGCCGTTCTTCCGTCGTCGGTTCGGACGGCGGTATCAACCACCCATTGTTGCGAGACTGGTGGTGCCGAGCTTCTCTTCAAGCGTTTGGAGAGCTTACGGGGCTGAGTCGAAGTCGACCCGAACGGTCCCAGGATGGCCATTGCTCGGGTCCTTCGCGAAACGCGGCCGCACGTGAGGCTGGAGATTGGATTTGCGCGTAGGACGTCCGCCCCGGGGCGAGCACAGCGACCTTAGGGCCCCGTCCCTTATGATTCTTGCCTTTTGGCACGAGGTGGGCGGTCGTGGTTCAGTGTCGCGATGGGTGAGCGTGGGCTGTTATATTCCCCGTGAGTGGTGCTGTGTTTGCACCCTTGGATTCAGCTGCATGGCCATGCACTGAAGACGACAAGTTGGAAATTTGAGTTGAGCAAACGCATAACCACAAGGGCCCTCCGAGACAAAGGCTTAAGAGTCCAGCCATGCAAGAAGTCCAGGCGGCGCCTTTTAAGGTCAGCTACCCGGTGCATACTTGGCATGATCACTAGGCCTGCCGCATTTCCTGCTGATGCACGGTGGAGCCTAGACGAAATGCTCGTGGTCAGTAAAAGGCCAGCGGCTGACAAGGCCCTGTTTGAGGATGTTGTTGGAGTGGCGGAGCAGTGAGGTAGCAGCTCGTTCTGCATCGCGAGCTGTCCCCATGACCCAATAGGTATGTCTCAATGCGCCAAGACACCTCCCGCCCTTCCAGGCTTTTCTTTTCATTCCGCGGGGTCGGCATCGGCGAAAACAGAAATGGTGGATCCATAGGTAGGAAACGCGTGCAATGGAACGGCTAGCACGCACTAGCTGTATCAAATATGTTGCCCGCAGGCATCTTTCCAGGCTCTGCGGCTTCCAGGTCGTCCACGAAGTGAAAAAAAAAAAATAAAACCCCTTGGCCGCGCTCACCGGGTCTTACAGGAGGTTTCCCTCTTCTCAGAACCCGGGCTCGCCGTTGTAACCGAGAGTGCCCTAATGACAGCTAACCCAGGACGACTGAGCGTGAAGGGTGTCACCAGCGATCAGCTTCTTATCTCTAAACATGTTTGAATGGGTGCCGACTTAATATCGTCCCGTCCCTACCTTGCGCCCATCAGCGCATATCGTCCGAAAGATTGGAGGGTGGTAATGTGGGGAGGATCCCGCTTCGGCAGATGTACCTAGAAATGGGAGCAACTCTAAATAAGCGAAACTATATCATAATTGCCAAGAGATCTGAGCCAGGGTTCTTTGATCAAGTTCATGCTTATTCCGAGCTTCGAGAAAGCGTCTAGCCAAAAGTGTGAATTATTTCTACTTCAATGATAGCACACAGACTCGGAAAGATTGAGATTCACATCAGACCCGGTTGCATTTCGCTATTTCATAAAACCGGGGCAGGCAAAATTGTACTTGCCGCGAACCGTCGTGGCGGCAGGAGGACCAGCACTGAGTACATGGTGTTGTGCTCGATTTACTCGCCGTTACGTTCTTGAGCCCTCCAGATAAGAAAAACGCCCGAATTACAGAGTGTGGTCGATTCCAAATGTGTGACAGTGTGGGGCATGTCACTTGCATCTGGCATCTTTTCTAACCACCACCCACAGCACATCGCGCAATACAGTGGCTGCAACGTTACGCGACGTAACTTGAGACCCAGTTGAATCAAAAGGTAATGAAAGGATAATCATTTCATCGGCCATATACAGACTTTTTGAGCCATTCCGTTATGGCCGATGTCTTAGCCATCGTTATCACGGCCGGTCACTCTTAAAATGTAGAGCAATGGTAGAACTCACGACACAAAATAGAGACACAGACAAGCCGCAACCTGTGATGGTATGCTGAAGACGGGGATGGAGATCGTGTTTTGACTGGCTGAATGAGTTTCAGCCTGCTAAAATGTGATATACAAGTCTTCAGGTATCTTATAAGCGCAAGATCGAGTGGAACATAGTACCTTCTATTATTGTTTTTGGGGCAGAGGTCTACATCTGCACCTACACACCCTTTAAAAGGTAGCCTGGAACCTGGAAAGTTGCTTGGTCCTCGTCCAGGAACTCTTTATGCTGGACAGCTTCCATTTGAAGTTTCCGTTGACTCAATTAATGTAGCAACTCAGCTACCCACCTGCCAGCTCGATCAGCGATTTTCTCAGCTTCGGTCTTCCAGCCTAACAGGTTACCAGCAAAAGATATGTCATGATTAGCCAACCGTTTGACCACGTAGGACACCTCGTTGCCTGGGATGTCCTTCATCTTTGACACGAACTCCGTGGCATCGTCGTAGAAGAGCTCGCAGCCGCCGCAGTATACCCAGATTGGGCAGGGGCTTTTGAAAGGCGATTGTAAGGGATTCATGTATGTGGTGGCAGTCGGTTCATTCAAGACAAATCTCCGGGCTCCCCAGGTCACAAAAGTCGGGTCCATGTAGTCGTTTTTGTAATTCGGGTTCTCTAACACAGTCTTGGGATCCGTAGCGGCCAGGAAGCTAACGGCAGGAGAGAAGATCAGAGCACCGCGGGGTGCAGGTAGTCCAACGGCTTCGCCATGATCTGCTATATAACGCCGGCGCACATATCACGATATGTGCGCCGCCTGAGTCTCCAGAGAGGGTGATTTGCGATGCAGGTACAGAGAGATCCCTAAGAAGATAGCGGTAGGCAGCTAATGCGTCCTGCAGCGCTGCTTGAAAGCGTCTATTCTTGTTGGCTGCTAGTCTGTACAGACTCCATAACGCGTAGCAGCCAATCTTCTCGCTTAGAAGACGCGCCGCGAATGCACCATCCACTCTAACGTCCCCCATTACGTAGCCACCAGGGTGGAAGTGGAGGATGATGGGCTTCTTGGCATCAGCGACTTCAGGTCTGACTGCGTTTGGGAACCAAATACCCCCTGTAGTCTGGGGCTTGATGTTCTGATCTGACATGATGACATCGGCAGATTCTGCCTCAGTTACGGGTGCGATCATTACAACGCGATCTCCCGATCCAGGGGTTAGGTCAAGTGGTGTGACGGCCTCAACCAGAGCGATGTGGTATATGAAAGCGTTCATCAAGTTGTTTGCGACAGATTGTAGGATAGCCTATTCTGCATGCGGTCGGGTTGAACGAAGGAGATAGTAGAGCGCGAGAAGAGGAAGCTTCGCAAAGCCGAAAAGAGTGGCTCCGGTTGCCCAGAAGTACTTGCCAGGGGAGCTTGTGATGGGAGACACGCTGCCCTATGTCTTGGATCCAAGTAGATAAAGAATTACAACGGCGCTGGGAGAAGGGGAGTCTCTGCGTGAACTGATTGCGCTCATGCTTTACGAAGAAATTAAGTCTTATTTATTTCGAGCATGAGTGATTATGCTGTGTAGAGAGAGAGGCGGGGGAAGATATGTTTGATATTTCCATGGCCGCCCCAGGAAAGTGTGGTGGGTTAGCGGCGCTTGGGAGGCACACCATTTCGAACACTCCCTGTGTACAAGGCGCTTCCCAGTCTTGTGTACCTTGGTGCAGGAGGTGCCTCCGCCTTGATGAATGATAAGCGCGGAGCGGAACCGCGTTTGGTCCGGCCGTTGTGTCTCCAGCGTACTACGTACAAACCCGCATCATTGAAACCAAACTGAGTGAATCCACCCATCTCTAGAATGGGTAAGTCCTGAGCCGGTTTGGCCGTGGCATGCGCAAGAGTAATGCGTGAAAAATCCCCGACAGCATAGAGCAAGGTCCCTGAAGCGTCGACAATAGCAGCTTGAATAAAATGTCGATTTTCAACAATGCCACCGCTGGTTGTGACAACGCAGTTACGAAGTTGGGCCATCGCATGTGTTCTACTGGGTGTTCTTTGGCTGTGCCAGATCTTTTCTAGCCGTTGCGGGGGAAGAAGAGACAGAGAGTAATGGAGAAGGCAATGCTGAGTTAATATGGTAATTCGGCAAGGCCAGCCCTGGGTCTTTCCCCCACGGAGCTTGCGGCTTTCGCGGGCGACGATGGGGTGCCAGTTCTTGACGCAATAGGCCTACGTGAATGCCATTACTCAAGGATATGTACGACATACAGTATAAATGTACTTGCTGTCCAACTTGGATATCATGCACAGTCTGGATACCGTACCACTTGAACACTATGCTGTCCATATAATACTACCCGTGCACCTCATTGAAGAGTAGCGTCGCTGCAGGTATGGCTGTGTCAATATTCTGGTACTTCTTAACTGTTACAAACGCTCGGAGCTACACATGTCCAGCTGCTTGCTATCGTTATGTTTCCAGCACCATCCCACTTGCTCACGGAGGGATACGGGCAGTATGCTATTGTGAAATATCAGTATATCAAGTTCAGCGCTCATGTAGGCTAAAGTTTATGACTCACTTCTCTGTGCGACCACATTGCCACCGATGTCATCATCCTCATACTTGGTCCCCACCAGCGTTCGAGGTTCTGACCCGCTTTCAACCCAATCAACGAGTGCCATAAGGGCATTGTGCTGAGGATCAAGCCGAGACGAATCGAATGGATATTTTTGAGCATTGCCAATGCTCCAGGCACCCGGGCCACCCGCGCAATGATGCATCCCAGGGATGAAGAATAGACGGTAGAATGACTGAATATCATTGAGAGAAAGGTTTGACTTGCTCTGAACCGTAGTGTAGAACCTCTCCGATAGAGCAGAAGTAACGGTCTAAGGGTTTGTTAGTAAACGGTCTTTAAGCACGAACTCTACACATACCTCGTCGTTCCGTCCATGGTATGATATAATCCGACCCCCTCTCTCATAGAACGCCGACAAGTCTGTACTGTCCCAAGCGTTAACGCCCCCTGGATTCACTTCCAACGCAAAGTCCATATCCGCAGTGCTGAAATTGTTTGGGGTCCATTTGCTGTCGTTAAAAACAGCGCCTCTCCAGAAATCTTGTAATATTGTGTATGTCAGTTGAGCCGAGCCATTTTTTTGGTTGCTCGAGAAGACATCTGTGTTTGACCCAAGCTCAAAGGCAGGATAGACTATTTGTCCCGAGGAGTCCGCAATAGGCTCATATGCCATTCGAACCGAGTTGACCTGTTGGGGACTCAAACACACGGAGTCGTTCAGAACTCCAGTCCCGCATGCCAACGTTTCGGGGTCAAAGCGGTACTTAGTGGGCTCATCGATAATACCGTCTCTTACCCCATCCAAGGGATCTAGCTGCCGGATTTGCTCGTCAACAATAGATTTCCATTGTTCTGGCCGCACGTACGACTGTGATTCGAGATCAGGCCAGCCGATACGTCTAGCAAGGATGCCCTTTGACGACACGATGCGCAGCCAGTCAACACCGGGACTCCCCAGCAAGAGACCGTCAAAGTCTTCAGGATAGAGATGTGCGTTCTGGAATCCCTGACGCCCGCCCGTGCTGCATCCGGCATAATAGCTTTTTTTCACGCTGGAGCCGTAGTACTGCTGTATAATCTCCTTGGCAACCTCCGCTTCCACATGGATGGCTCTGTGGCCAAAGTCCTGAATAACCTCGGGCTGGTTGAGAAAGAAGTCGAAGCCTTGCGATCCATTATGTCCAGCATTGCTACCGAATGATGCAAAACCCAAGCCTGCTCCGTTTTGTATAGTTGCGTAGTCAATGCATCCTCCTTCCCCTCCGTTTCCGGTGGCTAGGAGTCTGCCATTCCAGCCATCCCGGTCTGGAAGCCACGCTTCTATTTGTACGGCACTGGACGTACTGGTAGCTTTGACCAGTACAATCCGGCACAGGTTGGCCGTGCTATGGGCAACGAGGTCTGGCCCACCGCATGATTCAACAGTACCCGGAAGCCGGATGATAGTGCCGTTGGCCTCATAAGTGGAGAGAATGACTGTCGTATTAGGAATTGAGAGTTGTGCTCCGAGTGAGCCGCATTGATCTACAGAACAAGCTGCTGGCTTCAACCAGACTACCAGCAGTAGCAGAGCTGCATGATACAGGCTCAGCATCTTGTCGAGATTCGGTAGAGGATAGGCAGACCATCAACATTACGATTGGCTTATTGCGGGAATATTGTGCCCTATGTATGTGACGGTTGACTGCAGGTCACCGGTAATTTCCCGATCTCGTCCTGGCGAAACCCTGCCAGGGCTGCTCTACGTCACGATCTTAGTTACCCTTTACCCCAACGAGCGACTTAAAATTGGGATTATATGGGACCAGCGGACACACCCCGATACGACTCTAAGCCATCCCCGCGTTTCTCCACCCGTTGTCCCCCCGCAGATTCTGGAAAATGATTTGCGTCCGTAAGAGTGCTATTGACTTGATGAATGTGTGCGATGGATTCTGGTTGGCATTTGTTTAGGGCGCGAGTAGTTCAGCGACCCATGCTCAACCAATCTGTTCCTACACATTTCCTGTGGCGTTTTTCATCTTTTCGGCTGAACTACTCGCTAGCGGCTTTACCCATTATCCTAGGCGACCCCGGCTATAATAAGCCAACATCGTCTCCCAGAACTGGTCTCATGTTCTCAAGGATTTCGGGGCATTCGTACCATCATGATTGTAACCGAACCTGCAGTTAGACACATGAATAGAACTTTGGTCTTCCGCCTACTACCTACGGATCAATATTTAGGCGAAATCTTGGCCTTTGGGTAACCCATTACTACCTTCGCATGTAGAAGTAGCATTACCACATTGCGTTTTAGTATGCGAAAGGCTTCTCACTCAGACTATCAATATCCCAATTTCGAAACATTAAGTATTTACAACGCACTTCCAGCTCGCTGTGCTCCTGGAAACTCATTGAGCAAGGTCTTCCACAGACTGACGCCGTTTCTCGAGAGATCTTCGAAGACCGGGCATGCCAAGTCCAAGAGGGGTTCTGCAACGACGCCGGATAGAGCGGCTAGTGGAGCAGAGAGGCTCCTATATAGCGTGCTTAAGCTGTTTGGCCCTAAGGTTTTGGCAATTTCAAGTGTGAAACATATCAGGTTATTTCCCTCCAGCAGAGTCTGGGCGTTCAAAACTCCACCGGTGATGTTTACGAGGTCAAGACCAGTGAATGTGTTGACCGCCCCAGTATTGCCGCCGATGTCAAGCAGAAAGGGGTGCTTCTCGGACCATTTGAGGACGTCTAAACCTAGGTCGACGATGCCCCAGGGAACAGGCCGGCGGTACCAGTTCTCAGGTATTCGTTCCCAACCCCTTTTGTATTCCATGCCTGACTCGGTCGAAGTGTCGTCGATAACTGCGAAGAAAGACTTTAACATTTCCTTGGTTATTTCCCCTTCCGGCTTCGTATTCGAGTAGTTGCTCATTGTCCGTGCTGTTAACGCGTAGCCGCCAGTCCGTGGCAAGTACCCGGTCAATGGACCATATCAGAACCAGGGGTTTGTAGCCACAGCCTCTTTCCACCTCATTGCTGTTATATCACCTACATCGTCAAAGGTAAGGGCTTCATTTCCTCCCCATCTGTAAACCTCGAGAAATTTCGTCATATTCATATCCCACGCGTTGCCAGTAACATAGAGATCATCTCTCGTGAGTGAGCCGTCTGTCTCAATGAAGTTATGCGAACCGTCAAGACCGCGTGGAGTGCCGATAAGACCGCCGAGATTTCCCGCTATATTATTCACACGTCTGTCTATGCCACCGATCGAGAATGTCGGGTTTATCGAAAGGGGGTTGCCAGTAAAGACCAATGCTAGGGTCACGAGAACGGTTCCCAAATCGATGTTCATGTTGTAGACTATCAGCAAAATATCAGCAATCGAAGTACCCAGTGACGTTGGTCTCCGCCTCGTACCTTCATGTGTGGCCTGTATTACCTGCGTGAATGTCGCAATGCCGTTGTGCGGTATATAACCGTGGTTTGCCAGAGCATTCAAACCCGGGCATGGGCCACGTTGATCGCCGGCATTGAAGTCTGGCACCAAGAAGGCATGTTTGCCAGAAACTGAAATAGATATGTCAGCTGTGCACCTCGTTGTATTAGTTGTGGCTTGATTACCCCCCACAGGCTGCGATATATCTCGTTTCACGAATCTGCCTCCAGCAACCTGCTCTTGTATGCTTGCAATTGTCCTCCTAAGGTCGAAAGTATCTGGGTTGGCAGCATTGATCTGGTGGATAGATGATGGAAAAGTAAGAGCCAGGGGAATGAAGCAAGTCAGCCAGAGTCGTACGCCTAAAAGAGGTAAATGCATGCTGGGACGGATCTCCAGTAATCATCGAAGGAGTCGCGACAACATTGAGAAGCTGCAAAAGAGATGTATATGATGTCAACAAGCTCTTCTACATCGCGAAAGAAAAGGGATTTGCCGCTGCCGTCATATGTCGTGAAACATCAAGAAAACCCTAGTATTTTGACGCGGAGGCTTTCCAATCCCCACCTGGTACAATGATGTGGTTGGGAGACACGATGCATATTCCCTATTGAGCTTATGACAGGAGACCAACAGGGCAATAACGACGAAAATCCCCGCAGGTCAATATAATCAGATTGGCGATCTTTATCCTATTTTAGAACGGTTCGTCCCAATGGGCTTTCAATGTCAGGGTGCTTCATGTAGGGCGGAGATTGGGCCAAACAAGAAACTTGCTGTGCCGTAGAGGGTGTCAAACGACTCAGTACAAGTTATGCCTCATAGCCAAGTGTGGCGACTGAAGCTGAGCATATAGCACCGCAAATCTAATGAAGTCCGTAAACCTAATAAACAGTCCACTATTCTTTTCGATATTGAAGAACCATGAGCATTTGGCTGGTCAAACGCAGGGTGCTACGGTGTCGCTTGGGTGACTCGTCACTATCAATGAAGGCACAAGGGTTCGGATCCTACCGGCATTGGGAAATTCTGGCGAGTGAGAATCCACATTGCCTGCAAACCTAGACGCAATCAACTTTTTTTCTTTTCCATTCGGGATATATTCATAGATGTCACGATGAGGCTAAAAAGATTTCCAAATCCAGCTAATCAACTTGAGTTGTCTATTTGTGTCATATAATTCATGCATCTAATCAATCAAGTGCAATTTCCAGCCGAACAAAGGTCACAAGATGTCAAGACCGTACACCAGCCAAGCTACAGGGCAGTCGGCCACAACCGACAGTCATTGTCTATCCTTCAAGACACACCATATGACTATGTCTCAAGGGCACGCTCTTGCTGATAGGTCCCATATTGTGGGAAAACTGACCTTAATAGTATAGTGAGCGGGTCATGTTGCTTCTTTTAAAAAGGGACGTTACTATATATGATTCAGCTTTTCCCAGCTCCGAAGTTACAGCCTTTAGATGGAATGCTTTTAGCAAGACGTTGGTTTATGCTTATAAATGGTATTTATACATATTATCGAGCTGCCCGGCGTGCTGCACTCCCAGCGCGGCTTCGAGACTCTCATCATGATCTTCCCCACGTACAACTACACCGCCAATCCGGCACTCTAAGGTATATTTAAGCCATCCAGCAGCTATAACCAATTTGGTACGACCGTTTGATCGCATAGGAGCCTTGACTGCACTTAATCATGTGTGCCAGGGTGCAATGCATACGCGAAGACGCCTTAAATTTGACGTTCCCGAACCCAGAGCCCACTGAAGAAAGGTGAAGACTTCGAAGAAGCCGACAGTACTGCCAGATTAAGGGCAATCTCACCGAGCAGCTGTTTTGTCCGAATTTAACATCCACCGCCGCCGCCGCCGCTACTCGACGCAGCGCCGGCCATAGCAGCAATCGCACCGTTCTTCCGTCGACGAGCTTTCCTCTTCGCCTTCTTCTCAGCTCTTGCATCGTATGGCTGTGGGGCGTAGTACCCTTGAGCTGGGCGCGGCTGCCCGTAATTGCCCGTATCCCGGCTCTGCATACAGTTCAGTAACTTCGCGGCGCTCGAAGGTCTGTCATCAGCCAGACTCCTTCCTTAGGTGCATCATTAGGGCGCATACGCTAAAACACATTATGGTGAGACCTTTGCCTGGCGTATAAAGTCGCCGTAACTTATTGATACAGAACGGTGTAGCAAATATTGGACACCTCAAATAGGTGTTCGACGTCGATAATTTGATATTATACTCTCGAATGTGAGACTTATTGAAAATGCGGGATGACTGCAAATATTATTGCAAGATCAATGACATACAAGTGATATAAATACATGATCTCTAGCGGCCCTTGAGGCTGAGCGACTGCTACGCCCCCACTGTTTAGGCAACGATTAACCCCAATCCCTTTACTGCCATTCTCGGTGCGGGCTGGGCCACACTGTGCCACTTGGAATGACGTGTGTCCTTGGGTGGCTCAATTTTAATTAGGAAGGAAACTCAGATTTTCATATTGGGTCAGTCATGTGCCTGAGCACAGGCACGGCGCCGTGTCACCTGGTTACCTGCCCTTATCGTCGCGAAATGGCCCTCTGTGAGCTCCAATACTGGGGACCATGCAGAATTAGCTGAGCAACAGGTTGCCTCGCATTGATTCTCGTGATCATGTAAGCCCCCCCAACACTTCGTTGTACAGAAGATACATCGCGTGTCTTAGCCCACGGAGACGACCAAAGACCAACGCCGAGTCAGAAGCCCTCCGCCATCAGTTAAGGCAAAGCTCACTTTGCTTAAAGTCCTGTCAACTGTGATCACCCCCTTGGACACGGGTCATGCTGCTCAAGCTCCTCATTGCGAAAGGGGCTTATGTAAATGGACCACTAGGGAAATTAGGTGGCTAAACCACTCTTCAAGGTGCCTGCTTAGCTAACCATGCGGATGTCAAGCACCAGTAAGTCTGAAACTTGAAGGAATAGCCCTGTATGCAGCAGCTCCGCAAGCAAGCTGGGCGAGCCTCGCCAGTGCAAGGTTCATTTCGTGCTAGCACTCAGGGTGATTGAGTTGTCAACTGGGTAAGCTATGTTATGGTGGAGATAGCTTGCGTTATTCGCAGTAAAACTTGCACTATTTTTGGCCCTGGGCTTTATCTCTCTTTGAATTTATCTAAAGCCTTCCTGAACAAGAGCCCTCAGAACAGTTCAGTGAGTAGTATATGGATATTATTTTTGGCGTCCTCATCAACTGCCTTGACGACATGCACATGTGACTAGGTACCTGGCTACCTATTTCGTACTCCGAATATAGCATCAATGTTGATGTGCCTCAGGAGTGCAATCACTAATGCAAGGTAGCATCTATTTGGCAAGTTTCCGTTATGGGGCCGGCGAGCTTAACCAACAGCTCATTCATACTCACGAACGTGACAAGATTTCATGCATGAGGCCTGCTGGAGACTAGCAGTTGTCAAAAACTCCGGCTTACTGTCCAAACTTAGAGTTGACATTTTCTGCGGATTGTGTTTATAGTGCCGCCGCTCTTCACAATTTCAAAGACTCACGAGCCAACAAGGCTAATCACCAATGTGGTCATCTGGGGGGATTCTATTGAACGAATCACCGGACCCTGGAGACGGTGAGAGCTTTGGTTCCATTCCTGAACCTTTTCAAATACAGCCTAAGTCTGATCCCAGCTACAATAGCCGAAGAAACTGGTCGAATCCGTCTGGCCCCACCTGCAGTGAGCGCCAAATGGGATCCTTCGACCCTTCCAACCGAGGAAGCAGACGATGAACCACGCTGGTCCGAGATTCAGCTTGAGTCCCGAGACGGAGATGTTCAACTTGTGAAAAAAGCTCTGTCGCAGTACCCGGACAAATCACTGAAGTTTGAGATTGTGAATCAACCAGCCATCGGATATTACGGACAAACTGCACTCGAGGCGGCTTGCATGAATGGTTATCAGACCGTTGTTCAAGTTTTGTTAGAAGCAGGGGCGCATGTAAATGCCCCCGGCGGCAATAATGTCTACAGAACTGCCTTTGAGCTGGCGTGCGGCATCGGTCAGTCCTAAACCTATGCACGTGCTTGAATCCCGGTGGCTGACGTGGCTCTACAGGGAATATCACTCTGATCCGCCATCTACTTAATGCAGGTGCAATTGTCAACCCAACAGACGTCACAAGGTATCAAGGCCGCACGCCGATCCAAGCTGCAGCTGAAGGAGGGCAGTAAGTCAAAACCGGCAGCCACTTTCTTACCCTCCAGGCACACGCTATGACCATGTCTTACGTGCATGCCCTAGCCAACCGGCCTTGTCTGTAGGGAAAGCTGACCCCATTGATATAGCGAGGCAGTTGTATTACTCCTTTCAGAGAAGGGGGCTGACATTAATGCTCCAGTATCTGCTAGTGCCGGAGTCACGGCTCTACAGACGGCATGCTTTCAAGGATATGTCAGGTTGCTGAAGCCCCCATTGCAAGAGGCTCTGATGTACACGGGCCTCTGGGAAAGTCAAGCGGCTACACCGCTCTTCAAGGGGCCTGCCTGGCTGACAGAGTTGACATCGTGAAAACCCTTCTTGATGAGGGTGCAGATGTAGATGCACCAGGCAATCTCAATTTTGGAGGAACAGCCCTCCATGCAGCGGCTTCGCGAGGAATCTTGGAAATTGTCCAAACTTTATTATCTGCTAGTGCCAATCCTAATAGTACGGCGGGCGTCGAGTTCAAACACGTATGCAATATGCATACTTGATCGGGAGGATGGATATCGTGCGTCTTCTTTTAGAACGAGGGGCTACTGGGCCGCTGGCTGGCGGAAAGATCGTATTTGGTAACCTTGGAATCAGAAGTTGGACAGCAGGAGCGGAGAAAATCACGGAGTTATGATAATTGAGAGTATCTGTAAGAAGTCATCTATTAGTGTATACTAACTATGGTACCCTTGCCTGGCAGTTATGAATTATGCGGTATCAGAAGTCTATCCGAAAAGTCGTCGAGCAGTATCAAAGAAAGAGCTGTTGGTATGGTGAGCCAATAGTACAATTGTCAAGATAGCTATAATAAGCTTACTCGATACTAAGAACAGGCGAGAAACTGTCTGCTATGGCCAAACCGTCAACCACAGGAATATCTTCCAGGCTCATAAAGGTGCGAGTCTCTGCGTGCAGCGATTCCCGATTCAGAAGGTTCACACCTGACTCGGAGTGCGCGGCAGCGGTAGACCCAGTTGCGGCCAGAAGCGAAAGCAACACGACGAAGGGCTATGTTTTGAGAAGAAGTTATAAAACGATCCCCCCAAACAAAGCCGGGGGGGGGAGGGGGGGGGGGGTTCTTCGATGGTGACGAGACAGATACCGAATCTCTACCAAGAAAGAAGCTGCCCAGCTGATCTTAGCGACGTGTGCGTCGTGAGTAAGTTCCGTGCTTAGGGTTTAAATGCTAGTGGTCACCTCAGAGATCTGCAATATCTGCCTATACGTAGGGTGGTTGTTAAGAAACGCAACACGCCCGCCTGTCGATTCTCCCAAATAGGATCGGCACAACATCAGCAGTAGACAAGACTAGACACTTGCTGTTAACCCGCTGACTAATTAGGGTCATCCAACAATTGTCTTCTTTCCTAATAAGTAGTAACTGCGTATATACTGCCGTCTATTCGATGTGACACACGCATGTCATCCGAGGGCAGTGAATGCTGACGATACCAGCGCTCCAAGTTGTTTCCCAGTATATTGCAGCAAGTTGTGTGATTTTAGAAGTGCATGGACAAGTTTACAAACCCAACAACTTAAAGTGAATATAGGAGAATAGACAGAGCATCATGAATGTTGCCATCATCTCTTCTCTCCGAGGCATGCCGAAAATTCAACTCTGGTGGTCCAAGAATAGTTCATGTTCTTCTGAAAAACCGAAAGGACTACAACTATCTCCATTTGGATGTCAGCACTGGTCTTCGCGAACTGGCCCGAGCATCTTGTCTGGCGACGAGAGTGGGACCCTGAACATCCGCACTTTGTGTAGAATACAAATTCCGAAGAACGGGACGGCTTGGCCAGAGACAGGCGACTTTAGTGCACGCACAAGTTTTGAGTCGTGCGCTGAGTTTGGACACAGGAATCAATCTAACTACATCCTTGTACGTATGGAACCCGTCACGGTTGGAATTGAGGGCAAAGATTAACCAAGATGCAAACGCCTGGGAAAAGGTCTGCCGCCAAGTTCGCGACAAAGGTTCGTCAAATCGCTCCAAGCCACTTTGTAGAATTACGTACCACAGTACACGTATGCAGCATAACGTCAAATGTAGGACTCTACTTTTATAGCTTCATCTGCGGGTTGAGTCGTATGGTGGGGCGTCGGTCGGGTTTCCTGCACACGAAGCACCAGAAAGTTCAACGCCACATCAGACGGAGCCCGAGGCTTGCGCAAAGCTTGAAACATCGTGTAAAGCACACCGCCACATTTCTAAAATTGTGCTCCATACCTGAACTGATGCCATTTCCACAACACAACGAAAATCCCGCATAGGGGCTGTTGCATCAAATCAAACTTGAAAAGGGTGCCAATCCTTGCCTCTAGCGGCCAAGGCTTAGCCAGCGCCTCGTAATGGGCTGTTGGCTGCGAGTGGCATCAGGATGTGAAAAGGATGTCGAGGGATCTGACATTGTGCCAGGTAAACACCTCACAAGGAACGTGAACGAATGCCAGAACTGGCCCCTGCTGATCTCATCGAGTCAGATATCTCCAGCCAATGAGCAGACTTCGAAGCTGATGATTTCATCACCAAACAGCTACCCCTGTCCAAGCTAGAATGTCCGATGGTGTGGGGTTTGGCTGCGGGGATCTAACCAAAGTCTTGACTAGAGCTTAACCACATACAAGATTCACATGGGTGTGGTTTCGCGGCCTTGGCCGGATTGGTCGCCATGATTCGAGGTGGATTCTGAAAACAAGCATTTCTGGTGGCTTTCGGAATGCCGTTCTAGTCCAAGGTTTTCACCGGCAGTCTGCCTGTGGTGGCTGCTGACAGCGGGATTTGATGAGACCCTTACCCCCCCCCCCCCCCCCCCTGGAGATGTTAGTCCGCTCTGCATGAGGGAACTGGAGGTGGAGGATGGACAGAAAACCCGCATAGAACCCTCCTTACCTCTTGTGGCCTGCCGTGGGCGGCCTCCCAGTCAAAGACCGCTTAGGGCAACCGCATAATGCCTCTGGTGTTTAGCTAATTCCGTGGGCTCCTGCGCAACTCTGCTGGTGAAGCGACATAATCTTACGTACTGCCTCTGCAGCATTCTGCCTCGATCAAGCAGAGCCGCAATGGCGACACCGACGATCCGGATTGCCGATGACTTAGAGCCTATTAAACCCGATAACTCGGCAAGAGCTGGTGGCATCTATGATGTGCGCAGCTTATCCCGTGTTGGCACAGCCAGCGGCCGGCGAAGCGTCTCTCGCCATTCGCAGGACAGGCGGAGCGAGCAAGCCGGGGATGTAGACGACGGAGACTGGCACCCCGAAGATGTTGGACGAGAAAAACAAATCTTCAAGGGAACGACGTTGCTTTGGTAGCGTGACTCCCTCCCAATCTGGCTCCCCTACGTACACGTCGGACTGTTACTGATTTTCTTTGGAAAAGGTTGGCGTATCAGTCGACTGGAGTGATTTATGGCGATATTGGAACTAGGTACGTACTTCTGCCGCGTCCCTCCGACGGCGAATCTGAGACACTTACTCGTTATCAAGCCCCCTCTATGTGTACTCCTCAACGTTCACCGATGTACCTACCTACAACGACGTCCTACAAGTTTTGTCCTTGATCATTTGGTCATTGACACTGATGGTCACCTTGAAATATGTCGTTATCATACTACGAGCCGACAATGATGGCGAAGGAGGAACATTCAGTTGTTACTCGATGCTCACTCGATATGTGAGTCCTGCCAGAAGCTGATTTGGTCCTTCCACGTTTACTCACAAAACCAGGCCAACATCACTAAACGCGACCCGAGAGAAGCCCTCCTTATAAAGATGGAAAGAGTTAAAACCCAGGACCTTCACCATTCTAGTAAAACTATTCGATCGGGAATGGAGAATAGCAAATTTGTGCGTGGCCTGCTCAAGGTCATCGGTGTGCTTGCCGTGTCTATGGTCATGGCGGACGGAGTTCTTACTCCAGCGCAATCTGTTCTCGGCGCCGTTCAAGGTCTCAGAGTAGTCAAGGACGATATCACAGACTCCACCATCGTTGGTGCTAGTTGTGGCATCTTGGTAGTACTGTTCTTGATCCAACCTTTCGGTACTGGGAAGCTTGCGAATTACTTCGCTCCGATCGTTATTCTCTGGTTGGCATTCAATGCCGGCTTTGGCATTTATAACCTTGTCATGTTCGATCACTCGGTTCTCAAGGCATTCTCCCCATACTTTGCTATCGAGTTCTTCAAGGAGAAGGGCACTGCTGGTTGGAAGATGCTTGGTGGAGTGCTGCTCTGCTTCACAGGCGTCGAGGCTCTTTTCGCAGACCTGGGTGCCTTTTCATTGAGGGCCATCCAGCTGAGCTGGCTCTGTTATTGTTATCCAGCTCTGCTATTGGCATACATTGGTCAAGCGGCATACATCAGCGTTCATCCAGAGGCCTACGATAACCCTTTCTATAATGCAGTTCCCCCAGGAATGCTGTACCCCAGTCTTGTCGTGGCTGTCTTGGCCGCAATTGTCGCTTCTCAGGCCATTATTACCGCAACCTTTCAGGTATGAACTACGCTTTTCCGATCCAGTACGAAGTACGAATGCTTATTCATCGCACAGTTAATCAGCCAAATCATGAAGCTTTCTTATTGCCCGCAGGTCAAGATTGTCCATACGTCAAAGAAGTTTCACGGTCAACTCTATGTACCTTTCTTGAACTGGATTCTCATGGCTTTGACGATCCTAGTCACTGGCGTGTACTCCAATACAACTCGACTCGGCAACGCTTACGGGTAAGCTGGATACCTTTTCGCATTATTCCATGCCATGACTGACCATTTATATCAGTGTTTGTGTCATGTTTGTGACGTTCTTTGATACTTGCATGGTGACTCTGGTTGCCCTGATTGTCTGGAAATTCTCTGGATACATCGTTTTTATCCCTTGGTTGCTTTTTGCTACCCTTGATGGATTATACATCTCATCTGTGTTGACCAAAGTCCCTGAAGGCGCTTGGTTCACACTTACAATCTCGGGCATCCTCGCTGGTCTGTTTCTCCTTTGGCGCTTCGGAAAGGAGAAGCAATGGCTTGCCGAAGCTGAAGACAGGTTTAAACCATCCCAGTTGGTGACCAAAGATGCCGAAGGGAACTTGACTCTCGCAGATCGCTGGGGTGGTGGCTCTCTCACTAGAATCAAGGGATTAGGCATCTACTTTGACAAGACTGGAGTGCTGACACCCACCGTCTTTACCCAGTTCGTCTCGAAGTTTGGTGCAGTCCCTGAGGCTATGGTCTTCTTCCACCTCCATCCGGTGGAAACACCTACTGTACCAGATGCGAAACGATACTCCATTTCTCGCTTGGCCGCTATTCCTGGATGCTACCGTCTCGTCATCAAGCATGGATTTATGGATGAAGTCATCTCCCCGGACCTTGCGCTGCTAATATACGAGCAAGTACGCAAATTCATTGTTCGTCAGGCTGCCAGTGAGATCCCACCTGAAGAAGAGGATGAGTCACACGACGAGGTAGTCGCAAAGTCTACCAGTGTGGAGCAGGTAGAAAGCGAAGGGCTCAAGACGACTGCTGCTGCTATTGTTTCTACAGATAGTAGCTCTGGTGAACCTGACGGGAGTAACGAAAAAGGAAAACGCCGTGAGCCTTCTGAGCTTCGAGATGAGTCCGTGAGGGCTGAACTCGGTCATCTTGACCGTGCCTATGCAAGCAAGGTCATGTATGTAATTGGGAAAGAGCAAATGCGGATCAAGTCATCCACCGGAATCTTCCGGCGCATTATATTGGCAACCTTTTTATGGATCAGAGAGAACACGAGGGCGAAGATTGCCAATCTCCGGTTGTCAATGGACCGTGTAGTCGAGGTTGGATTTGTCAAGGAGATCTAGAGATACAAAAATTGGAAGAAATGGCCATGGTTACTTGGGCGGAGTACTGGACAATCGAGTTGAATTGGCATATATAGAGAGAGGCGTTGGATGGTTGAGTCTGCTAGGTTGGGAATCTCCGTCGAGGAGGGGTTTGTCACCTTTGAGGTTTTCCCATTAGCCCAACCGATACTTTATTAGAATGTGCAGATTATTGCTCTGTACCGATTCCGACTACCGTTGCTGCTATAATTCACAATGCCACACCCCTAGGCATTGCCGTTCCTTCAGGCCGCGCGAGTGAGAAGGCCTCCGTTGGCACTTTTTTTGCCAAGCTTTCCTTGCGAAACATAATTATCGCGAAGCCAGTCAACAGTCAACTTCCCGTCAAGTTTCCGCTCTCGGATATAGTTGTCTTCAATAAATGCCACAGTGTCGAGCCCGACCTGATCCATCATTCCACATGGAGCGACTTCAGCTTGGAACATATGTTTCCAGAGCTCGTCAATCTGCTCTGGGTCGCTGACTCCCTCGGCAAGAATCGTTAAAGTCTCGCGCTTTACTGCGGCCCATAGGCGGTTGAATATGAATCTGTGGCGTCGTCTTAGATATTTTGTTCAAAGGGAGTCTGTTCGAGGAGTCAAGCATACCCTGTTGATTCTTTCTTCGCTGTAGCTGGCAGCATCCCGCACCTCTCTAACACGGCAGTCAGGAAGGGGAATATTGCCTCTTCCGTTTCTCCATCCGTCATAAGTTCTACCGTGCGAATAGTCATAGGCATGGTGTAATGAATGTTGCAGATTAGTTTCTTCCGCTCAGCGCTCACTTTGTCCAACATTAAGCTGCTCCGGTAGGAGGAGCTGTTAGACCCTAGTATGCAGTCTTTCGGTGCGGCCTTGTCCAATATCTCAAAAGTGTCTATCTTGAGCTCGAGTTTCTCCGGCACAGCTTCGATGACTAGCCACGCATCTTTGACAGCCGACTTGATGTCTTCGTATGCAGCATAGGTCCCGAACGACCCAGGTATCGATGGCCGGGCAAAGGCGGCGAATTCCTCCTTCTGTGACTGTATGTAGGAGATGGCTTCTCTGCGTGCGTCTAGAGATGGATCCCGAACGGTTACATTGTAGCCCCCAGCCGCGAAAGAGCAGGCAATACGCCGACCCAAAACGCCACCGCCTAGGACAGCGACTGGTCGAGCACCAATAACAGGAGGTTGCCACGACATGTTGACAAAGAGGATGAAGCCGAAGTTGATGGGTTGGTACTAGTCTTGTGTTTGAATTGCTCAACGTTTTTGTCCTGAGCAATGGACTTGTCACGAAACCAGGGCCGATCTAGTATATAACGACCGGAACAACTGCAATGGTCTCTATGAACGTGCGCTACGTTTGTGAATATCAAGCCCGGCAGGGAAAGGAAAGGATCCACACATGAGTCAAATTACAGAGTCGGCTTCACCGATGCTGCGAAATTCATGCCAAGATTCCACTTACAAGGCTGAAGCAGGGCGATCTAATATTGCCGATTCTTTCTCCTAGTTTCGCACGAACGTCGTACGAGATGCTTCAGCCAATCACAATTCAGAAAAGCCCAAACGATTTCCCCATTTAGTTGGTACTTCCACCAGCGCATGAAGCTTCACTGCCACGAACCATCCAGTGCCACCAAATCCACCCTTCGTTCGTTGCTCCGGACAGCCACCCGAACGGCCCAACCCATACAGCTTTTACCTACCGACAGTGTCCCGGGAAGCCCGCTCAGACAGACAACGCTGACTAAAAGGGCTACCATGAACGACGTGACTGACGCGCATGTGTTGATCCACTGGTGGATGTGGCCATGCATTTCGCAAGACACCGATTGCGTCATTAGTTGAGTTTCGAAAAATCGCAATTGATGCAACCTGACCCAGATTTGCGAATCTTGTTTCCAAACACCGAACAAGAACTATCATAGCGCTCTTGCCAATCCTAACATTGATCCAAATCACAGTCGCACCTCTCACAATCTAAAGAATCTGTGCACAAGACTTACGACAGTTAATACCAGATTGCAGGTCTAGAGAGTTGACATATATTACACTATGAAGGAGCGCAATTACAACAGTCCAAGTCGTATAAAATCCACCCAGTGACAAATTTCAACCAATGCAGCCGTCTCAGAACAAGAAAACCTGATCACCTGCCTTTGACACTGCACCAGGGGCTTGGAAACCCAGCGCAATGATGTTCTTCTTCGTCGCCTCGATCATCGGCGGTGGTCCGCACAAGAGCACCTTGGCATCGCTTTCAGCCCTGGGCAGGTACTTGGCAGCCATATCTTTGGTGACAAAGCCAGACTCACCAGTCCAGCCAACGGGCGCCTTGGCAAGCACGTATTCGACACTGAACTTCTTCGGGCACTGAATCGCAAATCCATCAAGCTCTTCCCGTAGCAGAATATCTTCCTCGGTGTTGTTGGCGTAGATAAGGCTGATCTGGGTATCATCTGATTCGTCTGCGCAGATGGCGCGGATCAATTGAAACACTGCAGGTAGATGTGTTAGTATACGACCAAATTACGTAGCTGGACTGTCATTCCACACGGGACAGGGTACGTACTTGGAGTTATGCCAGACCCACCCGCTATCATACCAATTCTCTTAGCATATCCAGGCCCATATTGCATTGATCCCTTGGGGCCTCTGATGTCAATAGTCTCCCCTACCCTCATGGTTGCCAAATGTTGGGTCATGAGGCCCTGCGGGTACACCTTGACTATCAACTCAATCCGTCCAAGGTCACTGTTGTTTGAGATCGGTGTGTAAGATCTCGACACTGTCTTGCCATCAATGACAGCTTGAAGCGCAATGTGCTGTCCGGTTGGAAGGCCAAGAATTGAATTCGGATATGGCAGGGCGAAAATAAAGCGATATACGCCAGGAGCAACGAGTGACTTTCGCACGAGCTTGAATGGTCGGTATTGCTTCGAGTCCAAAACATTTGATCTTGCCACTGATGACAGAGCTGAGGTTGGTGTTCTTTGGTCACGCCTGACCACGACGTATCTGTCGGGCCGGGCCACTCGTCGAGGCTTATGACGAGCTAACCCGCTGTGCAAATCCATTTTAGACCAAATAAACGCAGCTATTCCAAGCGATGCTGATGCTTCGATAGCTGTTGCAATAGCGATACCCCACCACAAAGTCCCGTTCGTCTGCAGTGGTGATGACCGCAGTGGTCGCAAAACGGATTCCCAGTTGATGTGCGGTGTTTTCCTCTGAAGAATAGCCCAAGTCGCCAAACTGAGAGCGCCTACTAGCCCCGATTTGCCAATTTTGACCAGTATGCTGCCTGAACGTCTTGTGACGATCTCGGTATCTTGGGAGACCTGCTCGAACTTCGGGCGGTATATTTCGACTTCTTCAGCCAATTCCTAAGAGAGTATATGTCAGAGCCTTCTCACTAACCCAGCCATGTTTTCCTGAGTGTAACGAACCTCATCTGGAAGGTCACCAATGTACAGCCCCTCTAACCACTCGTTGGCTTCGTCAGAGTGTCCAACATCCTCGAATTCCTGAGTAGAATCGCGGCCAGCCACTTCTTGCAAGATGGCGCTGCCACCGGGGTGTTCCTCTAGATATTTCGTCACATCGTACACTTTGTTGTGGATGACCAGCCAGACATCGTCTGGTTTGTTGTGCTCCTTCACTTCGGCTAAGCTGTATGTCGGCATAGCGGCGACTTGGAGAAGGACCTGGTGGTAGCTGACGATAATAAGATCCCAGGCGGCAGTTGGCAATTGTGTCGTAACATTCAACGAGAAATTTGGTTGTAGATATATGGTCTAAACTCGGGTGGCCATCGTTTGAGCGCAAGAGCGAGGTTCAAGAATAATAGCAACATGGGCCCCTGTACGCAGGGCCCTTCTATGGAGCGCATGTTGTCATGGTGCCTCGTGCGAGCTTCGCGCGAAACTCGGGTTCCACTATTGGCCCGAGTCGGGTGGAAACTGTCGAAGCAATGACAGGCTGTATCTAACAAGGGGAACATTGCAATTTCCTTGGAACGATAATGGCCGTCGTTCAACGAGGTAGTCATATATATATAACTGAGTCTTGTTCTCAGTGATGAGATCTATGTGATTAACTCAATCCATAAACAACAACAACAACAATATGTCTTCACAGCGGTTTTATCTTATAGGCGACGACCCTTCCACTGCTAGGGAGATCTTCGCGGAGCCAGCATGGAAACTTGAAATTCTGAGAAAAACTGTTGGACAGGAGTTCCACATTGCTCAACCTCAAGGTACGAATTCCAAGAGCAGTATTAGTCTACCGGTACTGATACTTTGAAGGCATTACATTCCATGCGCTAGATTCAAGAAATGACCTTGACGAGACGCAAGAAGTCCTTGCGTGCGACTCTCTGGTTGGGCTACGTATTGATGGCTCCGCCGTTTCCTCACCTCAGGGTCCTGGCGGTCTACCAATCGTCGGGTCTTTCTACGAGATCTACCCAGATCATCTGGGCAACCACTGGCGGTTGTTCCGCAAATATGGTCACGTCATCAAAACGACCAACATGGGCAAGACAACGTACCTTACGGATTCGCCAGACGTGGCACAGGTTGCGCTGATGGAAAGCCCCTATTTCACCAAGTTGATCAACGAAAACCATCCTCTTAGGGGTATCAAAGACAATACAGCAATCTTCCTCGGAGATACTGAGACCGATAACTGGCGATTAGCGCACAAGTTTGTGCCACCTGCCATGGGGCCCAAGGCTGTCCGTCATTACACTCCGTTGATGCAGAGCTGTGTGAGAAGCAGTTTCAAGGTCTTTGACGAGATGGACGACAGGGGCGAGGCCTGGAATGTTTACCAGTACATGGTCAAGCTTGCATCTCAAACGATTGGCAAATTCGCCCTTGGGATGGACTTTGGTCACATGGACGGCGTCGATGCGCCTACACATCCACTGGTTTCAAATATTGTCAACCTATTAAGTTTGAACAAAAAGGTTACAACAAGGGGCGAGTGGTACCGATCACTACCATTCGGCGATGCAGCCAAGTTGAAGGAAGTACAAAGAACAACGTACGGCATGCTTGAAGAAGCAATCGACAAGGCACCTAGCGCAGGTAGTATGGAGGGGTTGTCACTGAACGATGCAGCATTAAGGGCAGCATGTGTGGCCGACTACTTGAATCATGCGGTTGACGAGACGGGGCAGCACTTCCCGAAGGGATTAGTGCTTTCCAATATGTTGGTCGTGACTGCTGCTGGGTACACTACTACTTCTTCGATGTTATCGTGGATGGTATATGTCCTCGTCACTTACCCGGACATACAGAGCAAGCTATTGCAGGAATTGGTCGACTACGAAATCAGTAACGAGACGACCTGGACTCCAGATTTGGCACATGGCTTGCCATACCTGGATAAAGTTATCAAAGAAGCGCAGAGACTTCACAACGCATCATTCCAGCCAGGGAGAACCACCAAGACGGAGGTTGTTCTACCAGGAGGTTATCGATTGCCCAAGGATAGTACCGTTATACCAGCACTATACGCTATCCACACAAATCCGGAGGTATGGAAGGATCCCATGCGATTTGATCCTGACCGCTGGGACACGGAAGAGGTCAAGAGCCGCCATCGAGCAGCCTATATCCCGTTTGCTACCGGGCCTAGAGGTTGCATTGGATTCAACTTCGCCTTGCTCGAGATCAAGGTTCTGTTATCCGAGCTGATATACAGATATGACTTCTCTAGAGAAGGTTTGGAAGCAGTCGAATATGATCCAGAGTTCCAGTTGATTCGTCCTTTGAACCTGTATGTCACCGCACAGAGGAGGACGAGCTGGCCAGCGAAATCCCAGAAATAGGCACGCCGCGAAATGGAGGATTACGTTGTGGTAGAGGATATAGAAGCGTAATCCACGTTGTGTATTTTTATCTTGAATCAAATGCCTCCTTCAGTGCTGAAAGTGCTCTTGAATAGGGTCCAAAATGTCGGACATTGGTATCAGAGTCAGTCCATTCTGATTTTTCTTGTTCTCTCTCCAAGACTTTTATCAGGCGCTGTATGGAACGCTCGAAGCTGGCGTCCCAGATATGATCGGAGTTTGACGACTTGGCCATCAGCCCTTTCAGTGCCACAGCCGAGCTCACCACATTATGAATGAAAGCAGATGCCCGGCAAGCATTCGCGGAAAGTCGGTGCATGTCGAGGAAGCTTTGCACCACGCTGGCCGCATACGAGCTATACTCGAGAGTCTGGGACTCCTTTGTGGTTGGGTCCAACTTATTGTTCTCAAAGTAAAGGCGGTAAACGCGACACCGCGCGTAGCCGATATCTGCAGGGAGGAAATAAGTTAGCCTTTCGCTCTTTAGCCGTGCGAATCATAATCACAAATGACTCAGGTAGATACGCCCAAAGTCTAGTTGAAATGCCACTTAGCTCCAACTAGAAATCTCCAGAGTATGTTAAAAAGACGAATAATAAAGGTTGTTGGGAGAACCGACGGATGTTGAGTGCGAGTCTTTCCAGATGCTCCTGGAGCGTCCGGCAATGTGTTTTGTCTTGGAGAAATGGTGCAGCCTTCTTAAGGACTGCTGAGAACTGGCGACTGTAGTGCTCAAAACGCGGTAAGCTGTTGATTTGGCCTGGGTCTTCTCTCGATCGATCCAGGATGATTTTGATGACGGTAATCGTTGAATCGGCGAATGTAAATCCGTTTGGAGATTCGTACGGGATGCTAACGGTGGCGAAACTCGTGCTAGGCGGCCGATCATAGGTAAATGACAGAAACGCATCTTGCCAAAGCAGCATCCACCTATACCATGATCAGAAACCTCAAATCTCATCACATTGTACTGTACATACCATAGCCGCTTCCTTCTCATGGCTGGTCCTGGAGAATCTGTCCCCGGTGGTTCCTCATGTAAGCCAATACTTTGTGCCAAACGAATTGTCAAACCTAGAATGCCTTCGTCAGTATTTCCCGCACAACATATTCCTCGCTGCCATACTAACCCATGACAATCCATGCGGTATTCGTGTCCAAGTTGTTGCGTAGGCAGTGACCAATGAGTGCCATGGCCTGGATGGTATTCACGTCCGCGTTGTTGAAGAGATTCGAAATCCTCAAGCATTGGAACGAAGAACAAACTAAAACTCGTAAGCCTCGTGCAATATGTAAAGCTTGTTTCATGGAACTTACTGAAAACTTTGGACCGTAACTCCCGCTCCTCAATAGCATCATCTGAAAACTGAGCGCCACACGCAAGGACCGCAAATAGCAGGCCAAGCCATGTAGAAGCTGTCCTGGATCTCTCCGCAAGGCCACAATCAAGGAAGGCGAATAGTGACACGCTGAACTCGTCCAGACTTACAAGTGCTGGGTAATAAGGGTATACACTCGCTTGGTAGATTTGCCAATAGCTTTGTTCCGTATGATAGTCAGTATCTTCCGTAGTAAGTTGAGAGTCTTGCTTAGCACCCACCGTATCATATCACGATCTTCCGGCAAGGTCTTACAGACCTCGTCAATGGCCACTTCAGGCGCCCACAAGTTGGTGAAAGCATACGTCCGTGGTGCTGGCTCCTCTGTCGCTGTGGCAGGACTTAACAAAGAAATGAGGCCCAGAGCCGAGGGTGGATCTGCTTGGCTCCCCAGAAAGATTGTGGCACCAGTATCACGCTCTATAAAATGTCGACCCGCTGCCTTTGCAGGGATCGATATGGACCCTATAGTTGGCGTTGCGACGGATCTGCTTTGGGCTTGGCGTTTGAGATCGGCCTTGATAGACGTAATCTGCTGCTCGATCTGCTCCAGGCGCTGGATCACGAGATTTGGGTCCTCATCCGAATTTCTATCTCCTAGGCCAGCCTTATTAGGCAATTGAGCAAATGGATCCACAGGCGCTGCTGGAGTAGCTTGATGCGGATTCGTGTTGGAAGGGGCCGGTTGACGTTGACAGAGTTCAGCATGACCACGCGCTACACAGCTGGAACAAGGAGAGCCGCCATCACAGCGCACACGGCGGTGTCGACAAGGAAAGCAGGCTTTGACAGCCCGTGCTTTGCGCTTGAGTTTGAGCAGTGAACTCACAGTCTCCTCGTCAGGCGTAGATGATTGCGGCACCGGGTTCTGGGGATCCATGTAGCGACTTCACTGCCAATGGCCTATGAGCGAGACATGGAAAACAAGGGATCGAGTTTTTGTTCATGGAAATTGCAGGACAAAAACAATTCCATGATTGCACCAGACCACCAGGTGGTGTTTGCTGATTTCTCAATGTGGGTACGGCCCATGACATCGCCGTTTCGGTGATGCCGCGATCCTCACGTGACCGACTTAGATAACTGCACACCATCTAATAGCCTACTTCACGCCAACATCGAGAGTTGTAAAATGCTCAAAGTGGTGTCTGCAATTAAAATGGTTCATGATGCATGTGTTGATTGCGTTACCACCCAACTAGTCCGGGCTCAGTGTGATGGCACAGACACCTATCTCGATTTAAGAGGACGGGTATACAGTTCAACCAATGATTCGTCAGATGATACTAATTTTAACATATATATATATAGAGTGAAATCGCGCTGATGAACAAACTTCCAGGTAATAGAGAGTATTGCAACTCCAGAGTACACAATCTATTGCATTGCGATGGTATTTTACATGGCAGCTATCCTTTCTCTCATATACGGTGTGCTCTAGTCCGGCTTTTCTTATCTACTTTCGCCTACATGTGTTTATAATAACAAATCCAGAAGCAAGATATAGGTATTCGTCGAGCAATCCGAGCCGCTTTATTTACACCAGCCTTTCTATAACCCTTACCATACCCTACACATTACTGGATATTTGCCGTTTAAACCTCCCGCCGTTTTAACCGCTCAGCAGCAAGTCAGCTAGCGCTCTTTCACGGCAAAACGGGTGCCATTGTAGAGTATAGACTACTTGGAGTTCAGAGACTGATTCCTACACCAAAAAAGCCACTGATGCCACCGCTAAGGGGTGAAATTCACCACGCGACCGATTCAGCAAGAAGAGTGTGCTGATATAGTCATCGGCAGTACTTAGCATCCTATTCACACCCCACACAGATTATTCAGTGTGGTACATTTGGTCAATATCAGCAGTGAGAGGCGACTGCTGCAGACAATACTTAGAACGGACCCCGATGCAGATTGACAATGCATATGACGCCGAGCTTGGAATACACCAAAGTGCAATCATATCATACCCTTGGTCACTCAAGGCAAGTCACCTAGGCCCGGATGGAGCAGCAACAATCGCAGTGATTTCGCCGACTACGGAAACCAAAAGGATTTCCAATCTAAGAGGACAGTGTTCCACTCTGATGTACACATACCGCAACATGCAGCGTATGAGAGAGAGAGAGCGTCCCAAGAAGAGTCAGCCATGATTGTTTGGCGGAGTTCTAGCATCCCTGGCGGCGCGGATGAGATACCCCTTATCTTACAGATGCGAAGCGCACGGAGTTGCTCGACAATTATGGAAGACGCGGTATCATATTCAATGAGCGGTGTAGTCGTCCTACTTCAGTTTGGTTCGTGAACAGCACGTGATGGAGCCAAAACGACCTCGTTCAAACCGAGTGTAGCCAAGACACTTTCATTCAGGCGTTTCGCTCGGTCATCTTGTTGTATGAAGGTGTCGCGATGTGACAGGTCGTGTTAACAGGTGCTGTTGTTGGGCTTAAAAGCCCAAATTTTATGTGGTGCCAAATCAGCTGTCTCAGTTGAGCGATGATGTCCTCATATTGGGGAAAGGCGCTAGGTCAGGGGTGTTACAATATCCAGTCCGACATTGTATCTGCGTGCGCGGATTCCTGATTTTGCGGAGGTGGTAGCTTGAGACTTCCAGAATGTCACGTTGACGGTGAACAATATGCAGCTATCAGAAAGAGGTTGCGGAAAACGCCGCGTAATGCGCTACGATTCCCAGAGGACCGGTCTGCCATCTCGACCATCGAATGAGAATCTGTGGTCGGGGCAAGGTGGTTTATTAGGCTGACCAGGCTGCCGGGGCTCGTGTTCTTTAGGCGGATGGCCACCCCTCACTACCCATCGTTTCGTCATACTACATACCCCCATTGGTGGTAACGGATTTCCCTCCCACGCCTCGACGGAGCGCACCATTCAGCCAGCGTCCAAGAGATGCGAAACGGCGCTTTCTCGGATGCGCCTGCATACAAGCGCCGATCCTTTGGGTCGAATCATGAGCAAGCCAAGAAGCGGCTTGCCTGCCCAGTGCTCTCAAGACAGCCAAGGTGACCCATCCCAATCAGCATCGTCTCTTGACTCGACCTGCTCGGTCGACTCGGGATTCAATGACACGAGGGAGGGTATCAAGCTACGACGCCAAGTGGGCGTGGCAGGCACAACGAAATAGAGCGTCCCGGACCTCCCAATGTGGCTTGACGAACACGCAGCCGTCTGTGAAGCTATGGCCTTTTTTGGTATATTTCTCTTTCTCTATCGAACGCCTCGAATTGGGAAGTTGGTGGTCGGCCGAAATGCATCAGCTATCACCTCGCACCGCATGGCTCCCATGCATGGCATCAGCTTACAAACAGCTCGCGTGGTATTCTGTCGCATGACATGACACACCCTTGCAAACACTTTGGCGGGCTCGTCGGGTTGGTCCAACCCCACAAACTCAACGAACCCCTCCTGGACCACTGGGACCCCGGGAGCCAACAGCGGCAGGCGAGTTCCGACCTCCATGTAATGTGCCACGAGCTACGGGCCACGTTGTGATGACGCCAGCTGTGCTCTAGTGAAGTGACATCTGCGAAAGCTGTCAACGGCCCCGACGAAGCACAATGGGGCTTCTGGCGACGCCGTGGGTTTGGCGCCCTGGCAGGCTGGCAGCGTCGTAGCACTTGCTGTGATGCACGAAGACGGCGCCCCGAGTCTATCTGCACCGTTCCCAGGGCGTTGGGACTGCACATCCACTACCCACCTTCTGGTTATAGTCTAGAAGCGCCCAGACTCGCAGAGGACACGGACTTGGGCCCCGGGGGCAGCAGAGTTGGGGTGTGGGGCGCCCAAACTCTCCCTGTAAGACATTCGAGTTCAGCGGCCATTGTCCCGGATTCAGACCCGTGGTGATCCCCCACCAAGAAGGCTGAATTGCAATGGCGTTGCGCGTCGTCGTCGCGTGGACTTGCGACTTTGGAACCCAATCTGTCTCAAGCGCAGGCTGTTTATATAGCTCAGATGGGATGGGAGTGTGATCTGCGCCAGCAGAATAGACGAAATGTTTTATCCTCCCGCGCATGCATGCCCACGACCAGAAGGACCGCCTATTGCGAGTTGGTCGGCTGGCTGAATGGCCCAGAGGAACTCGGTACCGTAGCCCTGGATGGTACCCCAAATCACACCGGGAAAGGAAAGCATTTCATGTGTCATGTCCTGCCTTTCTACGGTAGACATACGTATGTATGTACCTTGTGTGTCTAAGTGTGTCCAGTGACTTGGGTGACCCCCTACGTCCTCGAGGGAGCCCGTCAGGACCTCGGGAGGGAGGGACGCCTCAACTGTCATGTCTGTCTCTATTGAAACGACTTTCCAGAGGGAAAAGGCTTTCTTGAGAATTCCCCCGGGAACTGTCTGGTGTGCATATACGGAGCACACACATACCCAAGACACCTATCGTACATACTGGACTGGACGAGTTACAGTAGCTACAGCAAGACAGGGACCTGTTATCCGCGTAGGAGATTGCCAATGCTTGCAGCCCCTCCGTCCAGCAACGCCCCGTCCCCTGGAAATCCGCCAGCGGGAGTTAGGGGCGCGGACTTTACTCACCTGAAGGGAGGCAACTCCAGGGCGCTAGGATGGAGCAGGCAAGGCGCTGGAGCGGGCTGCGCTCGTCTTACCCCATCTTTGCGTCTAGCGTGCCCCGAACCCCCCGACCTCCCACTCCCACCTGTACCCGGTCACACTGCCAGAGGCCGAAGGAACGAGGTCCCGAATCCCACCACGTCCATCTCCACGCAAGCGCGATACCTAGGCAGGCTGGTAGAGGGAAACGGTCCGCTCTGTTCAGTGCTCGGTACCATCCATCCTCCCACCTGGCCTGGCCCCAAGTTACCTTGTCTGTCCCTGGATCCTTCGCATGAGCCCCCGGCTACCTCGTTCTACCAACTGGGCATCTCATATCTCTCATATCTCTCATATCATCGGCTGATCTGAGGTTGGATTTCTCAGCCGCCGACGCTGCCCCGACCCGACATAATTGCTCAAACCCCCCCCGGCAGGACGAGTTCGCCATATCGAATCCACGCGCCCCCCAAAACCCACGCACCGATTCTGTCTAGGTAGGGCAGTGGGCGACCGCATTGATCTACTGGCTTGACTGGCCCATCTCCCCCCCGGGATCTCAATACCACCCATTGAGCGGATTGATGGCTGCATGACTTGGACCCCAGCACCTCCATTCTCGCCATTGATCGCCGGCCTGCTTCGACCAATCGACCCAGCTACAGAACGTGGACGAGGGACTTGGCTGCGCCGCTGGTTTGCGTCTCTCCCGCCATAGCAGATCTTGAGGGTCGCCATCTTCGAGACTCGAGGCGCCTGCTCTTTTCTTGCAACTCCTATTCTCTTCTTGGCCTCCAGTCTCGGTCGACGACCCGCCATCGCATGACGGCCGCCAATACCCTCCTCCTCAGCGCTGATATCGTGCCGCGACTCCGCAGCGGGCGCGGTCGACTTCTCTGTTCTTGCCAACGCCGCTGCGCATAGCGCCCGACACCCGACTTCAACAATGGCCTCCATGAGTTTTTTAAACAAGTGGAAGCCGGGCGTGGGGGTGAGTTTACTCCATGGTGGCGCCGTGGCATCGTGCGCGAGCTTCACAGCCCATGTACACCCGGTCGCCTGGTAGAGGAACAGTCCAATTAATTTGATTCTAGGGCGGGTTGGCCAACGGCACCAAAGATACGCAGAAGAAAAAGGAGGAGCCACCGCCAGAGGCTACGCCGCTGGAGAAAATGCTGCAGAATGCCGGCCCTGTACGGCAGGACGGCAGTGATAAGTACTTCGGTCTAGAAAATGTACGAGCCCACCAATTCGCGCTTTGGACCCCTCCAGTGTTGCAAGAGCTAACGTCTTCTCTGTTCAGTTTGGAAACACATGGTATGCACCTCGCGGATGGAGTGCGATCCGAGACCCGAGTCACTAATAGCGCTGCAGTTATTGTAATTCAATAGTCCAAGCGTTGTACTATACAGTGCCCTTCCGCGAACATGTTCTCAGCTATCCGCCGCTGTCGCCTGCCGACACGCCCGCAGAAGGATACAAGCCGAAAGTCAACGTCGTCGTTCGAGCGCCCACCGAGAATGGCAATGCACAGAATGGCAACAAGCCGCTGTCTACAGCAGAAGCTTTGGCAAGGCGAAAACAGATCAACTCAGGCCAGGTCCCGCCGGGGCAGGTCAAGCCCGAAGATAAGCCCGACTCCCCAGAGTGGAAAAAGAAGCAGGCCATGCTCAAGGGACCAATCTTGGAACTGGCACAGGAGAACCCCGGAGCCTATGGAATGGACGAGTGCTCATTCACTGGGTTGCGGGACATCTTCATGACCTTGGTCGACAGCAGCAGCCGGACGGGCGTGCTGAGTCCTCAGCGGTTTCTTGAAATCTTCAAGCGCGACAACGAGATGTTCCGAAACTCCATGCACCAGGATGCGCACGAATTCTACGGTCTTGTCTTGAACGACGTCATCTCGAACGTGGAGGCAAATGCGCGGAAATTGTTGGATCAGGAGGCAAGAAGGGCACAGGACGGGTTGGTCAAATCCGTCGAGTCTGCCCTGGGAGCAACTGTGACCCATGCGTCGAACGGCACCAACTCACCAGGCACAGGCTGGGTCCATGACATTTTTGAGGGTGTACTAACTTCCGAGACAAAATGTTTGACCTGTGAGACGACGTCCCAAAGGGACGAGACGTTCTTGGATCTGTCAATCGATCTGGAAGAGCACTCGTCGGTGACTTCGTGTCTGCAGAAGTTCTCTGCTGAGGAAATGCTCTGCGAGAGAAACAAGTTCCATTGCGACCATTGCGGCGGCCTGCAGGAGGCTGAGAAGCGCATGAAAATTAAGCAACTGCCAAAGGTCCTGGCATTGCATCTGAAACGCTTCAAGTACACGGAGGACTATAGCCGCCTGCAGAAGCTGTTCCACAGGGTGGTGTATCCATACCACTTGCGCATGTTCAACACGACAGATGACGCCGAGGACCCGGACCGCCTTTACGAGTTATACGCTGTTATCATTCATATCGGCGGGAATGCATACCACGGCCACTATGTCTCAGTCATCAAAACTGAAGACCGTGGTTGGCTGTTGTTCGATGACGAGATGGTGGAGCCGGTCGACAAGCATTACGTACGGAACTTCTTTGGGGATAAGCCCGGTATGGCCTGCGCGTACGTGCTTTTCTACAAGGAGACGACTTTTGAGAAGGTGCGCGCGGAGCAGGAAGCCGAAGGCCTTGAAGAGGTGCGAATAGTCAGCGAAAAGGCAAACATGGCTCAGGAGACCGCCGCACAGACGAATGGCACTGGGCCGGGTCTCACACGACAGGCTACCCAGCCGATCTCACCAACGGAGGAGCAGGCGCTTGTTAATTTGGACCATGCGGCTACTGCCCCGGAGCTACCTTCAAACCCCCAGGAGGTCTCGATAACGCAACTGGATGGATCTGCGCCACCGACTGTCGCAAGCTTGACGAGGTCAGACACCAAACCGAAGAGCGACAAGAGCCGGGAAAAGAAGGAGGCCAAAGCTGCCGAGAAAGCTCGCAAGGTCGCTGAGAAGGAGGAACTCAAGGCCAAGGAAAAGGCGCGCAAAGAAAGAGAAGCGCAGCTGCGGGAAGCGCGCAAATCCGAGGCGGACGAACTGCGCAGAGCTCTCGAGGAGAGCAAGAAGTTGGCTGCCGAAGAGGAAAAGGCCAAGAAGGAGGAGCCCGCCACAGGCTCGACCAGTAGCCCCGGCCTGCTCAATAGGTCACATAGAGGGAGCAAGTCCATGTCCAGGCGGAGTTTCGGCTTTCTGGGCAAGGACAAGGCTAGAAGGGACTCGAACGATGTTGCGCCGCCGGTGCCTCCAGCGCTAGCAGAGGAGGAGAGCGTCGAGCAAAGCAACGGAAGCCCAAGCAAGCCGAGCCAGACTCAGGCTACCCACAAGGTCAAAGAGCGGTTTAGCTTCAGCATAGGACGGAAGAAGAGCACCAATGTTCTGTCATAGGTGTTCTTCTACTGTCAGCTCACGCTCCAATTCGGCACCTGCCCCACAGACAGTGTGGAGACCAGGCACGCCAGGAGACAGGAATTGATTGAATCATACAGGCCGGCTTTCACAACGGAGCCGTTGCCTCTTTGTAAGATATCACTTGTACGACAAGCCGTGCGAGCTCAGAATAGCTGAACTCGCGCCAAAACCAAAATGAAAATTACGGAGGATGGTGTTGTTGATCATCAAAGCTTGCCATATCTTCCAACTAGTCTATGTCTTGCAGCTGACTGGTTATTTTGCATGCCTAATGAGCTCGTCGCCTCGTAGCGGAGCCCTGGGGACAGAGGCGGCCGTACTGCGTAGAGCATGCCAGCCCTCGGCGATCGCCCACGCCGTTGGGCTGATAGGAAGTCTTTCTCTAACCCATATATGGTACTAAAAGCCCCCTCAAGCCTGATCGTGGCTACCTGGAATCTTGCGTGCAACCCAAATGACGTGGATCCGAAACGCCTGGCTTCTTCTGTAAATGCATGCCGCTTCCGGATACTGATTCGTCTGCCGTTTTCTTCGTCTTCGTTCCTCACGCCTAGCCCACCCTCAACCCAGCACAAGCTCGTAGAGTATGACCAACGTATTGACTAGTATGAGTGGAACTGTGAGTGCGAGTTAGCTTGCAATGCTCCTTCGCCCATCCTGCCCAGATACCCCCTCTGGGCGGCGCGGACATGGTGATGACAGCAATGGAAAGGGAAGGGGTGGGGAGGTGGACGTACACCTCGTCACCATGCGCACGCTGGCGATCATGTTCATCAGCTTGACCTTGAAGCTCTGGTCGCCGCCGGGGCCGGCGCCGAAGGCCGGGTCGTGCGTGGCGCTCGACAGCCCGACGCGCGCCAGGAAGCGGTCCTCGGACAGGATGGCCACGGCGTTCAGCAGCAGCACGGCGATCTGGAAGAAGGAGCCCAGGCCGAAGCTCGGGATTATGGCCATGGTTGCTGATGCGTCTTGGGCTGGTTTCGAGGAGGCGGCAGGGCAAACGGAGGCCGTCGGTCTCGTGCGGTTTTGCTGGCGGGCGGTATAGAAGTGGGAGCTGGGCGCAGGAGCAGGCGGCGTGTCGCAGGTCGCCAGATGCTCGGAACTCGCTCACTCGTGGGTTGCGATGCGGTGCTGCGGTGCTGCGGTGCTGGCTGCGTGCTGGCTACGGCGTCTCGGGGGCGTGGAGTGACCTGGCCTCCAGGCTGGCCTGCCGGCCGAGCTGACAGCTGGGAGCTGGTCGGCTGGGGGTTCGGGCCGGATTTACGTTGGGCCTTTTAGCGCACTGCTTCGCTGCCTGCCGGGGGCTCAGGGGTTCCAGTGGGTTTGAAGCTCCGTAGCTTGGGGCTTCTGGCGTTTACATTAGACTGACTGTGTTGGCGCGATACGTACAGCATCGTCCGACTGGAAGTATCTACTCAGGGAAATTTCTAAAGTCAATTCCGAGACGGTTGTTCGATAGCAACCTTGGAAGCACCTAATAATCCCAGAACATGTCAACACTCTGATTTGGCTTCCTCTTTCTTCCACCTTAACAGCCCGATATACTGTCAATCCCGCTTCATTTGAGTATGGGGGCCGTTGGTAAGCTATAGCTCCTGATGTATGGTTAACCTCGGTGAGACTAACAGTCACCAGACACTCTGCTGTCGCTGGCTATTCCGGCGTTGGTAATCCTGCACCTCGTGGTTGCACCCTACACCAAGGTAGAGGAGTCGTTCAACATCCAAGCTGCTCATGATGTCCTGGTCTACGGCACCCCTACCAGGGATGTGCATACCAAGCTGTCTACGCAGTACGACCACTTCGATTTCCCAGGAGCGGTGCCGCGTACCTTTGTCGGGCCTGTCCTGCTCGCCGGCCTCACCCAACCCGTTGTGGCGCTCGTCGGCTTCCAGCATGCCCAATTCCTCGTGAGAGCCGTGCTGGGCCTTGTCAACGCCTGGAGCCTGGTGGTGTTCAAGAGAAATGTCGCCAGAGCATTTGGGCAGCCGACCGCGAGGTGGTACACCTTGCTGCAAGCCACCCAGTTCCATGTGCTCTTCTATGCCTCGCGGACGCTGCCCAACATGTTCGCATTCGGCTTCACAACACTGGCCTTCGCACAACTCGTGGGCGACCCCAGGACGCTCAGCGTAGGGAGGTGCAAGCTGGCTATCGCGCTGCTGACATGTGCGACTGCGGTGTTTCGGTCAGAGCTGGCCATTCTGCTCGTCACCACCACTGCATACCTTCTAGTGGTACGAGGGCTTCCGCTTCGCACCGTCATCCAGCCTTTCCTGGTGTCCTTTGTCTTCTCGCTCCTGGCCTCTGTGCCTCTAGACTCCTATTTCTGGCAGAAGCCCCTCTGGCCAGAGCTTTGGGGGTTCTACTACAATGCTGTTCTCGGTTCGTCCTCCGATTGGGGCGTCTCACCGTGGCATTACTACTTCACCAATGCCTTGCCAAAACTACTGGTCAACCCCTTGACGCTGGGTGTTCTCGTCCCATTTGCTTGGATACACCCAGCAACGGTGCATTATACTCGGACATTGACGCTGCCGACTCTGCTGTTTGTGGCAATCTACTCCTTACAGCCGCATAAGGAGGCGCGCTTCATCTTCTACGTCGTTCCGCCCATGACGGCGGCAGCTGCCCTTGGCGCAAACTACATCTTCACGCGGCGCGGAAAGTCAACCGTATACGCACTCGCCTCGGCTGCCCTTGTCGCTTCAATCCTGGCGTCACTTGCGATCAGTACCGGGATGCTTCTGGTTTCCTCCTTGAACTATCCTGGTGGCGAGGCGCTTTCTGAGTTGCGCTCCCTTGTCACCTCCAATGCGGCATCCCCTGATGTTCAGGCCGTCATGGTTCATACAGATGTCCTCTCCTGTATGACTGGTGTCACACTCTTTGGACAACATACATATCCACCCAACGATCCCAAACCGGTGACGGAGACAGTCTCATTCGCGTTTGACAAGACTGAGAAGTCCTCTACACTCCGAAATCCAGCTTTCTGGAGCAAGTTCGACTACGTACTGCTGGAAGATCCGTCCAAGGCCATTGGGTCCTGGGAAACGATTGGCACAATTGAAGGATTTGCCGGCGTAGAGGTCCTAAGACCTGGAATGGAGGCGACGGATGATCTGGAGGCTGGCCACGGTCAGGTGCTAGGCCGAGGCGCTCTTGTGAAGAAGGCGCGGGAGATCGTCAGGGGTGTGACGGGTGGATGGTGGGTCGGACCCAGGATGGAGCCGAGAATAAGGATATTGAAGAAGCTTAGAAGTGCTCCAAGAAAGGAAGTCAAGGAGTGATGGAGCTCACAGCTGGATTGTGAGCGGCAAGCTCAATACAATGCACTATCCTAACTTGATCTGGCTCACTGCGCTGTAGTGAAGCACTGTTGCGCGACCTTGTGTATCTGACATTGATTACCGCCGATTGTGGCTTACTCAGAGTCTCACGATCACATGCCGTGCCCAGGTCACACAATTTCTCTCAGAGCGGCGGAGAAAACGACAATGCCACCACCAGCGTTGCCCGGCGGCGCTTTGGGTATCACGATCATCACCAGCCTGCATGTCGATCCAAGTTGTCCGTGTCAACTGGAGAAAGTAAACATGCTAAAAGGTTTAATCAGCTGATCGGCATAGGGCTTAGACGTCATCCGTTGGACGATGTGACCACTCCGGAGGGGAACAGGTCTGCTGGCCTGGCATTCCATGCCTTTGCCGTCTCCCCGGCTCAGAAAGCACGCGTGGTGCGGCAGCTGATGCTGCTGGCTATGTCGAGATATATGGCTCGGCATGCTTCTAGCGAATAACCTTTTTTGTATCTTAACAGGTTGGCTGTGGCCATCCGCGGAGTTGAGCCGCATATCAGGATGTGGACCTGGAAAAGGCCAAGGGGCTTTCCTTCACGTTTTTGCACTAAAATCCAGAGTTCAGGAACGAACGGCCGTTGCCGTCGGGTACGTACAGTAATAAGCCAGGCACTGGCCTAGTGTTTCGAATGGCACGTAGTGTGCAGGAGGCCTGTCGCCTCGACTCAACCCCCATCATTGCACTTTAACAAACGCAGCACGCGACACGGATGGCTCCCGGGATGATCCCGAGTGGCCTCTCATTTACCCAGCACTTGATGGTTATGCCACCAATGCTGCCGCGAGTCCGCGACCAGGCGTGTGCTCGCAGCCCGCTATCTGATCTGATCTAATCAAGGGTCCTGACTAGGATGATGACTGTTCCCCCCCTTTGGCGTGTCCTAGTACCAAGTTTAGCACGGTAGCGCTCAGGATGGGTGGCTGTGGAGAAAGCTGGGAGGACTGGAGGCCCAAGGGATGGAGAGAGGGGAAGCAGCGAAGGCGGCCCACTGGTCCCTTGAAATCGGTCGTGACGGACGCCGTGCCCAAGAAGAGCGGGCCGCGCTGCTCCCAGGCCTGAAACTGAATGGGCTCTCGCTGCTGCTTCCGCTGGTGTCCTACGGGACCCAACTGACCAACACCGGTGCTGGGCCCCCGACGCGGACGTGAGACCCCCAAGAAGGGATTGACAAGACTGGGGAGGCAGTGCAATGGCAATGGCAATGGCGAGGGCGAGGGCGGTTGAAAAGTGTGTGTAGTTGTGTCAAGATTCCTCTGAAGCGTCCGGCGCATGTGCATGTGTGTCGCGTGAGTTGGGAGGCGAGACAGACAGACAGACAGAAAGAAGGCTGTGGCCCGAAGAGGAAACGCAGTAATCATATACGCCCGCGACGGGCAAGGTTGCTTTTCTGAGCGGTGCTTATGGCTGGATTCAGTATACGTCCTGTTCTATTTATTGCTCCTGGTGCAGCACTAGCTGTATTCCACAAATAAACGCCCGTCCCGTCACTCGGGACCCTCAGGGAGGGAGAGGTGACGATGGCCCAATACTGAACAGTTTCACTTTGTAAGTAGGTACATGTGCCTGTCGGTCGTGCCAAGCCAGCGCCGTACTCCGGACTCCATACAGCACGCCCTCTCCCCAATTAGCTGGATACGAACAGACAGACGGACGAACAGGGACCCAAAGCAAAACATAGGGAAGGGAAAAGCCAGCCCAAGTCCTTGCCGGGCCCGCGGGCTCCTGTCGTCTGTCTCCTGCCTCCAGTCTCTTGTCTCTTGTCTCTTGTCTCTCCCTCCTTGCAGTTGCAGGTCTCACAATCTTGAAGGTTGGGTGTGCACAACGCCCTTAGCTCGCCCGCCAAGGTACGTCGTCCTATCCTGCCAGGACCTTGCAACCCCCTTGCGGATTTGCAATTGTCAAACGAGGGACCAGACACCAGAGGCCCAACTTCGGCCACATGAGCCGTCGGTACATAGAATCCTTCCTGCTGCTTGCTACACCATTGACCAGAACCCCAATTGGGGCACCGTCGACTCTTGGGACTGCCAACTCCTCCTCGCCTCACCATCCCTTGCCGCGCTTCTGAGGGCATTCGACCACCCCGCTCATAAAGGCCAAGGCCCAGGGCACCCTACAAAGCGCAGTCACGACGGCGGCCTTTGTGTCCGTCTCATGCTGTGCCCTGCCCCGCCAGAGCGCGTAGCGTAGCGTAGCAGCAGCAGCAGCAGCAGCACTACCACCACCACCACCACCAGGCCCGCGACCATGGAGAACGATGCATCGGGCGGTCGCCGTGGCCGGCTGATGGGCAAGCTGTTCAACAACAAGGAGAAGGCGTCCAAGAAGGACCGCGAGCAGTTCAAGGCCGAGCAGAGCGCCAACGACCTGTCCGCCTTCCTGGGCGGCGGCAACGCCGACAAGCTCCAGGTCACGCACCCTCCCCCTCCGCCGCCCGCACACGGCCACCGCGAGTACGACCGCCAGCAGCCCCAGCTGGCTCTGGACACGAGCCGCGCGACGAGATACCCGCAGGCCCTCGACGTCGACAACGGGTCTCAGCAGAACTTGGCCTACCGCTCGCGCTCGCATAGCCCTCCCGGGCGGCCTCGTAGGAAGAACAAGGGGCTGGTTGTGCGGTTCGTGGACAGCTATCCCGAGGTTATCGGCGTCGGTGGAGACGAGTGCGATAGCCCCGTCGCTGAGATCGGGAGAAGGAAGAGGTCCAGGTCGGCACCATTGTCCGCGCCCATACCGCCCACGAAGCAAGGTCACGAGTACGCGAGACAGGTCGGCGCATACCAGGAGGTCACCCCCCCGCAGGATGATGATGGCTTTATACCAGGCCCAATTCGCAGGACCCAGACGGGATATGTTCCAAATATGACTGAGGAGGCAGGTCCTGCTCCCAATGCGTCCTCGAAGGTTCCCTCGCCCCAGCCTCGAACCGTACCTGCTGGCGAGACTGCTCGATCCCGTTTCTTGGACACATCCAGTCGCAAGGATGAAGCAAGACGGTCGTTTATCGAGATACACCAGCACGAGCAGAGACAGGCAGAGGGGATGGCGTTTGCCGAGGCCATGAGATCAGCTGGTGCAGAGTCGCACAATGAGTGGGATGACCACAACTCCTCCCCCGAGCCCGTGAGATCGACACCACAGACAATGCAACAGAGAAACGTGCCCGCCGTTGCTATGAACGACGCCCCGTTCGATCCCCCTTTTGATGATGCAATAGCGCCCTCCTCGTCACCGTTTAGAGCACAGTCGACGAGGAAGCCAATGCCTCAAGCTTTCCGACACGAAGACCGGCCACCTATGCGAGCACAATCAACGCGTACACATGTTCAACCCCTGATGCCAGATCCTACTCAGCCGCAACAACCTCCACAGCTTCCTCCGCCCAAAAACCCGGCACGCAGATCGCCACTGCCCCCGACGATAGACCCATCTTCTAGAGTGCTTTTACCGCCAATGGAGGCGGGTGAAGAGACACCGCCCTCTTTTACAAATGATGTGCTGCAGGCCGGGCGTCCCACGGATTTAGATGAGCTCCGGATGAAAACCCGAGTCGAATCAGACAGCCCTTCGTCGCAATATTCCGGTTCCATCTACTCTACTTCTGAATTGTCTCAGAAGGCCACTCCTATTGCGCAGAGTTCACAGAACCCGCGAGATCGATCTTGGAGTACTGCCTCGCCCGAAAAGGCCCCCCGAAAGCCTTCCGATCTACCTGGAAATGACGATGCCTACGAAGAATTCATCAGACGGACAAAACATCTTTACGAATTATTTCGCCTGCATGCGGAGCAGTTCAAGCCGCTGGGGAGCTGCAAACCCGATGACATGTGCCGAGCGGCGGTCTGGTGGTTTTTGAAAGGGAGAACTGCACTTGAGACTACTATGAGAAGTCGTGGTACAGATCTGGATGAGACCAAGAGTCTCATGAACCGATATCAAGCCTATACCGACTTGACGAAAGGCTACTGGCTGACGGAGCTAGCACTGCCCGAGATCGCCGAGGGCAAATACAGCCCTGTAGATGGCGAGCTGGGCGATGTCAGGCAAATATTGACCACAAACTTAAAGAAGTTGGCAGGATCTATGAGCCGAAATGGTCTGCTTCCGCCCGACGAGCCATTCATGCCACAAATGATGGATAAGGGAATCTGGGTCGACTACCCAACATTAAGTCAGGACATCATCTCCCTGCTTAACGGTAACTGGGGCTCGCTGCTCCTAGCATCCGCTTCCCAGGCCAACAGTCATGTGCATGCCCTGGAAGCCTTGCCTCTTGGTGATACTCCGCAGATTTTCAATTACGGCCGGGTCAACGCCGATGTCTACCTGATGGAACAAGGGATGGAGTCGATGCATACGTATTTCCCTTGCATCTTGTCCATTAATCGCCCGGTAAACACCTCGAGCCTCGTCTTCACGGTCGCCAGTCAGAACGGGTCCGTCACACTCCAAATCCAATCTGATAAGAGCAAAGGACCGAGCTGGGATGGCGTCCGATGGAGGACAGATAAATGTTCGCTGGAACTGAAGATGCCTCGTGGGTTCATAGTCGCGATACAATGTTCGCAGACAGATTTCCGCATGCTCTGGAACATATTCGACTTCAACGCCAAAGTCCAGTCATACCTGTACCCGAGCAAGGAGGAATCCGTCACTTTCCAGACGAAGCTGCGCGGATTCCATTACTTTGACGCTGACCCGAACTCACGGGTATTTCCAAAGGAGCCTGTCGGCCAATGTGAAGTAGCACTATTTGAACGACTCCTCAAGGAAGGCAGCCCAACCGGGCCGAGAACATTTCACCGCGGGTTCCGCTTAGCTGTCGTTACAGGACCTCGGACCAGAACGCTCAGCGGCGTTACACACTTCTACACACCTCAAATGCCTATCCAGTTTTCTTACCTACGTGGCGAACAACGGGAGCCCATGCTCCAGCTTGCGTATGGCGATGCGAAGACCAGATGTCGCATGGTCCTCATATTCAGTGACGATAACGAGCGCGAGAAGTTGCTTACTTTGCTCAAAGGGAGCTATGTACATGGCGACGAGGAGGTCATCACTGAGGTGCCGCTACAAGGTTTCAGCATGTCAGAAGGCCTGCAAGACACGAAGGGTGGCCTCCAGACTCTGCAACGACTACCCTGGCAGCGTGCGAGGATTGTCAACGATAAATACACTGAAAACCCGCCAGTTGTTCTAGCTGAGAAGCTGCGCCTGGAGCTGATATCACTTGATCAAAAGGGCAATCCGGTCGGCACAATTACAGACAGAGTCAACATGGCGCCCGGGGAGTTCAAGATTCGGCTGGGAACTAAAGACATTCTGACATTACAGGCCATCCGCAACCCTCAGGTTGATATGACCATTTCGATTATGGACCGACCAGGTGCATCAGACGCACGCCGCGAGTTCACCTCGTTGCAAGAAACGATAGCCCGAACTCAGACCGTTCGTACATACCGATTCAACAACTTCAAGGATCTCCATGCTTTCCAAGCTGGCATCACCGGGTATGCAGTGTTGTTCGATGGTGTTGCTTCCTCGCTCAACATTACGCGTCGTCGCATGGTTGTCCCTGTACACAAGAAATGGGAGTCGGGGACGGCGCGTATTCAGGTTGTCCAACACAACGCCGACAAGACAGTTCAGCTCTTGGCCTTTTTTGAGAACTGGCACCATGGCCAGTGCATGGGTTTTGTTCTTAAGGGCACAGATGTCTTTGAGAGCACCGGAAAGATGGGCAAGGCGGTGGTCAAGTTCGTGGAGGCCAAGTTCCCCCTGCCGAGAGTGTCTCGCGACGAGAACAGTGAGGGCAACGATGACATGGCATTTGTGAGCCTGGATATGCCCGACTACGCAGGCGAGCATGATGATATCAGCATCGTGTTTGAGGACGAGGCTGGTAAGTATATCCTGTTCTATGATATCTCATTCACGCCAAGACCAGTGACTAATTTGAAGACAGAGAGAGACAAACTCTGCGCGTGCCTACCTGCCCCCGTCAAGGGGTCGAGGCTGAGTAAGATCGGCAGGTAAACAAACGATATACAGTAGAATTTCGTGGGGTCCTGCCAGCTCTATACATACACGAGCGACAGTGCGGACCAGTTACGGTGAGCCCGAAGACAGAAGATGAGGTGCACAGCAACAAGATATGAAGCGGGGACGACAAGCAAGTGCAAGATATCATATTCATCTGGCGGGCATTTGTAGATGGCATAATGACACGCACGGCTCTGTAGAACGATTTGGTGGAAAGAGAAAGCGGTGCATGGAGGGGACAACGCGGGAGATAGAAGAGTTCGGCATGTGTCATGGATAGATACCCCTAGCGGTTTGCAAGAAAGACAATTGAGACGGGCTGAAGAGTCACGATACTTGATCATGATAGTCAAATGTTCCCCCGCCACGATAAGCTGTTTAATTCGTTCCCGCACCTCGGTAAGCATCCATGTGGCCAGGCAAGTCATCAAGGCTGATCCCGATGGCTTCGGTCTATCATTCATATCTGTTTCACAAGCTTCCCTGGTCACGGGTAGTCTCCTTCAAAGAAGGACTCTCGCTTGTTTGAACTGGTTCCACGCCTTCGGATGGTGCCTTGTTATCCTGGCCGAAGTGCCGAAGGACAAGCCACGCAGGAAAGATAGCGACAGCCCACAGTCCAAAGTTGATGTAGATTGCGCCAACCTGGGCGAAGATGTCGACAGATGTGAGACCATAGCTGATAGCTTGCCAGGCCGACTCCGTACCCCGGAGCAGGGCAGCGTATCTGATTACTTCGGCCTCGCCGTCGGCGAGATTGGTGATAATAAAGTACCTTTGCACCATTAACGATTGATCGCAGACAAGATTGGAGGAACCCAAGCTCACAAGAAAAGATAGTTCACCTGGAACCCGATGGTGTGGAAGATGTAGACGGCGAATGCTGCGCCGAAGCCCGGGCTCGACCAGTCGTACACGGGTTGGTCCACGCGGAACTTGGTGGCCAGGACCGTAATCCACGTCCACCATGCGCCTTGCGTAACGACCAAGATCCAGAAGACTGAGCGCGTGCGCAGTTTCAAGGAGAACTTTGTCCGATCAAGGTAGTGCTACACGTATCATTAGCCCAGCAATTCGATGTATACCCAATATTTAGACAGCATACCCCGAGCAGGTTCCCAGCGATGACTGCACAGATCCCAGACAAGAATGACCCCAGCGCTCGGGATCTGACGGTGAACCATACTATACGCCCCCATTAGTCCGACCGGTGCGATGAATCAGGGCTCATGACAAGAGCTTACAGGCGAGGTACGTGAAGTAGACTGCTTCGGCGAAGACTGCCTGCCCGATCCAAAGCACAACCAACAAGAACTTTGGCTTAATAAAGTCCTTGGAGGTCTTGCGGATCTCGTACCAGGGATTCTTGATGATCTCCAATGATACCTTTTTACCGTCCTCTCTCTCCACCTTGGACGGCTTGTTCAAGAACAGAGCCACAAACGGCCCCGTGGCCTGCAGTGCAATAAAGACAAGGTACACAGTATAGCTGACCTGGCCGGCCTGGTCACGGTCCGCGTTCAGTCCGAGATTGATGGCGCCGCCCAGGATCTGGCCAGTGAGCCGGTACGTGAGCCAGTACCCCAGGGCCTTTCCGCGGTTCCACGGCTCCGGGTATGCGATGGCGATGGCGGCCTCGGCCATCCAGAAGACGCCGGCCGAGATGCCGCAGAGCGCAGCTCCGAAGACAGTCAGCCACTCGACGCCGTAGCGGTTGTTCGTGTAGAGCCCGGCCGCGAAAGGGGCGTACCCCAGCGTCCCAAAGATCAGCGCCCCCTTGATCCCGATGTAGTGCACGATGGCGCTCGAGAAGTAGCACGACACCACCATCAAGCAGAATGTTAGAGCGTTCGACGCGTTCACCAGCTGCGGCGAAGCCGCGCCGCCCGCCCCCAGCGAGTTCATGGCGCCCCAGATGCCCGGCGCCGCCAGGTTGCACAGACCCAGTATGGTCATGTTGTAGAAGGTCGACCGGTGCCATCTGACTTTGTTCAAGAGCATCAAGTCAGCAGAGAATCAAGTATAACCCTCGATGCATACGTACCCGGATGGCGCTCCGATTTGGGCGGCTTGGCCTCATCGACGATGAGTTGCTCCGGGTCCGCCATTGTATAGCTTCAAAACAATTGCAAGAAACCGCAATTTTCCAAGCATTTATATGAACTGCGATAATGAAGTCCCCTCGTGGCGGGTTCCATCTCCTTTTATCCTATGCTCAAAGGCGACCTCGGCCAGGAAACCTTATCATGAATAACGCCATTGCTGGAAGTGGACTATGCCTGCAGATCTCACGAAATCAACCATGCTGAGCACGCAATTTCCCCCCAAAACACGACTACCGACGCAAACACACCAATTGTGGTCTAGCATTCGCTCGGCCGTGGTCTCTGTGTATGATTGAACATGGGCGATTAGGGCCAATCTAATGTGCTGTCCACATTTTTCTCTTGGTTCTTGGACCTAGGTGCTTGCCGGCCTTGGGGTCTCATCCTGGTTGCAATCACGCCGAAGCTCAGCGTTATATGATGCAATTTCTCATATACCGATTGTGGCGTTGCGGTTTCTGGAACACTCCTAGCGCCCTTCTACGGGATGACTGATTAGTATACTGGCGCCATTGCGCCTTGCAACAGGTTCACGGCAGCGACATCGGCAAGTGGAAGTCACGCCTACATCTTGTCCAGTCCTTATACTCCGCGGTGGAAGCATTGACAGAAAACTCGCCGGGAGATTGCTGCTCTCCAGCTTTCCTGTCATGCCCTGGTTTCCACCCATGATTTGGCGCCTGGCTGCATTAAATGATGCAGTTCAAGCTGTGCCGACTGTCCATCATCAACACAAATGAGTACTCTATCATATCCTTAAGAAAGTGCTTATACGCACTTCAACTGATTACTCGGGTTTGATTAGGTGAGAGGGCGCGATGTCATTGTTATCGGGGCTGCTCGCATGACCTAAGGTTTCACTACTCCCAGCATGTCTACCGTCGTTGTCAGTCCCCAGCAGACCAGCCCAACTACTTTTCCGTCCGAACAACTCATCAATAGAGAAAGGTCACTTTTCAATACTATCTTATTGAACATGGTTAAAGGAGAGTTGATGAGCATTGCGCGTTCCGTGCCTCATAGCTTTCGCTTGCCATGTCCAATGTATTGCCGAGAAGTTCATTTCTTCTTGAATTAAGGAACTAACTTACTCACGGTAAGCTATTGCACAGAAAATGCACAGCAACTACTGATACATTTGAACTAGTCGCTTGAAACAAAGCCCGTGGCGGACAATTATGTGCCAGAATGATATCTTCCATGGGTATGGCTAGAAGTTACAGTGAACCAGTACCTTGCATTCTCCATTAAATGGCTTTACAAGTTCTGAAGTAGCTCCTGTTAAAGCAAATACTTTCAAATCTAATGTAATAAGCTTTGAGGCAGAGTTTCTATAGCCTGTCAAGCTTTTAAAGCGGACTGGTGGCTTTCTCCGATTGTAACTTGCCAAAGATAAATCCGCTGCACTGTAGCACTTAAAATAATTAAAATAACACCTCAAGTCATCATTTCCAGCAACAGTTGTAATTCCATTTGAAACTATCAAGAAAGCACCTAGAAGCCACTCTTTTCTGTCCGCGATGGCCTCCAATAAGCAGAAAGCCCCAGAGACCGGATCTATAAATGACCTCGCAATACACAGACGCAGAAAATGGGAGAAAATGGAAGCCAAACGACACTCAAAGAAAACAACTGGCCATCGACGCCAAGGACAGACTCTAGCTAGCATTATCGAATATCCAGTGGCATGCTGTGGGCTTTGGGACGCAGACGAATACACCTGCATACTACACCCACGCGACCCGCCGCTCGAATGGCACGTCGACCAATTCGTCAAAGCCCGTGAAGGCTTTAAGCGAGCATACCGAGTCAGCCTCTTCGTCACGAGGAAGCGCCACGATCTTGAGATCAAAAACCTCCATGAGAGCCGCCGTCACAAGCTGCGTCTACGAGACCTACCACAGAGCAAGGACTACCCACATTGCGAAATTCGTAGCAGAGAACAACAGAAACGACTGCTAGGTAAAACATGCGCAGTGCACAAACTGAATTACAAGTGCAAGATACCATGGCAAGTGCGCAAGGCATGCTTTGTCTGCCAGCTTCACCGCATGGAGCGCCAGCATGCCAAGGAAAACCAACGACTCTACACCGAGTACCACGACAACGTGCTCGAGGCCTGCATGAAATGCAACTATAACGTCGGAGGCTGGGAGTGCATCGAGTGGCAGCCGCCAGCGAGGGAGCCAGCAGAGTACTGGGCCGAGAACACCACGAGGGCACACCGTGTCCTCCACGTCACCTCCTGGTCCGAGAACCTGCAAGGCCGTCTGCGTAATGAGAGTCGGACCTGCAGGAAGAAGGCTTTACTTGCTGAAGAGAGAAAGATTGAAGTATGGAAGAGACTGGGGTGGTCTGAGAACAGCTTGAACGGAAGATGGGGTCAATACAGTATTTCGGAGTCACATTAAGGGCGACAAAGAATAATGATTGATACGTTGATGAGGATATTATATGCTATACACAATTGAGCTTGGAACAGAGGCTCAGCAGCCGCTTGATCGGTAATTAACGTTGCTTTTTGCTTCGACACACATGTGCACAGGGAGATCTGCATCAACGATTGGTTCGGTCGGGTGTGGAGACTGATCTTAAACATAAGAGTTGCTAAGCCATTTATTACCAACCAATCAACTACCGTCTCATCCGATGTGGTGTAGTGGCTAACATTTGACGCTCTCATTTCAAAATGAACCGTCAAGCCCGGGGTTCGATTCCCCGCATCGGAGATATTTCTTTTGTCTCGAGATTGAGCATCTGTCCCCTAAATGGGTCATGCACTTCTCTTTTTTTTTCCCTGTTAATGTCCTTAGTATGAGAAGCAGAGCTGCAGTGGAGTTCTTTTTGGCGCAGACAACAAAGCATTGTAGAGTGATGTGGTGGGCCGGGCAATGTCGTACATTGCAGAGACACCCAAGCACCTGTGAACGCTGTGTGTATTATCGGATCTTAAGATATCTTTTCATTAGGTTGAGGAAAAGAAAGACACATAATCAATGTACAATAACAAAATCTACGAGGCATGTTATAGTTACATTTACCGAGCAAGCTTCCAATGCTCAACCAGATTGAAACGCATGACGTGGTAGTTGGTTGCAGAAGGTTAATACATGCGGGACACATCGACGCTCATACGCTCATCGCACTGCAATGAGATCCCCCATATCTTACTGCTCTCTCTTTTTACATGGATCTGTTTGTCGGGAATTCTTGCATAGCTTTGCTCCTAGCCGGTGGCTTAAACTAAGGCACGGCCTAGTCTTCTTCCTTCTGATGCACTGAGGGCATCTCTCGGTTTAGCGATGACTGATGGCAGACACAGTTCTGCGCGCCCTTGCACCGACATCTAAGCCGACAAAGTCTAGGGCTGGCCAAGTTTAGCTTCCCATATGCCATAGCCTCGATCAGGGGAACCCGGATACATTTGCCACTCGTGGCGCTGCCTAACACCATCACCACCCATACCCCTTCCCCCTTGCGCCCTAGTCTGTCACATACGAAGCATGTTCATTGTCACTCTCGCTAGAAGGAGTGAGTGGAGATGTTTCCTAAAACGACTTCGGCATCGCATGGGTTCCCAATATAGCCACTGCCCATCAGAAGAAAAAAAATGTCCGTAAAGTTGAAAATATTGTTGGCAATGACGATAGGAGACGACCACATTTTCACAGGGATTTCCTTTATCGAGAGTCCGGTAATAGGGGTAGCACTGCACCTGAACTGATATGGTGGAGTGTGGCATCCTAAGCGGCAAGAGTACAGGCAAGGGACCCGCACATTTTGTCTTCTGCGTCGGTTCATGCAGCGTCGCGCTCTCTAAACGCGGGTAAACGCGGTCAGTGGTACGAGACAGACATTCATGTCTTCCCACTACCGAAGTGCCATATTCTCGTAACCCACATGTATGGTTGATGTTTAACGTTTTTCTAGGATAATGCCTGAGTTTATCGCCGAGAGTCGCTAACTTAGGAGTAACTTTTGCTACTGCCTCCAGCAAAACAGTATTGCAAGTAGATAGCGGTAGCAAAGATTTTCATTGATGCTATATGCAGCTCTCTTGGCCTAAACAACCATAGTATCGCCCATGAAAATATCGAGCACACTAACCTCAACCAACACTACCCCTCTCCGTACGAATCTTAACAAGAGCCGGCTGCACGAATGGCTGTTTTCATGGCATCTTGCTGACGACAATACTGATTTCTTGGATATCAATGAAGAATTTGGTATATCTTTGGATGGATCCCTGATGGATGATTTCAAAAACCTGCAAGCGATCTACTGTGTATGTGTTGGAGTTTAAGGGGTCACAGCCTCGGGCTTGACATAGGCAACATGTTTAGTGCTTACCGACGAATAGCTTTTTGACCCTCTACCAGTGCATCACAAGACTGGATGGAAGTAACCCGGAAGGCCGAGACAGGTGTATTGTGTCAGTTGGTGTAATTTGACAATCCTCTGTCTGGCTTAGTAGTTGGAATGTATCAGTGGTGCTGCTGAGTCAGGGCCACCGTTGATCGTCATCTCACAGCGCCCTGAATGTAAGTTCCTGTTGAACTAATCCATTTATAGCGACTTACACCAGGATATTTTAGACGCAGCAAAGCGCACCAATGAAATGTACCACAATCCGAGGTGGCTTCTTATACATGAGTGGGATAGGGGTGGACTCCACTGGACGATTGCTTAGGCACTCTTCAATTCTTGAGCTACGCGTAGAGGAGAATCGGTAGTATTGAAAGCGCACGCAATATGTGTTACCGCAAGTCGAAACACGTTACAATTTCAAGTAATGGGGACCTGTGAAAGGCCTGCAGAGTGGCTCAATCGAAAAGAGAGGGAATTATAAATTCACTTGACCATCACGAATCGCGCCCATTGCAAGATCCAAGTTGTGAGACGCTTTATGTCGGCCTGCTCGAGATATTTTTCACATGCATCTATTACCTTTGTAGAATCTCGCTTACAAAGAGTCTGTGACTTCGCTCCTCGCTTTTACATTCGGACTCTGCAGTGTATAGGTCAGCGACGGGGATGGTACGGAGCGTCTAGTTCTTGTGGAAGGTTGTGCTGCAGTAAGCAACCAAATGCTGGAACCAACGGCTAGTCCGTGTTCCAGAAAGCCGGATCCAACAACGTGGCAAGGGGGACTTGAACCCTGCCTCAGGACATCATTGGCTCCTGGCATGCTCCTCATTTCTCCAGACATGACGGTCATGACAATAATAGATTCCTTCTGCACTACTTCAGCGACAGATAGGGGGAGCTGCAATGCAAGGGGCACTTGGCGTCGGACTTGCCTATAGTACGTACAACGAAATTGCGTCCGAACTGGGACTGGTCACAATCGGTCCTGAAGGGTTTGAACCAGCGCATTGACAAGAACAATCGTAGCCGGACTCCGGAGATAGTATCGAATGCCGTAGGGCTGATCCTCTGCCGACAGGCTATTGTTCCTCATAGCCCCTTGACTGCAATCCTCCAGAGACATCAGTACGCAAAGCGCGTGTACCTGCGGACCCCTTGTGCGGACCCTGCAACCCGTGAACTACTTGGCCCACATTCCGCCTACATGGATGACCCCATAATAATGATTAAGCCTCTGGGCGATGCGTTCAGCGCCTAGGCACCGAGGTGATCAAAGTATTGTCAGAATGGGTACTGAGGCTGATCGTCTTTGACCCCATTCTCAGCAATCGACAAGGTTCACACACTCTACCAGGAAAGCGCCAGCTTCCAGCAAGGTTGGAGCTGAGCCTTGGTTGGAAGTTACACGAGAGTGGAGTCCCACGTTGCTCGTGTAACAACAAATAAGGACTCAACAGTGAGCATCCACGGTCAGCAATACCGTCCTCCAGAGTCTGGCCGGCTACGTAACTGAACCTCGCCTGTTGGTGGAGAGCATGACCTAACCTTTGGCCGATATCTCCAGTCAGCACACGCACCGTCATCTGGTGCTATGTAAGCATGAGCTCGGCCAGGCCGGAGATGTCTTCAATGACCGCTGAAGTGCGCATCCGAGGTTTCGGTGACTTTTCTCACTGCAGTTTGCAACTGACCAGGTGCTGCTGTCAATGTTGGGCTGACAAAGTTGCCAGAGACTGCTGGCTGACCACGAGGAGTATGCCTCGCGCTTGAGATTGGGGTCCCATTCTTAATGATCCTGCCAGACAACGAGCTGTGCGAAACACAGGCTCGCCATCGATGACCTTGTGAGGGGACATGTACGCTGGCGGCGAAGCCACGTGGGGTTGAAAAGCCGCCACACCTTGTTCGGACTTTTCTGGTCGTGAGTCCGAGGAGTTGTGGATGGACCCATGTCGATCCAACGAGGTACTTTTCGGCCCCTGTAACCGCCTGCATGCTTAGCTGAACGTGCGGATGCGGGTTGATGCCATGCATTCTGATAGTTACCGGATCCACGGTGGGATGCACGGCCAAAGGAACAGACTGGGTTTCAATAACAGCACGATAGTCATCTGATCTTCGCTAAACCATCCCATACCATTGGCTTCGTCGCTGATACTGGCACACGGTAACTTGGAACTCGGCAGGGTTTGCCGCACTTCGCGAGGCGCTCTCTACTGGCCGAGTCTGTCTTACAGAGAGCTCTGAAGGCAATCATGGTCCCCCATCATATCGCGCTGCCCCGTGGCTTCTCTGTCTTTGAATCCATCTCGCAGAGTTTTACAACAGTAACCAATACGAGGCCCACAACTGAGTCGGTCTTATATCATGGCAGAGCCGTGGAAGACTCGGCCCACACCACGCTATCGAAATGGGGAGTCCATAGATAACATCACTCACTTAGGTAAGAGATGCTTGACTGGGGCTTCGCTTCGGGTGCTTGCAAAGATGTTCGAAAAGCCATTCGCAAAGACTTACCAAAGGTACCGTCTGGCCGGGCCAAGCGGGCTCGTTCACGCTAAGTTAGTAAATATGTAGCAAAGGCCATTGCAGAATGCGCTAGACCTGCGGAGAGAATCTTCTCTACCGGTTCCGCTGTCGAAGGGGTTGCATTCCCAGGCCTCTGGCGACTGCAAGGCCCCCTGACCCGCATGACATGAACGGCAGCTACCGACCTGAGGGGCCAATTAGGGGTCGCACGACGGTTGGCAGTGGTGATTAGGCAGCAAAACTTAGCGGGGAAAGTCGGTGAAAAGACAGGGCCCCCTGGGCCGCTAGAGCGGGCGCGTCCTTACGAGACGTGCATCAGGCCCATCACAGCCCATTTCAGCAAGCAAAGCCCCGGTCTCTGCTGCTATGGAGCTCTTGGCTGCGAGGAGACTCAATCTGTTCAATCTCGCTTTGCCAATAGCCAGCCTCAGCCCTACACCGTACGGAAGTGCCCAGGCCCAGTGTCTGATTGGCCGGTTTACTGCGCGGCGGAGTCTGTGTAACCTCGAAAGCCGCGGCCACTGACCATAGGGTCCGCTCCCTGGACCCTCGCGCTGGCCGTAGGTCCGTAGTAGCGCGCCTACACTTACTATTCTTTGTGCAACCCTGGGAAACAGCTTGTAGAAATGGGCTCACAAGGATGCCCGTGTAACCCCGGGCTGGCATTAGTGGCGCGGCAATCCCATCAATGCCATTCATAGAAGATGATGCTATTCCTCCTTTCACTGTTTTACCGCTGCCTGTTAAGCAGGCGTGTTTAAGAAGGCCGTTGCTGAACTTCTTCATCACACTTGCCACGCCTCGAACGTGCATTGACAGCAACGATCACCAGGATTCTTAATCGCACTCACGCCCGCGGCTTCTATCAGTCTGATCATTGGAGTCGACACAGTACCACACAACAAGCATGCCTCGGAGACAAGGAGAACGGAAGCGACGGGTGCATACAAGGTCACGGAATGGCTGCATCACCTGCAAGGCCAAGCACTTGCGCTGCGATGAACAGAAGCCGCTTTGGTATGCGATCTCCGCCTTGCCAACCCCTGTAGCATGGTGCTGTCTTTAACTGCAGCCATTGATGTTGCCAGTGGCTCTCGACGATATTGAAATAATACTGCTTACTAACGGTTGGATAGTGGCCGATGTCTAGCGAGCGGGGGTAGCTGTGGTTATGCAGACAGGTCCACGAAGAGCTCTCAGTCGCCACAGTCGTGTGACGATATGGTCATGCCAAAACTCGAAGACTTGGAGGACTGGGAGGCCAATGCGAATCTGCTCTCTATGCCCGACGATATGCTGGGCGGATGCTCAGTTGAAGTATCCAATGAAACACGTTTTCTTTATGACATCTGTGAGCCGCGATCTTCGTCTCGCAAACTTGACCATGCTGATCGAGTAAACTCGCAGTTGCACGCTATCGCAGCGTCGTTGATCGTGATGTGACGCCAGACTCGCATGCGTTCTTGTGAGTCTTTTTGCTTGGGTGCACTGCTCTTGGTGCTTTTGCTGAACCTTGGGTCGTACAGAGTGGAACGCGCATTGTCGAATCCAGCACTGCTTCACGGGGCACTTCTTTTATCCGCAACAAGATGGACCTGGTACTCTGGCTCCATGGAGACTATCCAGAAATCATTTTTGCATCACAAGTTAGAGGCAATCCAGATAGTCAACGATAGGCTTCAGGATCCGATGGATATGGGCAGCGACACAACCATTACGAGTATTGCTGCCCTTGCAATGGCCGAGGTAAGTGAACATTATGGTACGCAACCGCCATGGATTACAAATTTAACTTCCAACAACAGAGCGCTCTGGGACGTCAGGAAGTAGCGGACGCACACTTGAATGGGTTGTCCAGAGTCCTTGCAATGCGAGGCCCGGCTCCGATCGGCCGTAATCCCCTCCTCCAAAATATGATACTTTCGTAAGTTAAGGCAACCCGAACCTTCTCCATTGGAAGAAAGGTACCCTGACCAAACCATAGAACAAATCAAGGCTTATATCACATGTCAATGAAAGAACTTGGCGAAACCATTCAGTCTATCGAGGGCTGTTATAACACCCTTACCTTATTCGTCGATCCCGTCATCGCCGAGTCTACCAATAATCCTGCATTGAGCAACAAGACTGTTGGAGAGGTCATGACTAGCAGAGCGTACAGCGAACAAACCGAGTGGACAGCACCACCGGCAGAGGCCAAAAGCCGTGCCCGCTTCATGACCTGCTGTTTCAGGCTATGGACCATGCGAGGACCTGGAAGCTCGGATATGTTCTCTTTGAACTGGTTCATGGAGGCTTTGATTGATGAGTGCTGTATGACAGAACACGCTATGTTGCGAAGGAAATTCCCGCGGAACGCCTGGCTATGGGCCGCGATGATGACCAGATGCGCTGCTACCAGCGTGCAACCAAACTCCGCCTCGGAAGCACAACAAATCGAGGAATGGAAGAACATCGCATGCAGTAAGATACGGTTGGTTAGCGAAGCAGCGAATTTGCGGACCTGGGAAGAAGCCAGGGCCATTATGAGGTCATGGGTGTGGAGGGATAACCTTGTCGATGAGCGACAATTAAAGGAGATGTGGGAAGGAGCTGTACTCGGCAAACGGACGTTCGAAGACGGGACAGTATCACCAGCGTTTCTGGATAAGCGCCTGTTCATCCCCGCCGACGAGCTCAAGCCTGTAATCTTGCATCACGACTTGTTATAATACTGCTACCAACACAAGAATAATAGATCAAACTAATACGCAATGTTCAAATTGCCACCGCAATAGTGCGAGCTGTCGATATGCTTGGCCTAGAAATAGAAAAGCATACTAGGAAATGCTCACACATCATAGTCTGTGCCCAAGGGAGAGTACGTAAGGGGTTCATCAATGTAACACATGTGCTGGCTCATTAATCTCCAGTGCATTGAGGTTGCAAATGAATAGCATGGAACGCTATCCCAGCTGTTGAGGATCGCACTCCGATGTCATGGAATAGGGTATGCAGATCGAAATCGGATCTCACATTCATGTGATCCGAAAGGCGTATGTTTTTTGTTTGAAGTTCAAGTGATATGGACTGATCTAGCAGCAATATCCACCAAGAGCAGGGGGCGGACAAAAAGCCACTGTGATTAGCCTGACGCCAAAATCCGGTATGAATGGGTTATCATTGGGTGGCTTTACGCCCCATGCTAACGAAAATCATTGATAAGTAATCGTTAAAATGATTGTTGCCTGGATTGCAGTGCAGGAATCGCCAGCGTCGATTCCTTCGGCATTCCTTCGGAAATTCTCAAATGTAGGACTTCAAGTCTTCACAACTTCAGCTCCGCCCCTAAGCCACGAGGCATACTTCTTCTTTGTAGCGGGGTCTTTCTAGCTTGATCCACAGAAAACCCAAGTACGCCTCGCGTCTAGTATGTATTGACGACTGGAGCCCAGGTGTCCCGCCGTAAATCACACATTATCAATGATACTCTAATAGCGAAGATCCTCTTCAGCACGCGAACATTACATGGAACATGCAAACAGGATGTAACGTCCACACGAGCAGTTATATTTACCATAATTCCAGCCTCCATGATCCAACCATCTTCAACTAGAACGCTTGAGTGATGGGCCAGTACGCCTTTAGGATTCTGAAACTGTTGTCAGGTAGGCCTGAGGCTGAGAGAGATAGTTAGGAGCCTCCCATCGTCATACCAGAATATCAAGACCGAGGCCTTGCCGTTTAGCTGCCAAGTATGTCTGCCACTTGCTCTGACTAGCAAATTCTACTACACGTTGTAGGGCTTTAGTGACAAGTGTAAATCTATCACAGTATCCTCGGTCCAGTGCTCGGCCCCTCATCAAAATTGTATTGCTTACAAATACCCTCTTTGAACCGACGTAGCTTTCTCGTTGAGATGTTTATTGGTAGAAAAAGGGGTATATAAGTGGAAGTATAGAGCAGCTAGTCCATTTATGATATCAGAACATTGTGAAAAGCCATTTCCAAACTTCATGGAGCTTGCTTGGCCTTTGGGCCATGGCTTTACTTTGATGCATCCGAAACCACTCCGCAGAGGTCTTGGGCAGGTGACATTGCAGCCACAACTCCCGAAGCCATCTCCGCAGTCCGCACTGACTAATAAACTATCTTACACATCTTAGTTACTCGCCCTGCGACGCATAAAGCTACTCGATACTGTGCGAGCGCGGGCCTTGTTCTGCGCAGTACCGGCAGCCACCCGCTCACACGTGTTACCACCATCTCCGTTGCCACAGCGGAGAGGAAGAAGACAACCCTCCACGTCGGCAAATTGCTCCAGTCCGTTGGCGCCTTCACCAAGCGAGACGCACTCATCATCGTCCGCAGCGTTGTTATTGTTGTTATTAGCGTTGCCGTTGTTGGCGTTACCAGTGTTGCGGTTACTAGCATTACGGTTGCCGGTGTTAGCTTTACCAGTGTTGGTATTCCCACCATTACCGTTCCCGGCGTTGGCATTACCAGTATTGGCGTTACCAGTATTGGCGTTACCGGCGTTGGCATTACCGGCATTGGCATTACCAGTATTGGCGTTACCGGCGTTGGCATTACCAGTATTGGCGTTACCGGTGTTGGCATTACCGGCATTGGCGTTACCGGTGTTGGCATTACCGGCATTGGCATTACCGGCGTTGGCGTTACCGGCATTGGCGTTACCGGCGTTGGCATCTACCCGCTCGCACGTATTACCACCATCTCCATTGCCACAGCGGAGAGGTAGAAGGCAGCCCTCCACGTCCGCGAACTGCTCTAGTCCATTCGCCCCTTCGCCTAGGGAGACACATTCATCGTCATCCGCAGCGTTGTTATTGCTGTTAGCATTGCCGTTATTGGCGTTGCCCGTATTGCGGTTACCAGTGTTGGCGTTCCCGGTATTGGTGTTACCAGTATTCCCAGTATTCCCAGTATTCCCAGTATTCCCAGTATTCCCAGTATTCCCAGTATTCCCAGTATTTCCAGTATTCCCAGTGTTTCCAGTGTTTCCAGTGTTGCCAGTGTTTCCGGCGTTGCCAGCATTGCCAGCATTGCCAGCGTTCCCGGTGTTGCCTGCGTTGGCGTTTCCATTGTTCGTGTTCTTGGTATTCCCCGTGTTGGCATTGCCTCCGTTGGCATTTCCATTACCGGCACTGGCAGCGCTTACGCGCTCGCACCTCTCTCCACCATCTCCGTTTCCACAGCGGAGGGGAAGTAAGCAACAGTCGTCGTCTACGAACTGCTCCAGTCCATTGGCCCCCTCACCAAGAGAGACACAGTCGGGCCCGTCTGGGAATCCGCAGCTGAATCATTTTGTTAACTGGGTCGGTCTAAACACAACTTGGTTCCTGACCCGGAATGGACCTACCCGTCTTGTGCAAGGACACCGGCCGCGGCCATGAGAGATAGCGCTACAGAGAGCTTCATGATACTGGGATTGATTGGACAAATAAGTCTGCGCAGCAGGAGGTAAAAGTAAGACTAAAACAAGAAATGAATACGTTCTGAATCTGGGACGTCAACGTCTGGCTGAACAAGGCGAGAAGGATACATGACGCCGGATGGACCGCTGAATTTAAAGACAGTCAAGTCGTCGACCATCTCAATGACCAAGCCGTCTTAACGACTCGTGAAGCGATGTTGCACTTGTGTTGTTTTGGGTTGTCGCAGAATTTGGATGACGATGACAGCAGTTTTCCTGCGAGGGTCCGCCAACCTTAACTAAATACCTAGTCTATAATGCCAATAGGTCTTGGCCCTTCAGCCTCCTGTTTCAAGGACCCCATGTAACTCTCCACATAATGACTCGTGTGGAACCGTCATGCAACCTTATATCCCCGGATTAGATGCCGTAATACGACCTCCCACGAGAATCCATGAAGCGGCCGACTCCTAGAAATCTCTTGGAAAGCTGTTTGCAGAAACTTTCCGCGGCATCGACCAGGTAGGGTAGTATCATGATGTTTTGGCGCTCAAAGGTGGAGTAGGCAGGCGAAACACTGCGAGGAAGTCCCCAAACATGTGTCAATCAGGCGCCAAGTATTTGAAGGAGAAAGTAACCCCAAAGTTCGAGTCATTACTTGCAATCTCGACTGAAGAACTCATTGGACGACGTGATTGTCACAACTTCTTTTTCAGGCATCGCCTTTTCCCCATCCAGCCCGATTCCAATCTGACACCTCCAGTTGTGGATTTTGCAGGACGAAACGAAATTCGCACGTTTTTATGACATTAAATTGATTCTAATAAAGTCCCTGCCAGAATTTCAGGTCGATTGTGCGTTTTCATTCGTGTTTCCCAGGTCCCCAAATTGGGCTCTCTTTAGGCTAGAGAGTTGAACTCCGCTCGCTTAAGCTTAATTATCTGAGCTTACTTTTACAAGCCCTTCCGAGGTGGATTGTGTCAAGGTGGTAATCAAGGATCAGCAGGGCCATACAAGGGACTGCTGGGGTGCTTGTTTACTGTTGGCGCTACTGTTGGCGCCCGCATTGCTTGTTCGAGCGGTGATCAACCGGTTGGCGATCGCTCGCTGGATTTGCTTGATCCGCAAACTCAACCTTGATACTTGACTTCATCATAAACTCATTGTGGTGAAAGGTGTGGGATCGTGGAGATAGCATCCAAGGGGCTTGTGGACCTAATATCTAGTTTGCTGTAAGCACAAATACTACCGCAGAATGGTCCCCTGACAGGAAGACTGTCAGTTTGTGTCACGCACATGTCAAGGGCTTACCAAGGGCCAGCTATGTCCAGTATTTGAGTCGAAAATGCTACACCATTCAGTGCTAGTGGGTCACCAAGCAGCTGATGTAGGGCTATGTTGAATACGAACCGAAATGACACCTTAAACTTAAAACGTCCATGTGATTACGACTTCTATCTTGCCATGCCATTTCATACAGTTTCAGGAGCGTTGCAAACAGTACAAGAGGCGAATTGGGCCGCACAGCTCCAGCTTGGCAACGTTAGCTGTCGCCTCAACTATTCGGACGACAAGATACGTTTCAGATTTCAGCAGGCAAGCCGTGCAGCAGGGTCCTACGTCCTGGCGATTACATCGACAACGACTTAAGTGAGAATAGCCTTTCATCCCTTTCTATATGTGCTCATCACCATGAGAATTCCTCACTCAACCTCAGGCACAGTCACTTGAAACTGAAGGACCTCCTGAATTATCGGCAGTTTATAGATTCGGAAGACACCTAACGTCAGTCACCATAAAGCCTGGTGCCACGCCACCATCGGCAATTCTGAAAAGATTTGACTTATAGGATTGTTGGGTAACATATACTCTGGCTGCACACGCCAACCGAACAAGACGAGAGGTCCATAGCATGAATTGACCCTAAGACGTGGAATATGGATGCGACAAGATATTTACCAGTTGCTCCAGAAATAATCAGAGGCAGAAAACAGTGGCTAGCAATCTTATCAGTGACATTTCCGCATCGCTTTGATGGTTGAAGCTCCTGAAATCTGTCAAAGCGACCTTGACTGACTGGTCCCCGACACCTAGAATTACATGCATGAGCCATTATCTTTCGTCCGAAGACGTTCGCAGTCACTCTAATCAGATGGTTTCTTTGATTGTACTGTCCATTTGATACGATAATTCAAATTGCTAGATTTTACCACGACGTGACATCCAGCTTCGGCAGTAGTGACCAGAATTCTTTATGGCTGGTACCCTCAACACGACTGTTAGATTATATACTCCCAAGACGCACCGAATTGATACCGTGTTGTCAGTTCGAGGAAACATATTTCTTCCCGGGTCCCGCTGAAGTCCAATCCTTCAATGCATCAAGAACCGTACGGTTCTGGGTGATGGAATATTTACGTTGGTTTCGTTCCCGATCCGCTACGAGCATATGTGTTTGATAACGCGCAGAGAGTTGTACATTGAACTGATCGCCTCGCACAAGGGCCACTTTGATTGGATGGCTAAGAACTCAGTTTTGACTCAATGCAAACAATAGATCGTCTGTGCAAAGGCTCTTCGCTGTGGCGCACGGACGTCCGGGGCGTCTTTTGTATGATTAAGACCACCGACATACTCGACTGGCCTTAGGATGTGCTGTTTGCAACCCGCTACAACACGACGAGGAATCCATATTTCTTCGCAGGACAAATCTGCAATCTATTCTTTATTCAGAATACTCTGGCATGGGCCGAGTCTCGTGGCATGCCAGATTTTGATCAACCTTCCTTACCGATCTTACCCCAACCCCAAAGTCCGGATCACGGACCTGGGGGACCGGACCGGTAGAGTTTGATTCACCAGCCCTGTGGGAGGTGGCTGCTGTGGGATCAGACGAATCAATTGACAGAACGTCTTTGCAGCCAGCCTATAATAAGACATGGCGGCGCCATGCCGTTGGGCTAAGGTACGTGTCAGATGCCCCCCTCGTTCTTTGAGAAAAGAAAAAGGAACAACCGCCAGCGACCCAATGCCAGAAAGTAATACAAGTGCGACTACCCCAGCCACCGGCTCCTCTCCGCCTCCCCCACCAGCACCGAGTGACTCTACGTGGATCTGGCACTGGGTCATGAACTCTTACAACTAGTGGTATCAGTACATCACTAAAACCAGCAGCCCAACGCTTTTCTAGGATAATATGAAGCTGTACACACTCCACGAACTCGACCCCAGCGATGGGACAGTGCAGCTGCACAAGGCAGAGAGTCAGGGGTCGGGTTCAATCGTCTTGGTACCACATCCTTCGGACTCAGATCCAAACGACCCGCTGAGATGGCCAACCTGGAAGAAGCACATTGCATTCACTTGCGTCTGTGCCTTCACCTTTCTGACCAACTATGGAATCGGTGGCCTGGCTCCGGCATTCTACCTGCTGTCTATAGAATTCAACAAGACGATGACCGAGACCAGTGATCTGCTACTGTGGCCAATTCTCGTCCTTGGCGTCTTCAACTTCTTCTGGGTGCCTTTGGCCAACTATTTTGGGAAGAGGCCTGTCTTCGTCTTTGCCAGCCTTCTCTTGGCTGTATGCTACATCTGGGGAGCGGCAGCCCAGAGCTTCCAAAGCTTACTCTGGAGCAACATCATTGCTGCCTTTGCGGGCAGTTCAACCGAGGCGCTCGGCGCTAGCATGGTCAACGATCTGTACTTTCTCCATGAGCGGGGCGCGAAGATGGCCATATACATGAATGCAATCAGCGGTGGCAACACTATCGGACCATTACTCTGCGGCTTCATCGTTACCGGCCTTAGCTGGAGGTGGCACAAGTGGATTGCCGCCATTCTGACCTCGATCAACTTTTTGGCCGTTCTATTCTTCGTGCCTGAAACCCGCTACTTTCGGGATGAACACAGTGTTGATGATGAGAAGGAGACGAGACTCCATGCTAGTGACCCGGAAAAGAGTCCGTCAGCCATTAGGGAACAGCAGCCTGGTGGTTCCCCTGACCGTTCTTCGTCGAATGAGGTGCCGAAAAAGACATTCATGCAAGAGCTCTCCCTCTGGAGCGGCGTGGCGAAAGGAACCAACTTGTTGAAGATGTTTGTACGGCCATTTCCCATGATCTCGTACCCCTGCGTCATCTACGCCTTCTTAGGCTACGCGATGTCGCTAGTTCTGGTCGTCGCGGTCAACATACTCAACCCTTTTGTTCTTCAAGCTCCTCCTTACAGTTGGTCGCCCATGATCAACGGTCTGATCAACCTTCCTGGATTCATTGGCAACGTTGCTGGAGCCTATGCCGGGGGGTGGCTTGTTGACGTGTACTCCGACTGGCGTGCGCGGAAGAACAACGGAGTCTTCGAACCTGAAAGCCGACTGCTTCTGACGGTCCTGCCGTTGATCATCACTGGCGCCGGCTGTCTAGTGTTTGGGTATGGCGTTGAACGCACACTGCACTGGACCAGTCTCTTCTTCGGATATGGCATGGTCAGCTTTGCTCTTACTGCAGTACCGACGATTACAATGACGTACGTCAGCGACTGTGTGCTGCCAGTAAACATGGACGCCCTCATGTTGGTCAATGGTAAGAACCCTCAACATAGTTCTTTTCAGATTCCTCGATCTCTGATCTGACCCTTGCAACCAACAGGCCTCAAGAATATCGTAGCATTCGGATTTTTGTATGGGATCATACCGTGGGTGGAGGATGTGGGATACGTCAACTGTTTTGGCGCACAAGCTGGTATTTTCGTGGCCATTATACTGATTGGCGCCACGTCACTGATTATATTTGGTGCGAAGATGAGACACGCGCAAGCTTCGTGGCGCATCATCTTGTGAAGCAGTAATGATGAGTGAATAGGAAGGTTGACAGGGTCTTTGGTGACATGTCAATGGCTCATCTACAATCTCATGGGATGGACTTGAAAAAGTATGTCTAGAATAGTCATGGGATACGCCTGCAATGAGAAGAACTTGATATGTAATATGTAATAGGTAGACGAGCGTTGGCCCTTATTTTGAATAGCTGGTGGAACCGATCAAAACTTCTCGAGGGGAGGGCAATATGATACTCATCTTGACAGAAATCACCGTTGCTCATGGTTCATCTAGTGATAGCTTACCCC